TGTCCCAAGATAGTTATCAATATGAATAGCCTCCCCTGGACTGAAAGCCAACTGGGCATGATGTCAAAAACTAATGCTGCAGCAATGACAATATATAAGATCATGGCAATCCTTCAACCCATATCTCCATGAACCTATAACTGTGTTTTGAGATAGGACAGTAGCTATCAATATGAAGGAATAGACTGCAGCAATGGCAATATGTAAGGTCATGTCAATGCTTCAACCACATCCCCCAGAACCTATACAGAGTCAGGGACACTATAAACTACATGTCAACTACAAACTTTTGTAGTCTCAAAAAGCAGACATTACAGACTTTTTTAATGAAAAAGCGCACACTACAAATCCTTTGTAGTATCATGATATACTTCCAATACTCCTCTTCTAGTATTTAACTACTATTTAATCCTCACATTAATACTATTCATTTTGTATTACTATACGTATCTGATACCATTCTTATATTATATAGTGTAGTATTATGATATACTTTCAATACTCCTCTTCAAGTATTTAACTAGTATCCAATCCCCACCTCAAAATTACTAAGTTGAAATTTGTATACCCTTCTGATACTGATATGATATTATATTGTACAATATTATGATATATCTTCATTACTTCTCATCTAGTATTGTATCCTCACATTGAAATTGCTGATTTTAAAATTCTGTTCAATATCATACCCTTCACATACTTTTTGAATTTCCATACACCAGTATTATGCTTTTATTATAAAAGTATGAAATGTAGCTTTCAAACAGTATGATAAAATATTGTAGCATACTATTTGGATACTCTGCCTGCAATATTTAAAGAGTATGTAGATATTTTACTCTCATACTTTTTCCATACCAACAAAATACCTGTCAGGCAGTATTGTTTGTTTCTTCTTGATACTAGCACAATACTGGCATCTCAGTATGTTGGTAATCTTTAATGAGTATCTGCTTAATATTGTGTTAGTATTCAATATAAAAATGCCATGTATTTTCATACTTTCAAGATATTCTCTTTATATCTAGTCTCTAGTATCATATAAGTATCTTTTGAATATTATATATAATAATTTAAAAGTATCTTATCCTGAAGAATCATACTCTTAGAATATTGGCCAATCAGTATGTTGAAGATATTTTGTTCAAAGTTAAGATACCGTGATTGAAGTATTATTCTAGTATGTGAGCCAGTATGGAGGAAAAACCTTTGAATATAATCAAAATACCAATCAGATACTTCAGCATGGGTAATAAAATATATATCTTCATACCAATCACATACCTGGTGGATGGTATTTTGGTAAAAATTTATGTACCATCAAAATACTCTCAAAATATTCTCATGTCAGTATGTTGGAATGTTTGCAGTGCAAAAGTTCCACTCACTCGCCCAACAACACCACCCCCCTCCCAAACCCTATAGGCTATACGTCGAGAAGGGGGGCCAAAACACTAATCCGCGCATGAGGAGGACGATAGGCTGTTCCCAACGATGAGCTGCGAACTCTCTTTCCGTCTCCGAAGTTCCTGCCGTTCCTGGTGTCAACCACGCGCTCGGTCCGAGGGCAGATAGACCCTCTTCAATTTCCCTCCCGCTCCTCCTCTCCTCTTCTTCTTCTTCTCCAACTCAGTCCCATCTCGACCTACTGCTCACGCGTATCTCACCCACTCTCTCGCTTTCCTTGAGCAGTACGAAACCCCCCGGGCGTTCGAAGCCTGTAACGACCGCTTCCCAGACTGCTATGCCAGGATGACGACGCAGGGAGGCATCGCATAATTCTACTGAGACAACGCTGATTATCGTGCGTAGATGAGTTGTTGGTGTACGCCTTCGTGAGGCGGTGGCTTCGATACTGGTGTGTTATTGAGGAGAGCGGTGATGACGTGTCAGGGGATAGGGCAGGTGGAAGTGCGCTTGCGTGTATGACTGTGGGTGGTCGCCTGTTAAGAGCGAGAGCGAGAGCGGGTCTTCTTTCCTGAGCCTGTGGGAGACAAAGGGATTGGTTAGCGTATGTAGTGGGTTGAGTAAAGATAACCAGAATATAGAACCTTTTCGAGTCAAAGCGGGCCAGCATGTGGTTTTCAATGAGAATGTTCTGGACGACTTTCCTGAAGCTCGCCCATTTGCGTTGGATACGCGTAAGTGATTTTATTTCTCTTGCTGAATATTGAGGGAGGGTATATATTAACCATTGATTTGGTAGCGGAACTTGCGGGTGCGTTTGCTGTGTATCTGACGACGGGAGGTGCAAAGTATTTGAATGGAAGATATGCATCGGTAAATTGGGACGTCGAGGAGTTGGAAGCGAGGAGTGAGGACATCGTTTCGAAGGGATTGCTTACGGAGGAGTTGAAAGGCGTGTTTAGTTTGGTTGATTAAGTCTCACTGATGTATGCGCCGTCGAAGAAATCAATATTATTGATGATATGCCCCCAGCCTTTTCTTCTCTTCGAGGCATCAATTTATTGCCGTGCAGGTAGCTGCAAGATTGAGGAAAGTTAATGGATGTGCCAAGACTGTCGATAGCAGGGTACATGATTGACGTCCTTAGCATTGCGGTTCATGTCGCCCCTGACTATATCTCACAGTCAACTACAACCAGTAGCCAAGAAGGAATACTAACAGTAGACCAATTCCGTTCACCACGTATACCCCTCCATGATATGCTTCTTATACACCCATCGCTCCTCCCCACACCCGACAATCCTGACTCCTTCGCGTGCTCTCATCCGCATCTCGTAGCCCCGCATCAGGGTCCCGTACGCGTCGAATACCACCGGACACAAAAAGCTGCCTCTTTTGCAATCGTCTCCTGGTCGTCCGCGTGCATAGACGCGACGTCGGAGCACACCCAGAGGGTCCACCAGTGCCGCTCGATGTGCCTCACTGTTGGCGTTCTTCGGGTAGTGGTGGTGTGCCGCCGCCGACGGTGTGGCTCCTTCGCGCTATAGATTTGCGTGTATTGAGTCCTTGGAAAGTAATGGAGGGTCCGCGGATTTTAAGAGATACCAGGAAGGAGGAACGTATGTGGAATGGAGGCGTCCAACCGCTGATGACCTGCCCAGGGTCGGATGACTTTTGAACACCTATATTGACTCCCTTGCAAATACGCAAACAATTGGCGTGGGGTCCGTCAAGACGGGTGCGTCATATGGAGATAGTACTGGTTGATGATGTGGTAGGATGGTCAGTGGGACTGGTGTCGGTAGCTTTCCTTTGAAATAGTAATAGCGCTAGCAATCAAAGGACAGAACCTGGTTTCATGGGGGCCGCTGCTTCAAGTATGATTTGGATAATTTTCGCTATAGACACCAGTTAGAACCACGAAGGAGTAAACAACGAAAAATGAAGAAAGCGACATACGTGGTCCCTGGTCCAGGTGAAGCAGCAGCCTTCACCCATCCCAGAGGCAGTCCACATCGGACCACTGCACAGGACCTCTCCTCCTCTCCTCCTAACCCAGCGGAATACCATCCATTCCAGATCGTGCCAAAAACCTCCAACATGTCGCAAGATTTTGAACTCAATTTCCCCTCCCCCCGACTCGGAGCCAAATCAAACACCGCACAACCTCATCCCTTCAACAAAGTTCATGAAGATGTACCGTCCTCGCACATTGTCCAGAGTAAGGCCATATTCACGGATCTTGGGGGTGTGAAGCATCGAAGCCAACCCAGAACGCAGAGAATTCGCTGCGGCCACTCCGCTGGGGACGGTGTCAAGACGGTGTGTTACTGCATCAGGAAAAGGTGATTTCTCCGATAGATCGCCGGTTTGATCTGTAGCCATATGCACATACATAATGTAGGCCCTGTACCTTATCAGGGCACAACATGTAACCACATTGGTCGTCATAGCATGCCCTGTTATTTTCAAGTTATTTTGATAGTGCCGAGAGCTAATTGAGGACACGATATCTTATTGGTCGGATGGATAGTTACAGCCCAGATCTATGCTGGCTATCAATGCTATGAATTACTCTGGGTTACTACAGTTCAATTAATGACTAGTAACATTTGAGGACTGCAAATCTATCTACATCAATGTAAGAGTTTGAGTGTAAAAGTGCCTCGCACATCGAGTGTCACTTTGTTGTCAATATGGGTAGACCTGAGTAAATGACCGTCATAGTAACCCAACAAAAGGCCGCCCTTCGTTGTCGATTGTCTCCATCGCATACACTGGTTATCCGTCCGTGCAGAAACTCCTCTATACGCCCCGCAGCCAGCCGGCCATCGTTTCTCGTTGTCGTCAACGGCGTCGTCCACTGACTATGCTGTTTGATGAAGGTTAGTGAACATTTGTGATTCTGGTGTTTACGGTGTGTACTTACACGTTGTTTCAGCAAAAGGCCGCCACACGGCCAGCGGACTACACCATCGTAGCTTCGAGCAGTGAATCTTTTGGAACACTTGTCAAGTGGAGGACGAGGGCGGTGCGAAGCGCTGCTTGGAGTTCTGTTATAACATAAAGTGGGTGATGCACGGTTGACGTACCTTAACCGATTAGCGTGTCCTGGCTCCGTTTATCGTCTTTCAACCCATATCCTCCCACTTCCTGAGAGCACTAACAGTGCCTATTATTCCACTCTTCATCGCCCACCAGAACGCCCGTCAGATTGTATCTGTGCAACACCAACAAGAGCACGGTCTTCTCCTCGCGAGTGACGACGATCAAATGCGACCGAGGATCTTGCGACATGCAGAGTAGGCTTCCCAGCTGTTGTGTACGGGTTTGTTGGCTTGGTGAAGTGCGAGCGCTCGGAGTCAGTCGAGGGAGATGAGACTAGGCGTGCCATGGTAGTTGAAGCTGTGAAGGATGAATGCACGATACCCAACGCGACGTATGTGCGTACTCACATTTTTTAGAAGACCACGCATCCGCGTAGTCTAGACTCTATCCGTCCATTCCCCGCACTCCTGCGTCCTCCGAACACGTTTACGCCTTAGATTGCAAGTCGAGTCTTCGTGCATACGTTATCGGTTTGTTGTAGGTATTGAACGTGGTAAATATAAGAGCTGTGTGGTTTGTAGTAGCCTGAGATTCATCGACAATATATTAGCCGCTGGTGTAGTGGTAACTATCGATAACTAACTAAAGGAAGGTAAAATCATAAGCCCTGGAGTTCGAATCCCGCTTAATGCAGACATTACAAAAGTATACACTTCAAAAATAAGACTATAATTGTAGACACATCACAACACGCCGTAAGGACCTGCGGTTGTTTCCTCATACAGTCCAAAGAGTGAGCCGTTTCTGCTTCTACTTTTCTCAAGCTACCAAGAGAGATCCCATACATAGAACTATGTACAACTACGGGAATTTCAGTATATCAAACTACACGATATTTGTAGTGATATGTATTTGTCAGCACCGCTACCACGAGCTATATTTCAGGGGGCTCTCGATGGTGCTACCAACGCTATCACGTCTACATACCCCAATATTGCAAGTCCATTTTTTCCTGATGTGGTGCGAATCCGCGCTTTGAGTCCGCTTGGTGGCGGTTGAATCCACCCTCCCCGAGTCTTTCGAAACGGACGATGTCGGAGAGACTGAGGTTGACAGACATTTCTGTGAAAAGAGATAGCCCAGGGACGTTGGAGCCAGCGCTAGCGAGCCTGAGGTCGTCGATGCCAACATTAAGTATGAGGTGGCTGTGTAAAACCGGACCAAAAAGTTCCGACGTAGGCTCGTGCGCGCCACTTTGTGTTGGTTACTCAATCCTAACCAATGCACCGACGAAACGCCCCTCAGCTTGAGGAAATAATTGGCGGATCTGGCACTATGACTGTATGTCCTCTGGTTTTGATATCTTAATTAATCAGTATCTTGAGCACGTACGTTCAGGTTCAAGGGATTACTTGGACATCAGGCGAAGTAACGCCAAACGGCGGGTTAGAATTATCACAGCTGGGTTTTCATCGATCTCTATACCTCTACCCTACAATGCCTCGCAGTACAATGACCCTCGTATGAAGACGACTTTGAGCTTCACGTTGAATCCACGGAGGTCAGCAGTGCTGCTTGTTTGATTTCATCATATACGAATTGCTGAAACTTTCCATAGGACCAGAACAGGTAGCGTGCGGACGTGGAACCACCCTAGAACCGGTGGTAAGTGCTCTCCGCTCTGGCCACTCTTGTGGGAATAGAGGAAGGAGCGTTGGCGCTCACCCCCTATTCGCTCTTGATCCACTCGTCCGAAAAGGATCGGCACTGGCAGTGGCGTAACTCTGGTCTGTCGTTTCAGCCCCTCGAGTCCATGAGTAATTTATGCGCAATCAAACAAGACTTAATTTCCCTTGCAGCTGGCGCCTTCAGACCCAAGGTTACAACGCACAATGTTTAATGAATTACCTCGTTGCAGGCAGTTACATCTGTTAGTTCAACCCGCCATCCCTTCATTAATCTTCGGCGTCATGTCGGATGAAGAAGGAAACAACCTGTGCAAAATTATCTTCACTCTCACCACCATACCAGCAGCCGTTATCGAGATTGACGCGAAAGGTACGACTAATGAGGGTATGCTCGGAAGCCTCGCCCGTAACTCTCTTTTAAGCGCTACAGATACCTCATTCACAAATGTTTTCACGACGAGATAGAGTAGCAACATGGCTATCAATCGCACCAAAATGTTTATCATGCTTGACATTTCTCCTTCGTAGAGGATCCTTCAAATAAAACGGAAGGGCATGTTTCTGCTCTCCTCTCCAAATCAGGGCCGAACGAACTCGTGTGGTACAGTGACCTGCTGACCATGTTGGGCGGTTCTGCGCAATCCTTTCACGCTTCGATTAGCCGTCAATGTGAACTCCCACGTCAAAACAAGCGCGTTTGCACGAGGCGTGTATTTAACTCGAGCTGTCCTTGGGCAATGCGACCCCCACTCCGCAATGCTCATCTTTTTAGCGCTTTTCTATTTTTCGCTTGTATCCACTCGCGCTGCGCCTCTGGATATTATCTCTGGTGGAAATACTCCCAATAACTTGGTGCTGCAGACCTACGTATCTCCTCCTGATCAGCGCACTGTATCTGGCATCTTCTGGAATTGCGTTGTGACGATTTCGTTGTGTACTTGGACCTCAGTCTACCCCAACATTCCAGGGCCAGATCAAAAGTGGTGGAACGTCACACTTCGAAGGATTGAGTTGATGTTATGGGCAATACTCGCTCCAGAATTGATTTTTTTCTGGGCACTGAGGCAGTTAAACGGTGCGAAGTATATTGCAAGCGAAGTCAACCGTGGGTGCATATGATGAGTCATGACGTCTGTTATGATTTATCTGAAAGTGAGGTATCTCTCAGGTTTATGCAATGTAAACTGGACGAAAACACATGGGCATTTTGTGCAGATGGGAGGTTTCATGCTGATGGGTGAAAATGGCATCAGGACTGTGCTCACCGCAGAAAATTTTCTGGAGTTGCTAGGGGAGAAGAAAATTGATCTTCCACCAGTTACCAAAGAAGAAATTATGGACCGCAGCAAAGGTGATGACCTATCCAGAGTCATTACAATTATCCAGGTTCTTTGGTTTAACTTCCAGTTCTACCTTCGAGCAAGACAAGGCCTAATCTACACTGAGATTGAATGGATTACTATGGGCCTTAACATGTTCATTTTGTGCTTGTCTCTTTTCTGGTGGAAGAAGCCACTTGATGTCGGGTGTTCCATACCAGTTGCTTTGAAAACAAAGGCTTCTACACTTGTTCAGCTGGCAGATCTTGGTGCAGGTAGGTCCAAAAGTATGCTTTAGACATGCCCACTAACTCCAAGTTAGAGTCAAGTGTGGATTCAGGTATGTTGTCAACTTGTGATGTGCCACTTTTTATGCTAATTTATTCACTTTAGCATCTGATGAGCAGCATGGAATGGGTTAGTCTTTCTGCAATCATGAACATATTTCTTCAAATGTCTTAAAGTTGACCAAAACTAGAAACACTGAATGCATCAGAATCTAGGCCCTCCACTCCCATAAATGATGCAAAAGCTGCTACAGGCAAGTCTGAAAAATTGTGAAATAACAAACTCTATACTAATATAAAAATTAGGACCATCTTGTGAGGGGCAGAGCATAGGTTAGACTTCTCATGATCATGTGATCATTCCCATTGATCAAGAGGTAGAGATGACAGAACAGAGGCCACTCCTTAACCAACCTGATCAAGGAGTATCTAAGTCAGGACCTGAAGGTAAGCTCATTCTTACACATTTTAGCTATTTCTAACCATATCACATCTGGTCTGGGAAGTTGTAAAGCAGGATGGATGCACAAGGGTCATCACCCAACATCTTACTCCCTTGGTTTTTCTTCCAGCCAAGGTGTTCACAAGAAGGTGCTATGCTTTAGCTGGTTGGGAACAAGTTGATGAAGAAAGAGTGACACAAATTCCTACATTTTATGTGGCCAAGGGTATCAAACCAAATCTGATTTGGTGGTCATTCATCTTTATTGTTGCCTTTTCATTTGACTTTGTCCATTTATATGGTGGGCTTGCACCATGGATTGCCTTTCCGTCTGGTGTAGAGCACTTTCTCTGGATTTTTCTTTCAGGAGCCATGTGCTTTGTTACAACCTGTGCACTATTCTATGCTCTACTTCATCATGTAGGGATCATGCCAAAGTATGTTGGTACTCCCTTATTGCTGGCATTTTACATCTTTGTACGATTCTTTCTTCTGGTGTTAGCATTTTCCGGACTTCGAAACCTTCCACCCAAAGCCCTTGACAAGTACAAATTGCCTCCTTTTATCCTCAATTTTATTGGAAACTAGTATATCATTACCTACTCTACATATGCACAATCCATTTTCTCTTCCATGCTATCAAATATTTGATAAAGGTGCAGTGGATGTTGAGATTGATATAAATATTCCCAGCGTGGTATGTAAAAATCTGGCACCTCAGATGCGAAAGCCGTTACTTTGTGCTGTAGAAGTGGGGCTTAGCTGCGAGGGATAGTTTCAGCCGTCGAGTCAGACAAACTCTAGAAGTAGAAGAAGGCAAACAGCGTCGGCTTAATTTTAGATTGAGGGTGATGAAGAGGTCACGATGCGCATCGACGAATAAATGGGTCTGAGTGCTCCAAAAAAAGATAGGGGAAGACAGGAGAGGAACGCGAACGACTTGAACAATGTAGGACTGAAGAACAATGATCAACGGAATAAAATTGAAAAGATTGATAGCGATAAGTTTCGTAATACCGCGCAGTAGCGCCCACAAAAATGTGTTAAGTTATTCTTGGAGAGGTGACAGACTCACTTATCGAGGAAGGAGACGGATCCGTTCTGAGGCAATAACGTCTGGCGAGAGGAAAATTCACAGGGGATCAGGTCGAACAAACGCGTCAAGAGAAGGCTTGAACTTGGAGCGAGTCTGACGGGAGGTAGTATTAGGAGCGATGAAGACGGGTTATGATGCAGACGCCTACAACGGATACTGTACTTGTAGACAATGGCAACGAAATAGAAGTTGATAATCGGCGACGAGCTGGATGTTGCGGACGCCCACAATGACAGTCGGTCGATGTGCCAATTCGTCGAAGTTGTCGGTGGTGGGCGGAATCGTTTGAAGAAGGGAAAGAAAAGAGAGGCTTCCCAAAGCGTAGGCCGCTCGCGCTATTACCTGGTCGGAAAAACGGTCTGCAACATTAAATTTCATCACGATGAGTCGCTGGTGCCGAAGGCAATCAGACGATCCAGAACAACCTGATTGTTCCAGAGAATTAGCCTCTGCGCCGGTAAATCCACAAACAATTAAAATCGGTGCACCCACCGAGACATCAGGGACAATTCGGGAGATGTCTGATATCAATTTCATCCCATGAAGATCAGATTCCGAACGACTTGATGGATTTATTCCAAAAATTAGCCTTTGCGGTGGAATTTCATTCTGCTGCACGAACAATTGAAATCGACGTAACAAGCCAACAGGTTATGTGGAGATGAGACAACCCGAGAATCCTGGTCAGCTTGAGATTTCTATCATGATGCATGAACGATTGAAATCGACATGACATGCTTACCAACTTGAAGCGGACAAGAATTTCGGTGTGACCCCCGTCGGCGTGAAGCTAGCACGATAATTATAACCACATCGGGTTCGGAAAGACAGTCCGCGACATTATTACATGCGTTGACGCCGAACAGAACAACCTGATTGATTAAAAAATTAACCTCTACGGTGATGCACGCACAATGAATTAAAGGGAAAGAAAAGAGCCATAGCCTCGTTCCGAGGACCCTAGGACCCTATTCAAAGATGCGTGTGACCCTCGTCAGCTTGAAGCTAGCACCAAAATAATAACCGCGTCGAGTTCGGAGAGACAGTGTTGCATAGTGAATCACCGACGCCGAACAGAACAACCTGATTGACTGAAAAATTAACCTCTTGTGATTCCATTCTGATACACGCACAATGAATTAATGAAGAAGAAGAGAGCCATAGCCTCGTTGAAGACGCCTCACAACGGTCCTGGCAGTGAAGGCGCCAACGTTGGAATGGTACCAGTGGAGGCGCCTCACAACGGTACTGGTAAAGGCGCCTCACGAGTCACAACGGTATCGAGCAACGTTGATCACGTATAGCCCTACAGACTATGAAGGCTGCGTACAACCCTGTTCGTCGATTGAGTTTAAACAAGGGCGTGAAGGGATAAAGAGGCACGTTTACCAACGAACTCGACAGTCAAGAGACGGTCGCGAAGGGTTACGGCGATCGAACTTGTACAAGAGATGCCTGTGGGGTCACGACGGATGCTGTGGAGTTGTGAAGTTGTTGTTACGGTATGAAGTTAGACCCTCAGCGAGCATCGCACATACCTATGGGATAAAGACTAGCCACGGGTTTCCGAAAAAGAGACGCGCTTCAGTGTTAATCCCTTTGAGAAACTTGAAAGAAAGACGAGAAAGCTGAACAATGAAGGACGAGATTGTGACTGTGGGACACGAGATACGAGGACCCACAACGGCCCCAGAGCATTGATTTATGGGGATGAATGCGAGATTCGATGCTTGAAAGTTGGAGTTAGAGAATGAAAAAAAAAATGACAACGATCTCACTGATTGGATGGATTGACGCACATACATAAGTATGCTTATATGCACCCCACTGCGTCGAGCCGAAGTAGAATTCGTCGTGGATGGGAGAAGCACAACAGGAACCGAGCATATTCCTACAACCCAATCGGGCACGAGGCTCTCAGCCGAATCGGACATGCTAATGGGGACCTACGGACATCCGTTTCAGGGCAAGGTCCCCACCCGCCATACGTTAATGCTTACCTTTACGTAGGTAACTAAAGTTCCTGTATGTATCCATCCCGACAAGGCGGGGGGAGTGCTTCATTTTTGGGGAACAAGGTCGTCCAGGCGCAGCCTACGTGTCCACTGGAGAGTCGAGAGAGGGGCATGGTTGAATTTCATATCCGCCGCCAACGCGCATGTCGCTTCGGCGAGCGAGGGAGGCTTCGAAAGTTCGTTTGGAACAACGACGGTCGAAAAGAGGTCATAAACAACGTGCCAAATAAGGCGTGAATAAACGACTGGACGAAAGCGGCTGAGTCACATTTTTCGCTCGTCGAGCTTCTCGAGACCCCAGTCTTGCGTTGGCCCGTTGTGAGACGGTCCCCTCCATGGTTTGTGATACATTTGCTGGGTTTCGATGTTGACTTTAGCAGGTGAGTGTGAACAATGTGATGAGGAGGGACAGTGGGGACGACCTTCACACAGCCAGGGACAAATCCGACTCGGCGCCAATAGAAAGAAGGGCCGTAATACAACCGGGGTCCCTGTGATCCCACCCGCGTTCCCTCATTAGCTGGCTCTCTTATAAGGTGGAGAACAATAAGCACCTGGTTCGAACAATAGAACCTCATGCCTGCCCTCCGCCTCTCCACCCGCCGGAGACGCTCGTCACTCGCTTGTAAGTTCCCTCGCCTCCCTCTTATCGTGATGCCCACCACTAACCACCAAACACACACACAGTCACCCCAGCCAAAGCAGGCATCTACGGCGTCTCTCGCCCCGTAACATTCGCGCCAAACGTCACGCCTGTCTCCTACGTCGACGATGAATCTTCCTCAAATCTATTAACCGCCTCTGAGGAGCCAGCCTCGTTAGAAAACACCCTCTTTCCACCAAGCGCAACACCTGCCCCCCCACCTGCGAGAAAACGCTGTCCGCCCGGCAAGCGCCGGTCAATGGGATATATCCCCCGCCCGCCCAACGCGTTCATGCTCTTCCGTGCTGATTTCGTGAGGCAGAAACATGTCCCTGGGTCGATAGAGACCAACCATGGGTCGTTGTCCAAAATTATTGGTATGTTTCCTTATCTTATCTCATCGCACATCACCTCATGCATTTCCACATAGGCAACTGCTGGCGCGCCCTCCCCCTCGAAGAAAAACGCGTCTGGGAAGTCCGCGCAAAGCACGCAAAAGCAGACCACAAACTCCAATACCCCGAATACAAATTCCGCCCCGTCCACAACAAGAACAAGGACAAGACGAAGAAGGAGAAGGCGCCTGTGACGGTGGAGGATGAACGACGATGCGAGGAGGTTGCGCAGCTTTTGTTGGAGGGGAAGAAAGGGGAGGAGTTGGCTGCTGCTGTTAGGGATTTGGATAGTCGTTCTGATTTCACCAGGGCGGGTTCTGGTTCTGGGTTGTTCGTACACCAGCAACAACAACAACAACGCGAGCATAGAAGATCATCAAGCGTTCCCCTGCCAAACGACTATTATCCCGCCTTCAGCGGTATAACACTCCCCAGCGTCCCCTTCCTTCCTACCTCCCGCGCCCCATCCCCCGTCAACTCAATCTCACGACACCTCTACCAAGCGGCACAGTATAACCACCTAGGACACCGTCGTTCCTCATCCGCGGGGGCCATGTTCTCCCCACATCACTTCCAACAATCCCGATCATGGACGATGCCTCTAGAAACTCAAGCGCACACACTCTCCCTGCAACGAGACCACTCCCCGCTCCCGGAAGTCGACACGTCGTTGTTCAACCCTTCCTTTCAACTGGAAAGTCCCATACAGGAATCACCGTTCAACGTTGCAGACTTGATCGCAGGTCTTCCCTCCCATGTGGATCCGTCCCTCAACTCACATCATTCCGTCTCCGTGGGCCCACTGGAAGGTCTTAGCCCACACGATACGCATACGTTAGGTCCCTTCCCAGACGCTATGGACTGGTTGACACCAGCTGCGTCGGAAGCGTATTCGGAGGCGCCGACGCCTTATGAGTATGATTATGAAGGTACACCTCCTTTCGCGCGGGACGACCCTTCCCTCTTCACCCACGCGAGGAGTGAAGGCGACTCAGGGAGTCCGTATACACCTCCGAACGGGAACCCTCCCCTTCCTTCGCATTCCCACTTTGATAACGCCTCGATTCAACCTGTTGCTGTGTTACACCAACCGAAACCAACTACGCCAACCGCAAGCGCGTTCAGCGATATGTGGAAAGATGTGGGTGGGGATGTGTATGGTGGGTTGAACATCGGCGGGGGGGATGGGTATTCGGCTGAGGAGGCGTTTGATACGCTTTTTGAGTTTGATGCTGGGTATGGTGTTGGTGGTGAAGGAGGGGGGTATGAGTATGAGGGGATGGGTATGGTTGGTTGATCCTCACATCGTTCGGTTTGCACGCACACGCTCGCTCGACTAGACGATGACGCTCTTCTTTGATTTGGTTTGACACGAACTCCAACTGATTACGTTCTTTCTTTCTCTCGCTCTATTCTTCCCCTTTTTTCTTCCCCTTCCTTGCTTGCTTCATCTTTTTCCACTCAATCACTTTCCTTGCCCACAAACGATCCATCCTTTATGATAAACACACCCAACACTAATCACACACTCGCTCCACCCCAACCCACTGTAGCTATTATTTCCGTGTCTGCTTGATATCCCACCTCTCGACTATGTAGCCTATTGATTTGCTCTGATTTATTTTGTATTTTTGGTTTTCTTTCTTTTTGAATAACAATGATTTTCTCCGGAGATTTTTGCCTTTGAATCGCTCATATATGATACTTGCGTGACATGCGTGCAAATTGGCACGCAAGTACGCTAGTGCCACGCAGATTTCTAGTTGCCCTTTTTTTTTTCTCGGCGTAAGTAGAGGTTATCAGACTCCGCATGGGATAGAAATCGAACGTCCTCCTGAACCCTAGATATTACGTCTTTCGGTTTTGAAAAGGGGGATTAGTTTCTCGAATCTCCATGGAAAGACTGCAGGAACGTGTCATGTGACGGTCTCTGATTCCTGACTCGGAATCGCATAGCCTTCCTTTGCCATACTTACTTTTGGAAGTCTTTTGTGGAACCATCAACCCTTCCAAGTCTCAAGATGCGAAGCGACTGATTGGTGGCCAGCCTGGTGGACGTCGTCGTACTTATCGAGCGTTGACAGAGCGCCAATTGGCGCTTGAAGGCGCTTGACGATAATCATTCAACGTCAGCTGGAGCTATATTTGGAATGACAGCGTGGAGAGTGAAGAGATAACTCCCCCAGAAGCCAATTACCACCAGTACGGTTGGCGAGCAGGGTCAGGTCTATTCTGACGTCCAGAAGTTATAAGAAGTTATATTTTTATCGCTGGGGTCCACGTATCAAAGGCTGTGACGTTCATCCTCACAATTTAATATAATTCTTTTTAATAAGAACAATTTATTCCCTGTATTGGGCAGACAATCGCTGAGTACTTGTACTTTTCGGCGATTGCATATGCTAAACAGAGGTTTTTAGTGCCGCTACTCAAGCGTTGGGTCTCCGACCATTGGTTCAAGTTGAGGGCAAGGATATTCAGGTAATTAGTAATACTAATAGTGAGATCACACAGCACTCAAATGTTGGAGCAGACTTACCCCTTTGCACTTCGAACAGCAAGCCCCAGAGTCAGCTGCTCGAGGATGCCACTTGTAGGAGGATTGCCACCCACAGAACATCCCCTGGTCAGTATTTCAGCCTGGTCAGCCATCTACTATCCAGGCAAGGTCAGTGTCATGACGTGACTACCTGTCTGGATCTAATTACAAAAATCAAAGATACGCCGTTGGCCTTGTCTTTCTCTCCCCTCTCGGGGATTTGATTCGCCGAGGACAACTCTTGCTCAATATTGACGTTCACAAAATCGATAGTCGGCTTCAATTTTTCGTCGCAATTTCATCTGTAACACCAGCTGCGTATTGCTGCGAGGTTGACAAACACACAAAGAAAGGTAATTGGTTGAAAGGTTTTGATGCTCCTTGCTGCTGACCTTGCACACCCAAACTGATGTGCAACGCAATTGTACTTTCTGGCCTACTGATGAGTGTGCTCCTGGAATAATCGCCCAGTTTTCCAGTTTCCCCACTTCCACTGTTCAAATTCTATTGCTAAGCCTGACTATGACACTTAAATGGTATATTCATTGTGAATACGTTGGAAGCGGTGACAAGGACCCCAAGCACCTGTCAAAATTTCTCGGATCAGGCTCTATCGGGCTTCGAACAGACCTGACCCTGCTCGCCAACCGTACACCAGTCGACGAATTGTCCTCTGTGGGCCAGTGGCCATCTAGCACTTGATTCGAAGCGTCCAGCCCGAGGTGTGTTTATCCTCTAGGGTCAACCAAGGTGACGAGTGCTGTCAATAGCCGTTTACCAGACTTCCCAAGCGCTTATCCTAGGACACATGTCCTCTACAACAATACCTTTACAGGCTGATTGACAGGAGAAATGCATTGACACATCGTATTTATAACGTATGTCACCTCAAGGCTCACACACAAGGCAGACATTCTCACTTTCCCCATGACTAGTTCTTCCTTCCTCCGCCACCTCTTGGCGAAGATTGACAAGAATAATGAACATACTTCTGAGATTCGTCAGTATTCCCCTCACTTTTTATATCCTTTGATTAGTAGCTATATGATCAATCAGTGGATGACATGATCCGCAACGCCGACACTGAACCTGGAATAGACCCGAATCCCAGGACTGCGTCTGTGAAGCAGTGTATGCCATGCGGTCACACATTGAACGGTAGAAACCTTATCGTATGCATTGACGGGACGTCCAACCAGTTTGGAGATAAGGTGAGCGTCTGGTTGGCAGATATCCCTCCAGGATTCCGACGCTTTCAACGATCAGAACACAAACGTAATCGAATTGTACAACCTCATATTGAAGAAGGACAATGATAGACAAAGGACGTGGTACAATAGTGGGATCGGCACTTACGCTCAGCCATCGTGGAAGTCGCTCAGCCACTACAAGAATAGTGATGTGCAGGCCCGGCTTGGCCTGAAAGCCACGGCTATGGCCTGGCTTTGGGCGGCTCAGGCTTGACCATACTCAAGCCTGAGCTTTTTGCAAGGCTTCAGGCTGGCTCAAGCCCGGCCCAGGCCAAGCCACGGCTCATGGGCGAAAGTCAAAAAAACACGTACAAACAGTCAATTAGTCTTGAACCAACAACAAAATCTCTACAAGTACGCCTCCGTGTCAAACGCTGCACCCCCTATCTCCGCTGCTCATCGCATTGGGACGATTGGGAACGTCAAGGTTGAGGCAATGATCCGGAAACGTCGTATGAGGTATCTAAGCATCTCACGCTTGCTTGGACTCATCACTCACCTCACTACTTTGCAGACTTTCGGAGAAGATGTCGAACATTTCTCTTCTATTCCAATATTTATCAGTCTTAACCAGTACTTACACCATTTCTAATCAAGAAAACTTTGGCCAGGGTGGTGCTGGCAACAATTATGAGCATGCAAGATTACTGTACCTCTCCAAAGTGAGGTATGACCTTGCTTTGGAGAGGAGTCCCACCAATCTTCGAGGCCATGGCTCAGGCCACGGCTCAAGGCTTCATGCGTCATGAGCCTGAACTTTGGGCTTTGCTGGGCCTTGATGACGGCCCAAGAAGGCCCGGCTTTGGGATGGCTGGCCCTGGCTGGCTTACGGCTTTGGGCCGGGCCCGGCACATCACTATACAAGAAAGTCGTTTATCACAACATCGACTTAGCGATTGCATGGTATGTATGGCAAGCGCTACTTCGCCGATTGTAGTTTGATTTTTCCCCTTGATAATCCAGGGATTTTGAACGAACGATTTTGGGTGCATATCGCTGGCTGTCGGATAATTACGAGGAAGGCGATTGTATATTTCTATTCGGTAGGTCATGACAAAATAACCTTGCTTTATGACCGCGTCCTGACTCGTGTTAGGGTTCTCTCGTGGAGCGTTTCAAGTTCGAGTGCTCTCGGCGATGATCGACAAGGTGCGTCTCGCCCTGTTTGCAAACAGTACTTTGACTGAGGTCCCTCGGAAAATTCAGGTCGGCCTCATCTATAAGGGGAATAACATGCAGATACCATTGTGCGTCTCCCGATCTCAGGCTCTATCCTTCCCAGACATTCATCTACATATCCAGTGCATATCAGCTATATGCCGATTCAGAAAGTGGTGCGCGTCCAGTGAGTGATGTTGGTGCCAATCCTGAGGAGAAAACGACCATGGCCGATCGTTTCAAGAAAGCCTTCTCACATGAGAATTTGACGGTACACTTCATTGGAGCCTGGTGCATTATTCAAACTGTCACAGCAGAAAGACAAAATGACTGATGTTGCATTAGGGATACCGTTTCGTCAATTGGGATTACACGTGGGAAGTCCCTTCCAGAGACAGTCACCGGGATGGCGCATGTCTGCTATTTTCGCCATGCACTCGCGCTTGATGAGCGGCGGGTTAAATTTCTCCCTGAGTATGCATACGGGGGATCCGCCACCCCTGTGAAACCGACAGACAAAACCAGAGGTACGTGGGCCCCCGTGATTCAACCTGTCATATGCAGTAATCCCAAGCTGGTACAGAGCCCAAGGGATCATTTCCACACATAAAGGAGGTTTGGTTTGCGGGGTCGCATTCAGATATGTAAGTTTATTCTCGCTCACAAGTAGATCACTTATTTATGGATTGTAGTGGGGGTGGAGGGGCAAAAAACACTAATATGGATCGTGCTCGACCACCGTTAAGGTGGATGGTTTTCGAGGCGGGGGAAGCTGGCCTTCGCACCGCGCTATTCAAGCGTGAACTGAAGGAAGATGAACATGTCAACGTTACTGAATCTATGAAATGGCCCTGGCATTTCCTCGAGATATTTCCATTCAAAAGACTAACATATACACATGCGAGAAATGGATCACCAGAGACGACTCGAATGTGCGTCTGTTGGTGGTTGGCCTTGTATTTACTAAGCCATATGTCAGGCCTCACCGTTGGAAAGGCCGAAAGATCCATCCGGGTCAGAAGATCCACATATCCTTAGTGTGGGCTGCCGCAGAGTTAGCTCAGAACTACATCCCAAAAGCACGTCCTCCTCCTCTCGATGATGGCATTTCGTTCTGGGAGAAGCTACGTATCGAGAAGGAGCAAATCCCGAACAACTCCGAATGGCTAGAACTCGACAGGTCTTATCACATCAAACTTGCAGTCCAGAAACTAGTTACTCAGAGCGACGATGCCCTTTTGAAGTCTCTGCATGACACATCCATGTCGGGTAAGCTTTATTCCCCTTAATGTTTTTCATTCAGTTGAAGGGCTTCAGCGGACACTCGCCAGGGGGTATACGATAGTGTGATTGACGCCCTTGAAAAGAAACAACCCACCCTCACTCTCGATAACAAGAATCGGCTCCTTCACACCACGATGCAACTTCTGAAAAAGAGCCCCCGAAACAAGCCGGATTTCAAACTGCGCACTTCACACGATATTAGGCCCCTTTTGTCAGACCTTCTTGCCGACACAAATTATCAGCAAACGGCATGTGAATTTGTGACCGTATTCACAGATTGTGAGCAAATCCTGCCTTTTGTTAATCCATGAGCGATTAAAGACCATACTCCAATGCACAGTTGCCTTTAAGGTGACCCATTTACAAGATGTCAAAGGCTTTGCTGGTTGTGCGATCTCACCTGACGGCAGACGCATAGCAGCTGGCTTCGCCGACGGGTCGGTTCGAATCTGGGATACAGAGACTGATAGACCAGTGGGGGAGCCATTGCAAGGGCACCGTCGTCCGGTCCTCTCTGTCGCTTTCTCACCTAGTGGCACGCGCATGGTATCAGGCTCGAAAGACGGAACAATTCGGATCTGGGATGCAGAAAATGGTAGCCCGCTTGGAGAGCCTTTGCAGGGCCACAACGATCCGGTCCTGTCTGTCGCTTTCTCACCCGAGGATACGCGCATAGCATCTGGCTCGGAAGACGGGACAATTCGCATCTGGGATGCAGAAACCGGTGCCCCGCTTGGAGAGCCGTTGGAAGGACACGACCGTTTGGTCTTGTCCATCGCGTTTTCACCCGACAGCAAGCGCATAGTATCTGGGTCGGATGACAAAACAATTCGCATCTGGAATGCAGAAACTGGCAGCCCAGTTGGAGGGCCTTTGCGGGGACACAACGATTGGATTAGGTCTGTCGCGTTCTCACCATGATGGCACGCGCATAGCATCTGGCTCGGATGATAGGACAATTCGGATCTGGGATGCAGAAACTGATAGCATGGTGAAAGAGCCATTGCGAGGGCACGATAATCCGGTCCTGTCTGTCGCGTTTTCACCTGACAGCAGACGCATAGTGTCTGGGTCGAAAGAACGACAATTCGGATCTGGGATGTAGAACACTGGTATCATGGTGGGAGAGCCATTGCGAGGGCACGATGGTATGGTCTTGTCCGTCGCGTTCTCACGTGACGGCACACGCATAGTATCTGGCTCGGAAGATGAGACAATTCGCATTTGGGATGCGGAAACTGGCAGTCCGGTTGGAGAGCCGTTGCGGGGACACAAAGGTTGGGTCTGGTCTGTCGCGTTTTCACCAGATGATGGCACGCACATAGCATCTGGCTCGAATGATAGGACAATTCGCATCTGGGATGCAGAAACTGGTTGGCCAGTGGGAGAGCCATTGCGAGGGCACGATCATCCGGTCCTGTCTGTCGCGTTTTCACCTGACAGCAGACGCATAGTGTCTGGGTCGGAAGGAACGACAATTCGGATCTGGGATGTAGAAACTGGTAGCCATGGTGGGAGAGCCATTGCGAGGGCACGATGGTATGGTCTTGTCCGTCGCGTTCTCACCTGACGGCACACGCATAGTATCTGGCTCGGAAGATGAGACAATTCGCATTTGGGATGCGGAAACTGGCAGTCCGGTTGGAAAGCCGTTGCGAGGACATGATGGTTGGGTCTTTTCTGTTGTGTTTTCACCTGACGGCAAGCACGTGGTATCTGGGTCGAGTGACAGGACAGTTCGCATTTGGGATGCAGAAACTAATAGCCCGGTGCGAGGGCCATTGCGAGGACACGATAATTGGATCAGGTCTGTCGCAATCTCACCTGACGGCAAGCACATAGTATCTGGCTCAGATGACCGGACAATTCGGATCTGGGATTCACTGGCAGAAACTGATAGCCCAGTGAAAGAGCCATTGTTAGGGCACGATGGTTGGGTCAGGTCTGTTGCATACTCATCTGACGGCACACATATAGTATCTGGCTCACATGATGGCACAATTCGGATCTGGGATGCAAACACTGGCAGTCCGGTGGGAGCGCCATTGCGAAGACATCATGACCACGATTACGTCTGGTCTGTCGCGTTTTCACCGGACGGCACGCGCATAGTATCGGTCTCGCGTGACGGGGCAGTTCACATTTGGGATGCAGAGACTCTGAAAATATTGGATGCGACGAGAAGGAGGAGGTACCCGAAGGAAACAGATTAGCCACAAAAACACAAGTGGTCCTTCGCCGTTTTTGTACTGTCCTCTACAACGGGTGTATGGACATAGTCATACATTTAAATAGCAGGAAAGGAAGCTGATGACAAGCGAGCCGTTCCACTAATTTATTTACATTTCTAAAAAAACCGCTAGAGCAACCGTCATCACAACTGGGATATCGTTTTGCACTCAGCTGTAAAACATGCGCCTGGGACACCAAATTCACCTTTAAGATTCGATCTCACGCAACTATATAGAGGGACCATGCTCTTCGTAAGATGGGACACACCCGTTCCTGCCTCCCTTTCGGCAGTAAGCGATGCATATAACAGCGGTTTTCAACTTACTGAGCTTATTTTTCCGCTACCAATGACCTGGATAATCGTCGTTTGTACCTCTTCCGATCTATTGACCTCCCGGATGGAACATCTATCCCCGGGCAAGTGGCAACATTTCAGGAACATCATGAGCTGCGTTCTAAGTTTACAACGCCCAATGGGGGAACCTGGATTTGGGTTCGAAGAGGTAGACGCCGGGTGAGGTGAGCATCAGATAACCATTGACTCACAGGACATCGGGATTGCGTGGCTGACTCTATGGCTCGAATTTTCATGCAAAGTCTGTCCGACAGGGAGGAGGCCGACGTCAGCGGAACTGAGTGCGTAGAGAAATCTGCCCAAGATCGAGAGTGGTTGTGAACGTAGAATTGGCGAAAATGATAAAGTGTAGATAGCCCTTTGTGTGCCGTGCAGCCGGACTCCAGTACGTATCATAAAAGTCACTTCGCCACTGCACGTCACGCGTCATGGTAGAGGAAGCGTTGAACAGTTCGTAATATATGCATGGCTTTTTGTTATTGGTTATGGATGTATGCTGATACGGCTGAACTTCTCCGCATCCTCAGAATCCGTTTAAAGACAGACAGAAATCGGCACACATACCTGATGTTTCGGGAACACATCACCATGCTAAATCGCAACCGTATTGATCATGATCGAAAGTTCTGCAATACCCCACCCAAACACCAAAGCGAGGGTGCTCAGGTGGTGTTGGAAGGACGCGCCTAGTAGGACAAAGCCGCAGATGTACAAGGGGATGGATATGTAGCATACCCTGTTCCAGAGGAGACGCGTGAATAGTTACATAACACTCACGATTGGTTTAGGGACGCACCGTGTCATCATTCATGAGAGATGGAGGGGCCCGAAAGAGGACCATTCGGGGAAAGTTGGGTCGGTGAGTCGGGTCGATGTCGCAAGGGTTGTTCCCATTTTGACGGCCGATATGGGGTATGCAAGGCAGACTCCAGAGCGATGGTGAATCGAACACAGCCACATTGTCGGAAATTTCCCTGGCGCCTAATAAGGGTTATTAGGCACCCAAGGCACCCCTAACCTAATAATGGCTTACAACGTTGCAGTTATTTTATTAAGTTTTGGGTTAACTTAATAAGATCAGATTATCAGGCCTGATAAGATTATCCAAATTATAAATAGTCACAGTCTAGATCCGCGATGAGCAAGCACGAGGAACGAGTGCAAGCTCATTATCGGATAAGATAACGAGTGAGCGTCAGAACGAGACCTTGTGTTTGTACTCATAAGTACAAACACATATGTATGTCTCCAAAATCCTAGACAAGGAGACTACATCTCCTTGTCATTCAAACTATCGTTCTGACGCGGTAAAAGGGTCTCTTCAGCTTCAGCGAATTTTTTGAATTTTTGACACTTTTTCTGCTGCATCTTGCGATGACTGACAATCCTCAACTTCCCTCTCAAACTCTCGCTTCCGCTGAAAGTTCTCAGACGGCCGCTATGCCTGTCTCTCAGACAGCTTCGGATACACCTCTTTCTCAGATGGTGGCCACACCTCTATCTGACTCTTTTGTTGCTCCAACCCGCATTCCCCGGACTCATACTTCACCGGCTATTATTAAAATGCTCAAGAGTCTTCCCTTGATTTCGATTCTCCAGATGAATAAAGAAATTGAGGATAAAAATGCCTTAAGGTCTCGGAAGACTTTTAACTCATACATCCACAAGGACGAATTTCCTACGTGTTTCGATACTGCATCCAAAGTTGCGGATATTGTGAGTAACCTTTTCTTCTGTTCCTTTCCCCACCTTTCTTCCTTTCTGTTACTCTTATATCATCTTTTCTGTTCCGTGCCTCTGGCATGATGATTATCATCTCCCACGCGTCGAGTGTGATGACTCCTCTCCCACACGTCGAGTGTGATGACCCTCTTCCACGCGTCAAGTGTGATGATCCTTCTCACTCGTGTTGGGTATGATAATGCTTTGTGTATTATCTTGGAGTTGTCATCTGCATTTATCTTTGTACTATATTATGTGCACGTCTTATCTCTCATCTTCCTGTTTTGTCTATCCCTCATCTCCTGTGTATCTTACTTACATCTTTGATTTCTGTACAGATTTCTCATGCGCCTCCTGGAATGCAGGCGTGCACCCTCGATATAAAAAAGTTCCATCGCACCTGTCTAGTCCTTCCTTCCCATAAACCTTGGCTTGTCGTCCAAGGCCCTTCTGATGATTTCTTCATCAATCACGCTCATCCCTTTGGGGCTGCTTGTGCCAGCAGTAATGCTGGCATGATTGCAAATGCTGTTGTTGACATCTGGCGAGCAGAAGGGGTCTTCCCAGTGCCGAAGTATGAAGACAACTTGAAGGCCTTCCAGTTTCCTTCATCATCAGGCCCTTTCATCGAGGGCGATTTTCATTATGATTATGATCGTGACAAGATGCTTCGCCGTGTCTCTTCTTTGGGTGTACCTTGGCATGATGAGAAGGGTGATGAACGGTTTGCTTTCGTCACCACCTTCATTGGATTTCTTTGGGATATTCCTCGCAAATGTGTTAGCCTACCGGAAGGGAAGAGAAACAAATTCCATCAGCACGTACTTCAGTTCTTGACTGACTTTGAGGGCTGACCTTGCCATTTACGTGACGTTGAAAAGATTCACGGATCCCTCTGTCATATTGCCTTCGTTTACCTTGATGGTCGTTCTCATTTACCTTCTCTCTCTAACTTTGCATCTACGTTCCATAGTGATGAATTTCTTACAAAGTATCCTCCACACTCGCTGATCACCGACCTGAAGTGGTGGTTGGTCAAGCTTACTCTGCCTAGGGTATATCGGTCACTTCATCCCCTTGGCCCTCTATCAGATCTTGGGCTTTACGTTGATGCCTCCACATCGTGGGGCATCGGCATTATCATCAACGGCGAATGGGCAGCTTTCCAGCTCTCATCTTCTTGGAAGATTGAGGGCCGTGATATTTGCTGGCTCGAAACCGTTGCTATCGAGCTCCTTGCTCTTTTCTTAGAGTCTCGAGGCCATCGGGACACCCACTTACTCATGCACTCTGACAATCAAGGCACCATCGGCGCTCTTGATAAAGGCCACAGCAGGAATATCTACCTGAATCTCGCTGTCCGTCGCACACATCTCATCCTCATGTCTACATCTCTTACTTTTAAAACTGTCTACATCAAGTCTCATGCTAATCCAGCGGATCCTATCTCGCACGGAGAACCAGGACCTGCTGGAAAGCAAATGTTCCCACCTTTCAAGCTCCCTGATGAGCTACGTTCCTGTTTTGTTCATGCCTAGGTCAGCCTGTCTTTCCTCTCACACGGCTCCCCTTTTATCTTACCCTGATATCCTACTCAGCTTAGATTATCCTTTTAAATCGGCGACACGTCTCGTCGAGACGACTGTGGGTGGTTCACCCCTTGTTCCTCTGCACCCCACACATCATCATACTCTTTTTAATCCTTTCAAACCTCGCTCTGCTACATCTCTTCCCTCTCCTGTGCCTTCTTTGACATCATGTACCCTTCCTTTGACATCGGGTACTCTTCCACCTCTCACAGTTCCACCTCCTACAACTGTTGTACCACTGCTACTTGCCACCCATCTTGTTCCTGACAACCCATCTCTCTCATCCCGCCTTATTAAACCCAGGAAACCTCACACTGGATGTCAAATTTGTCACAACCCTCTAAGTCCTCACGTTGCTGCCACCGATCATTTATTTGCCTGGGAGACGCCTCATGCTGCTCGTCACAGGCAGCACCTTATCGACTCTCTTCCCTCAGACTTGGTCAACAGTGCCGTTATGTCTATCCGTGGTGCATACACACCTAACACTAAAACAACGTATGCCACCGGTACCTTGCGCTTTACCCAATTCTGCAACAGATGGGGTATTGATGAGGAAGCACGAATGCCTGCTTCCTATCCTCTCCTTTGCGCCTTCATCGGGGAATACAAGGGCAGACAAGCTGGGAACACTATACGCTCCTGGCTCTCGGGTATCTGTGCATGGCACGTCGTCAATCATGCCCCTTGGTTTGGAGATGATGAATGGGTCCAGTTGGCATGCGTGTCTGCGAACAAAGAAGGGACAAAGCACAAACACCCTCTGCGTGCTCCTGTCTCCATTGAGCACTTGTTGGCTCTTTGCCGTGCCCTCAATCTATCTACTCCTTTCCATGCTGCCATTTGGGCTCTCACCCTCTGTACATTCTTCGGCTGTCGACGACTGGGTGAGCTGGCCATTACTACTGCCGCCACCTTTGATGACAGATACCATGTTCTTCGCTCTGTCATGTGCGCCCCTTCTCTTCATTCTGTAAATTCTATTCTCATGTTTTTGCAGTATTACCTTCTGTACCTTGCGTGATGGCTCCTCCTCTGCAAACTTCTGCATTCCTTGGACCAAGACCACAAAAGAAGTTGGCGCCTCTGTGATCCTCACTGTGCAAAACGATGTTCTCTGCCCCGTAGCTGCCTTGAAGAACCACCTCTTCGTCAACTCATCTGTCGACCAATCGGCCCCCCTCTTCGCACATACAACTACGTCTTCCCAGTCAAAGACTCTCCTCAAGCATGAATTTCTGAATTTCTGCACTCAAATCTGGTCATCGGCGATGCTTGCACATGTCCTTGGTCATAGCTTTCATATTGGTGGAGCCGTTGAACTTCTCCCAGCGGGCGTACCACCAGAAATCGTCGCTGCTACAGGCGGCTGGACTTCTCTTGCCTTCCTACTCTACTGGCAGCGCATGGAGGAGATCTTGCCGATGAGTACCTCAAAAGCATACAGCAAGAAGTCCCATCTTGACTTGCTCGCCGCAATCTTTGAACAGTTTCGCATTAACAACAAAATCCCTCCAGCGCTCATCATCGCCTCTAACGGGAACCTCTCCTTGTAATTGTCCACCCATTCTTAACTATCTTGTATTTATATCTCTGCCTATCCCGACCTATTTTGTATTGATATCAACCTACCTCAAAATTTTTTATTGTGCTACACTATCCTGTATTTCTGTTTCTAACCAATGAAATCTCTCCCAGAGTGACGCTCATTTGGGTAGTTCCTCCATGCTGAACCAACTTGCTTGTTGCGAGCTTACACTCTGGTTGGTATAGCTAGTTGGTTCTGCACAGCTTTCCAGACACTCAGGTCTTGCCCATCTTCGATCTTGCTATTGTCAATCTAGATCTGACTTGAATGAGCCGGGCAAGTCCTAGGCACACACAAGTTATCCGTGTCCACCGATTTCTTGTATTTAAATATTTGCTGTATTTAAATACTCATTCCTCCTGTATTCTACAGGACGCTAGAGTTATCTCATCTTAACAATGTTACGTGGCAAATTAAAATGCAACAAGTAAGGATTGAACCAAAAACCTCGGGGCTCGTGCGATCCTCATGTGAAGACTACAAATTTGTAGTCGCAACATACCACTACACTACAAAGGCATATAAGAAGCTTCCCAAGGTCGTTTATATATCTAGTATTTAAGCCTACCTTACAACAGCATTATCTTTACTCTCTGTATGGAATTTGGTATCATTTTGAGCTGAACATGATCAAAAGGATACAGATAACGTTATAAGACACACAAAAAATCAATAATTGGTTCATAGCCTTGACCTGGCTGCAGAGGCAATTGGAGCCTATGTTACGAGGCTGGACAAATCTTATCAGACCCGATTTGCCTTATCACACCTTATCGGAGATCATCAAGCTTGTAACGTGGAAATAATCATTACATCAGAGGTCTGGTCGCCTTGTAAGAGGACCCCGGTCAATAGCAGAAACGGTCTGATCCCGAAAATGGGGGTTTTGTCCGGACGCCATTTCGCAGTTTCTGTCCGGATTGTACCTGGCCTACCCCAAATTTTGTAGATTTTGTCCGGGTTGGCGGATCTGGGGGTTTTTCAGCAAAAATTCGTCCGGATCCGCAGATCTAGCCAATCCAGGGCATAAAAAATGGCCCAGGTAGGCGCAAATGGTCCAGAGACCCCTCCAGAACTTCAACAAACAAGAAAACGATGTTAGGTCATGAATACATAGTATGTGTGATGTAAACTAGTCTTCTAAATCAAAATCTCCCCCCCCCGCCTCGTTTTTTCAAGAGTTTTATCACTGCTGTAAGTTTTTTTTCACCATTTCGCAGGGCTCGATAACGATCAGCATCTTCCAGTGTTACTTCAATGAAAGACGCAGCCAATTGTGTGAATCAAAATCGCAGTTGCATCAGGCACTGAACGGAACTGTCGGGCCATGCAGTACTGGAAGAGCTGGACACCAAGGTACGAAACTGCTGGGATGGTCGATGATTCCGTGATTGCACTGTGTTTCCTGTTCTTCCCACCAGTTTTCGAGTACATTGCAACAACTAAACAATAGTTGTATCAGCCGTAAAATGTTATCAGTGTATCGAAGGTTTACCATGCCCAAGCATAATGCCATAATTTGCTGTAATAGAGCTATCCGGGCTTATTGAGCATAACTGACTGTGTCAACTACAAATAACACGTGTAAGATGAGCAAAACGTTTAGTTCAAGAATCGAACATCCGATCTTGGGAAAAGCGGCACACGCCATATCGCACCCTTGACAACTCAGAGACCTTCTGTCCGGATTTGCTGCCTGAGGGTGTATGTGTCCTGAGCAATTTTGTCCGGGCTGGGGTTCTGGCTAGTTTCACGTTTGGTCACTTTCTGTCCGGACTGGCTCCCGGCCGATTTGCGAAAATCCAATTTTTTTGTCCGGATCGGGACCAGACCGTTTCTGCTATTGACCGGGGTCCTCTTGTAAGGCAACCGAGGACCCTGGAAAGTACCCTCAGATGCCGTATCCCAAAATGCCCAAAACTGAGCGATTTTTATCCGCTCAGTTTTGCCAAATTTCTATCCGGATATTGGATTCGGCCTTCAAAAATGCCAATTGGTGATGTGCATAGGATCAACTTAAAGAAACGTCGGTTACTGCCACTACGTCTCTTAACTTCAAGTTTGGGGCGTCATGGAGGGGATCGGTATGAGAAGATGCCGACTTGTCGACAGGCATGCGAACCAAGAGGATCATAGTGAAGATGAAGAAATCTTGTTGCCGATCTCAGCCTTTGACACCGCCGATTACTCATCTATGGGTAGGTTCTTGGTACCCATTGTCCGTATTTTAGTAGATACAACGGCCTTTTTGCAGTGATGGGCCATGACTCGTATTCATTGCGATAGTGGCACGGACCGGGTTGCTTGCTGCTTCCCCAAACGCGCAGGGTCGGTTGGGTTCTCCTTGGTCAGCCGGCTTCTGCGTAGGGTCTCATGAAGGCCTTAGTCCGTACGCTACTATGCCCCAGGCGCATTGGGGGCCGTTCCAAGACGCGATGGGCTGGTTCATTCTCCCTCGCTGTAGAACCTTCATTCAGAAGCTTCGACGCCTCCAGACCTTGCTCGACGAGTCATTCTCGCGCTCCAATGGCTCATGGAAACCACCGCAAGCTAATACACGGCTTCCTCTCGACATCCTGTCCCAATGAGACGACGCCTTGTTGCGGCTCAATGACGCCCTTTCCTGCCCAACGCATTCATGCTATGTCTCTGGGTCGATAGGGACGAACCATGGGTCGTTATCCAAATCATCGGTTCGTCTGCGTTCCTTTCCTTGCCGCATCTCACCTCACCTATTCCTCAGTTCTCTTCCCTTGAGCTTTCACACGTTAAGTCTTACGATTATCTATGCTTTTGCGTGTCAATGAATATATAGATATGAATACACTAGTTGTCTGTAAAAATGTGGTTAAAATGAATGTTATCGAGCGCCGCTGGCGGAAGGCCGCGTAGTGTGGTAAATCCTAACACGAAGAGAATGACCCGTGCCAAGATGTATATCCCCAGCAATGTGGAGATTCTAGCGATCAACATCTGCCTGCCATGTTGATGCTGAATATAGACGAATGAAAGAAGGTTTGGGATCGGCAAAAGGGTAAAAAATGACGAAAAAAGCCAGACGTAACCCTCCGTCTCCGTTGGAAATGTTGAAACAAAAAAAGCAAGAAAATGAATCACTCCAAAGATGATGGAAAAAAGGATTGCAATGATCCATTGCCAGTGCATACGAGAGTTGGAATCAATCTCAGCTCCGTAAAATGTGGGAACCCGCGTCGCCCCTTCTTTGACAACGTGATTCAAGGCGGTTATTTCGCCTAACCTCCTTGTAAGCGCCTTAAGTGGATTCGAAATGAAGGAGGTGAGCTTAGTGAATCCCCTCGTTATTCTGGATCCCTTCTGATAATCTTTCCAAATGGCAGGTTAAGAGTCAGAGTAGCCACGTAGATGTCAACACAAGCTTACCTTTACGTTCCGACCCAGATATTGCTTGATCGGGTTTATCAAGGGTTTCCTTTGTTTCTGCCTTTTGGTAAGCAAGAGCATTGAAAGTACGTAGTTCTATTGCACGGAGACGTACCCATGTCCTGCCCGTCATGAGGTGCTGTAGTTTTTGTTGTCCCATAAATTCAACAAAAATCGGTATTTGACAAATATAAACCTCACCCGAAGGAAGTTCTGCATCTTGAACCGGATTGGAGGCGTCGAGTCGCAAAGCAAGGGGTATAGGAAACTGAGCATTGAGGGGCTTTCGCCACCAAAGGAAGTGGAGGGCTCCATTGAAAATCGCCACGGCAACAGTAAGCCATTCTATATGAGTAATGGCGAGACCCTTGTACTCTCTCAGTCGGAGGAAGAACTGAATGATGAACCACGTAGTTTGCACGACAGTAAGGGTAGCAGATAGGCCATCGCCTTTGCTACGGTCGTTGATTTCTTCCTCCGTAATCGTTGGAAGATCTATTTTCTTCGCCTTGAGCAACTCTTGAAATTTCTCGGCAGCGAGTACGCCCTTGTTGACATCTCCGTCCATCAGCGTAAATCCTCCCATCTGTACGAAATGGCCATGTGTCATCGTCCAGCGTACATCACACAACTCTGGCGTATCGAGTGTGATTTAATCTGAATAACATACAACATTATACGGGCTCACCATGAACTTTTTGCGTTATATGCCGAGCGCCCCTCCATTGCCTCATTGCCCAGATGAGGATAAATTCTGGCGCGATCAATCCCCACAACATCAATTCGATCCTTCGCCGGGTCACCTCCCACCATCCTTCATCTCGCCCTGGAATGTTGGGATGAACTGAGGACCAGGTGCATAAAGCGATCGTCACAATGCAGTTCTGGACGATAGTGAAAACCGTGCGCTGATCGGCAGGACAATCACAGGTCGGTAGAGGTAGCTGGTCGCGTGGACGAAGGACATCCAGTTCACCAAAGAGATCCAATGGAGCAGCGCGGGTCGATACAAGCGAGAAGTAGAGGGGTGCTAGAAAGATAAGCATCGTGAAGCAGGGGTTCAAGTTGTATTGCCAAAGGATGCTCACTACTTGTTAAATACACGCCTCGCACGAGCGCGTTGACCCTGAGATGGGAGAGTTTCTGCCAGGGTATGAACTAACACTTGTCCAAAGAAAGGGGCCATCGCCACAACGAAGCGCCAGGAACCACCTTGTTCTAGTCAGACAGTGGTGATCTGACCCGGGCGAGATGAAACTTGTCACCAGCCCGTCGCCGAGTTATCCAAGGATGAGTTAGGCGTAGCCTGAGCCAATTGAACATACCATTGCTTTTCCGTCTCGCAGTGAACGCTACGAGTGGGTGTCCGTCGCGGCAAAAGTTCTGAAGGTGAGGAGTGAATTTTCGAAAGATAGCGAACACAGCCATATCACCTTTTCCGATGCTCATAGCAACCACCGCAAGCTAATACACGGCTCCCTGCTAGACTCGACTCCAGTCTCTATGCCTTGGGACAACAAATGAGTTTTTTGGGTGAGTCCGAATTAGGAGGGTCATACACGGGTGATTGTTCCCAAAGAAGTGTATTCTGATGCCAGATCAGCATCCGTTCATAACGGCTGGTGGCGAGCCTAGCTTTGGCCTAGCTCCCTGCGCTTCCCACTCTACATCCTGTCCCAATCAGACGACGCATTGTCGTGGCTGAATGACACAGCTTTCCCTACTATTTGGAACCAGATAGGTGGAAGGATAAGACGCGTACGGGGGCCATATGGAGGAGCGGATGAAGGGTGAAAGAAAGGCCTGGACAAACAACTACAAAGCGTATGTAAGTGCAGAAATTCTATCAGTAAATTGCTTGAAAGGCGTATATCTCAGCAAGTATTTACTCCCTACCCTTAAAATAAATTAGATGGGGACTAACAGCATTTACAGTAATATGAGCAAAAAAATGGGGGTTTTAGTATGGTTTTTACGATTGTTCTGTTCTTGAGCACAGAAACTGGGGGTAAACACATGCAACATCGCTTCGACTGAAGATGTTCGGAACTCTTAGCGCAGTCGTTCAGCCTTATCCTCGTCCACCCGTCAGGAAGAACATTTTACTGTTCCGCCTCCATAAAAACCTGAGGTGATGTCAAGCTGTTCGCCTTCCTCTCTCGTCTTTTTTCCTATCTCTTTTTGGAGCACTCAAACTTATTTATCTCGCCGGTGTGTGTGGCCACTCCGTCGCTATCAATTTTATCAGGCTGGCCGTGCACAGGTTCACTGTCTCGTGGTCGTTCCAACGTTCCATTTTACTTCCCTCCCGATTTTTCACACTGATGTGTTTAGATCTTGTTTAAACCATACCGTAGTCATCTTTGCTAGCCGCTTTTTCTAAATCCCATTCTGAATGAATGCTCCAGTATTGAAAAAAAGTGGATTGTGTCTGTGTCATATGAAAGTGTAGATACGAATACACTAGTTCCCTATGAAAATGAGAATAAAATTGGGCAGATGAGTAGTATTGAGCGCTTTTGGTTCAAGGCCTCGAAGTGTGGTAAATCCTAACACGAAGAGAATTATCCATGCTAAGATGTATATTCCCAGCAATGTGGACATTTTAGCAATCAGCATGGTTCTTATCCCCTGAATCGACCGATGGATGAGCAAAAAAAGGACTGGAACCAAAAAAATGGCAAAACATGAACTGAGAGCCCAGACGATCCTTTCGGCCAAAGTTGGAAATGCTGTGGAAACAAAAGGAAGAATATTGCATATTCCCAACATCACGGTAAAGATGTATGCAATGACCCATTGCATAAGAGAGAGACGTTGCATTTGAGAATCAGAACTGGATATATCAGCTGTATAAAATGTGGGAACCCACATCGTTCCTTCTTGAACAACCTGTTTCCGGGGGGCTATATCATAGAACCTTCTTGTAAGCGCCTTGTCAGGATATGAAATGAGGGAGATAAGCTTAGTAATTCCTCCCGTTGTTCCAAATCCCTTGCAACAAACTTTTCCGATGACAGTGACAATGAACAGGTTAAGAGTAGCCAAGTAGATGTCAGGTGCACAGCTTACCTGTATGTTCTGACCTGGCAGGAATTTCTCGATCGGGTTCATCAAGGAGTTCCATTGTTTCTGAATTTTCGTTAGCAGGGCCATTGAGAGAACGTGGTTTTATTACACGGAGACATACCCAGGTCCTGCCAGTCATGAGTTGCTAAAGTTTATAATGTCCAATAAATTTGACAGAAATTGGCATTTCACAAATATCAACCTCACCTGAAACAGGTTCTGCATCTTGAATGGGAGTGGGGGCGTCGAGTCGCAAGGCAAGGGGTACAGAAAACCGAACATCGAGGGGCTTTCGCCACCAAAAGATGTGGAGTCCTCCATTCGCAACGGCAATGGCAACAGTAAGCCATTCTATATTTGTGACGACGAGACCCTGTCCCAGTCGGTAGAAGAACTGAAGAATGAACCATGTGGTTTGGACAATTGTAAAAGTAGCAGAGAGGCCATCGCCTTTGCCAAGGCCCTTGATTTCTTCCTCCGTAATTGTTGGAAGATCTATTTTCTTCGCCCTGAGCAACTCTTGAAATTTCTCTGCAGTGAGTACACCCTTTTTGACATCTCCGTCCATGAGCATAAATCCTCCCATCTGCACGAAATGGCCATGTGTCATCGTCCAATCTACCCCACACAACTCTGGCATATTGATTGTGATTTAAGCTGAGTAACAAACAACATTGTAGGAGCTTACCATGAACTTTGTGTTTTATAAACAGAGCGCCCATCCGCTGCCTTGCCGCCCAGATGAGGATAATTTCTGGCGTGACTAATCCCCACAACATCAATTCGATCCTTCGCCAGGTCACCTCCCACCATCCTTCATCTGGCCCTGGAATGTTGGGATGGACCAAGGTCCAAGTGCATAAGTTGATCGTCACAATGCAGTTCCAGACGATACTGAAAAGCGTGCGCTGCTCGGGAGGACATTCACAGGTCGGTAGAAGTATGTCTGGAGAATGAAGGATATCCTGTTGACCAAAGATATCCAATGCAGCAGCGCAGGTGGATACAAGCGAAAAGTAGAGTAGCGCTATAAAGATAAGCATTGTGAAGCGGGGGGATCAAGGTGTATTGCCAAAGGATGCTCACTGGTTAAATACGCGCCTCACCGCCAGCATGTTTACTGTGACATGGGAGTTTCTGCCGCACTAACCCAGAGAAGGGCACTGGGTATGGCCACAGCGCAGCGCCAGGAACTGCCTCGTTCTGGTCAGACAGTGGTGAGCTCATCCAGCTGAAACTTGTCACACACCAGCCCGTCATTTGCCCGTCACCGAGTTATCCAACAATAAGGATGAGTTAGGTGCAGCTTAAGCCAATCGAAAATCTCATTGTTTTTCCATTTTGCAAAGTTGCGAATGGGTATCCGTCGCAGAAAAGTTTTCCAGGCAAGGGGAGAGTTTTCGACGATCTTGGACTCATGAGAGAGGATTTCGGTCCGAAAACAGCGAACACAGCCACATCACCTTTTCCTCTAAATGTTCATGACATCCTTCAAGTTGCCTCAGAGTCTTTCAATGCCATGATGCATGTTGAGGATGTCATTTTTCTCAGGTGGATGTCATAAACCTAGTTTCTTTGATCCCAACGCTTATGTCTTTTGACGATGACAATGCATGTCTGTCAGCAAGGAACTCAACGCCTTTCTACATCAGTAATTGAGCATTTCAGTTTCCAGAGGTTTCTCAACCCGGGCAACCTCTGAAAACTGCAGAAAACCCGAAAACATGGAGACTGGGAAACCTATGTCCCTTTTTCAGGAAACCTCATGGGGTGATAAGGCACAAAAACGTAGGAAACCTGTGAAACTTATATATATATAATATAAAGTACAAGATATATACAAGATATATCATAGACAAACATTATGCACGTGTGGGTGCTTATATACCCAGAGGCTGCGCACAGACCATGTGGTCATGTTTGTGCTCAAATCCAGTTGGACAGAGGACATCTGGGATATGGAAATTCCAGCCGTCCGGCGGACTGGTGGATCCAGCATGCCAAACTCTATCATCTCCACTCTTTCTCTGCACGTAGATGGTCATTTTACATGTACAGTGATTCAATACTACTATTATGTATGTATGGTATACAAGAAGACTGAGTATCTACAGGTGGAAGCGGCGGTTATCAACTGGCAGTCCCCAAGGTGGTTAGCGTCACTTCGCCGCTGTTGACCTGTATGCAAATGTGCTTATAAGCCTGAGGTCTCTGTGATACATTTGTTTCCGCTTCCTCTCTTTCTCCCACTTCACATCCTCGCCAGATTCTCCTTCTCCCACACCTTCAAATGCTCCTTATGCGCCTCCCAAACGAGCCTCCCAGCAACCTCCACTTGTCTCCATCATCGGGGATTTCCAATACCAGTCTTCAGGTTCAACAACGTGAGCTTCTTGGGGGACTTTGAATGTTAGGAGGAGGGGCATGTAGCATGGATTGCATCGCCATTTCTGGGGACTTGTATGTAGAAGATCCGAAAGATGGGCTATAAGATATCGTATCTACATAGTATCAAAATGTATCATGCTGCGATTCAAATAAAACTCACAGGGCTATTTCGAAAGGTGTGAAGGGTATTGTCCAATCGGTGTGGAAGCGAGAGATGGTGTCGACAGCCAGACACGCACTCACAGCGGCGGTGTTTGGCTTTTGCGCTTTGCTATTGACCACAAGGGCGGAGGGCAGCCTTCGTCTGGTTTGTGTAACTGTGCAGCATAGAATACATTGGAGATGTCGTGGTTGGCGTCCTTGTCGATGTTGCAGACTTCCTCAATATCGAAGTGGTTCCCTCATCCCGTTGTCGTTAGTGCTACAGTGCGGTCCGCATTGTCATGAATCATTTTCCCTTGTTGTGGTCGTCAGGCAGTTGTACAGCTACCAGTGTAGTTGTAGATCTTTTTCCCTGTTCAGTCTCACTATAACTATAGCCATAAACTTACCAAGTGTCAGTGTCGCGGTTGTCCATCAGGCCAATGTCAACATTAGAGTCACGTTCATTCACGCCATGTAGAGAGTTCTTGACGAATGGGCAGCAGAGGAACTTGCGGTTGAAGTCAAGATCGGAATTTGCCGCATGGCTGACAAATTCATTTGCCAGACGCCAGACATGCGGAAATTCCAAATCCGAGATTCTTTGGTTGGACAACACTTTTGAGTTTCCGCCTCAAACTCTAATCCCAAAACGGGAAGCCACGCAGAAACCAAACAAACCGATGTTTGGTTGTGATTTCGTGCTTGCCCTCGCCGTCCAAGCTTCCAACAGGTTCCAACTCGACGATGGCTGCTTACAGCTCCAGGAGCCCGCCAACCCCATCCCCCCATACAACGTAAAGGTATTTCGCTATCTTTCCTACATTCCTTACTGTTACTAAAGAGTTGCAAATGAGCGTTCTTTCGGCCACGGGCCATCATACAACGAATGGACAGAACTGTCGCAACAAGAACCCGCCACCATCAAAGCCACGCATATGAAAACACCAGCCCCTCACCATCACGCAAAATCATCACAATAAGAACCAGCCACCATCAAAGCCTCGCGTATGAAAGCTCCTCACGGTCCATCGTGCAACTTCATCGAACGAACCGCTTGAAAGGATTGTGCAGCGTGAGCAGTGTCTCACCTCAAGCGGTGGGTTGCGAGTGTAGAGCAAAGAGAAGCAGCGAGGGAGGGGGCTTAGTGCCTCGTGGAACGCTGGATTGAAGGGCAAGACTGTAGAGCGGTTGAATGAATGCTTGACTGCATGTACATTTTCTATGGCATTGTTTCAGAACAGCTTTGACATCATTAAATATTGAAGATACATTGTGTACACACTAGTTACACCAGAATACTTTAATTCCTGTGTTAAGTCCCTCCTTCCTTCTTTTTTCAAGCTGCAAGGAAAACTTTGTCGACGAAATCACGCATATTTCTAAAAATAAGGTGGTTTCCCATTTTGGGATTAGAGTTTGAGGCAGAAAGTGAACAACTGTTGGACAACCAATGATTTCGACAACAGCAAACAACGCCGACAACAACCACTTCCACCATCAATGTTCAATGTTCAACGTTCACCCACTGCCTGATTATGACATCACCCCCCCATCACATCGACACTCTAAGCTGCGTGCAAGCCGCTGCTCGCAGGGTGGCAATGGTGTATGTTCTTGGCCATGACAACCAGCAGCCAGATGCCCAATGAACGAACATTGGAGGCAGATGTGAAGCAACCATGGTGGTGACAACGTATGATGTTGTCATTGTCTACTTAGGTCCTTTGTGCCAATCCAGGTAAGCCAACATAAGTACTCCCCCCCATTCTCCTGTCTGACTGTGAATCCAGGTGCCACATCGTTGACACTGTGAGCGATGTGGCAACCAAACGGTGAACAACCGATGTCATTGTTCGTCGTCATAGGACCAACAATGCACAACCTGACAAACCACAGCGGCGGATCATGACCTCATCAATCCGGTTGCGGTCCTCGTATTCTTCGGTGTTGGTTGGGACCGGATGCGGTCCCTTCTTTGGGGGTCGAAAAACAATGCTAGGACTACTACCACCTATGTACTTGTAAACAAGCTATTATTAAGGAAAACATGGTTCTACACTGTAGATAGTTTTTAGGTTTCCTGGTTTCTGGTTTCCTAGTTTCCAGAAACCTAGAAACCAGGGGAAACCACTGAAAACCCGGAATCTATTTTTCCATCTTACTGATGTAGCTGGCACCTTTTTGGTCAATATTTGGCAGTGGCCGTCATCGGGGGCACCAATGGATTTCTACACAGGGTTTGAATTGCTTTTATGTAAGTTGAAAGGTCATTCAGCTGGGTGAGTTTGGATCACGTTTGAGGTGAATATATGTACATATGTGTGCCTAATCTTTCTCAAGCAATTTTGGATGCCTTCCAGCACACAAGGTCAACTATAGGGGTCGGTGGTGAACTTGAAATGTGAATGCTTGTCTGTTGCCCAAGTTATACTGTCGTTCAGTTTGATTCTAACGCCATATTTGCTGTAGATGCTGTCTTTTCCTGTTGTCTTCCCCAACCTGGGTGTGGACGCTAGCGTTGTCAATGTCAGTGCATATTCTGATTATCAAGAGTGAGAAGGCAAGCATGATTTCAGCTGTGGACAATCAGCAGCAATGGTAAGATCTCCTTTTTTTGCGGAGGTGATCCTATAAGTCTCGTAAAAGACCAATTGCAAGATCATCTTTGCACTCCTGGGCATCATTGCGAGGATCATGATGAGGAGATTCTGACTTGAAATGGTGTGAGGCAGTGATATCCAGACGCGGATATCACCCTATCACCCTTTGTCGCCACCAATTACTGTACTAATACTGTGGTATTTCGACCAACTGTTCGGCCAATGTGACACGTGATGGCCTCGAACAGTCGGGAGGCATGTTCGAAATCGGGATCACTGTGTGACATAGCAATGAAAGTGTTCGGCCAGTGACAAGTGTTTGTTGAGTTGATATGGCATCTGGCAGCAACCTTCTTGCCTCCTTCACAACCTCTCATCCAGCACAACTCTCTCCTAATTGTGGCCAAAAAAGTCCTAGATTCCAATAATTTAACATTTATATCCTGTTTGGATGCCTATAGAAGTTGTGTAAAAGCATATTTAGCAGATGGTATAGAGTTTTGTAATAGTTGTATGCTGCAGCGGAGAAAAATGACTTTTTTTTCCTTTTTAGGGTGAAATGTCACCCTATTCGACCTTCCAAGTGACCCGTGACAAGTGCCAGATCTGTTCGGTTCATAGGCCGATGTGATGAGTGACCGAACAGTCGGTCGAAATACCACAGTACGACCACGTCTTCACGTCACGCATCACAAAGGGTTGTGAAGGAAGGGAAGTAGGCGTGATGTCACGCATCACACCAAGTTTTGAAGAGTTTTTTTTTTGAATTAAAAATAGTCATTTTTTTCCGGACCTGCGGTGCTTTGTTTTAAACATCACATTTGGCATATTTAGAACCATGTTATACCCAGCTAAAAAATTGACAGGTTGCTGGGCCAAACCGTCTGAGAAATATGTGGTGGACAAAGAGCAAAAACTCTTCATCACGCATCACACTCAGTAAAAACGATTCATCGTGTCTCAGTCATATGGTAGTCACACTACTACACGAAAATGCATGACATGACTAAAAGCAGTCTTTTTTACAAAATTTTGACTTCGAGTTGACTTTGCCAAGTCGTGTCAAGTCGTGTGGCTGATGCCCACCATCTGTCGGTTACAGTCATTCGGTAGTCATGTAGTCACCTCATAGTCCTTCCATAGTCAAATAAAAGCCAGAACGCAGTCATGCTACAGTCATATAATAGTCTCTTTCCTGTCATGCTCAGGTCATTTGATTGATGTGTGTTAGTCATGTATCTCTCATCACAACCTCAGGTAACAGTATCGGAATCATGGAACAAATCATATATTTTCCAAGCCTACTGACTGTGCTCTATATACACCTCTAGCACCACCTCAAGTCCAAATTCTCATCTCCTAATTAAGCCGCATCTTCGTATGAAAAGAAGAGGTCGTTCTCGAGAGGGGATCATTTGTCGAAGGAGGGATGAGACTGTAGGGGGAAGGCCGAGACCATTCATCATAATAGGGGGGGGAAGCCAAAAGACATTCATCAAAGGAGGGAGGCTATTGAGTGAGTCAGCAGGAGACCATTGAGTGAGGGAGGAGGCACACATCGTTGATGGAGGAGACAGTTCGTCGAAGGCGAAAACAAGTCGTCGATGGAGGAGACAGTTCGTCGAAAGCGGAAACAGGTCGTCGATGGAGGAGACAGTTCGTCGAAAGCGGAAATAGGTCGTCGAAGGAAGAGAGAGGTCGTAGAGGGAGGAGACAGGTCGTCGAGGGCGGAGACAGTTCGTTGAGCTTAGATCTCAGAAACCATTTGTTGAGGGGATACCAGTTGTCGAGGGCGGAGACCGATCATCAAAGGGGAGACCATTCGTTGAGGGAGGAGATCGTCTGCTGAAGGAGGAAGAGAAAGGAGGCCGTTGGTCGAGGGAGGGAAGAGGCCTTTCGTCATCTCTACCTAGGGAGGAGACCCTTCGTCGCGAGAGGAGGCCGCTGGTCGAGGGAGGGAGAAGGCGTTCGTCGCGGGAAGGCTGTTCGTCGACTTATGAATCGTAGCTTGCGTGGGTGTGGTGGGCAGGAAGAACACGGAAGAGCTTGGGAAGAACAAGGAATTTTCGCGCTGACAACATGATCACCTGATGTCGGAGTTTCAACGGACTTCAACAAATTGTCTTGTTGACTGAGGACAAAGGCGATACAAATGATAGTAATTCGGATGACCAGGATTAGACTACAACATGACTTGTAACTGACTATTCCTCGACTTCAGTTAGGCCGTGAAAACTTTGCAGATACATAACTGAGCGCCACATGACTTTGCATTTACCAACGTGACTTCACATGACCTTCTTGTGAGAGGTAGATGACTTGACCTGACTTTCGTTTTTACTGAGCATCACACTGGACAATGAAGTGACGAAGAGATGGTCAAAAGGTGTCACACCCCAAAGGGCCTGAACAGTTGGTCGTATTAGTACAGTAGTAGGTAAATTCTTACCAACTGTTCGAGTAGTAATTTATCCAATGCCGTATTTTGCAGTGATGGTCTATGGCCTCGTTTTGCAAGACAGGTCCTACCTTTGGCCAATTTCTTCATCTAAGTCGGGTTTGTGCTTGCGCGGAATTGGTATGCTTACTTGTTTAGAATATTTGGTGGAATGATCTGCACCCTTCGTGCGTCACGGATGATCTTGTTTGAGAAAAGGACAAAGCTGTGTGATTACTGTGTTCAGCCACTCATGGTGAAGGACCTGGGTTCGTCAACAAGGAGTTTCAGGCGGTATATATATGTAAGCAAACTTCAAGCGGATCAGGGAGGGGTGGCGCTAATACGGGATAATGGTTTCGCAAGGTCAATACAGTCCAGGATGACAGCGGATTACAGCCACCGTAAGGGGCAACTCTCCATCGCAAGAGGCAACTCCTGCATTCTACTCTAATGCAAACAGTTCAGTTGCCGCGGGGCTCAGCTAAAGAAATTGATATTGTCCATGAGGAAATATGCGCAACGGTAAAGGAGCTTACCCATTCACAAACGAGCTGCACAATCTCGCGTAACGGCAGGTCGGAGTTCTCCACAACATCTCTGCTTAGACGGCGTGTTGCAGATTCATAGTATGTCAGTATCCCGTTTTCCGACTTCAAGATAAAGAAAATCCATGTCTGCCCATCAGATAGACAGAAACGGACCTCTGGAAGGCTGGAAGGCGATGCTCAAATGGAGAAGTAGTAAAGCAGGCAGCGCTGACGTACTTTGCGGACTTCAGCAATGCAATAGCCTGGCTGACGGCTTCCGGAATATAAGCGACTAAGCTCTGTTCGAGACTCCGGCGCTTGGCCTTGACTAGGAACAGGCGGCCTTTTGCAATCTCGAATGCGTCCTCTCTGGATCCACCAGGGGCGAGCAAGCGGTCTGAGAAGGCCATGAAGCAATTCGTGGAGTGACAGTGTATAATAATCAGACCCACCTTTGTAGTCCCTCACATCATCGTACTTGATAACCGCATAGTCGACATTGCCACTCAACCACAATTCACATCCCGAGACGGGGTGAGAAATTTGGACCCCATCTCCTTGCGCAATCCTCATCTCCGGAAGAATGGCAACGCCGGTCTTATTAGTTGAGGAAATCTCCGCCAACGTGAGCAGTATTGCGTCAAGAATCATGCGGGAACCTGGTTCGTACTATGAGCAAGTATTCATTTACACGACCGAACGCAAAGGTAATCAACGTACGACGCACATCCATGTTGACGCGTGCATAAATCTTCTTCATTCCGGAATGTAGATCCGCAATTTCGGCCTCTGCACTCGTTGTCAGCCCATTCGTTAACCCGGTTACTTTCGCGGGCTCAAAAAATGAGACGTTTCCTCTTGACACCAGCCTTCTTGAGGTCCTCTGATGTAACGGTTGAGAAAGTCACTTTCTGGAGCATCATTAATAACAATAGCTCATGCAAAGAATAAGTAACATACTGGTTTCTTGGCACCCTTTAGTATGTTCTCCAGAGCAAAGACATGCTCCGAGATGGTGTGCAATTCTTCCTCCGTTTCTTCGATCCCATCCAACTCTTCCTGGAGGGCTTCTAGATGGCTCAGCGCCATCCTAACCTTCGAAATATCGACAGTTGAGTCCTGCAGGCTGCGTTTGCGCTTGTGAGTGCGTTCTGACATCTGGAGGGTGGTGATTGTTTCAAACATTGTTTGAAATGTTTCTACGATGGGTTCACGTCACGCCCCTCATCACATGTTTCGCCCGGCAAGTGCGGACCGCTCCGGATTATACGACCAATTACTCCAAAATTACACTCTGTCTGTCTGTGATCCAGCAACCTGACACACTCAGTCTCGACGATCTTCAACGTCCCCGGACACTCTCAGCTCGTATCAGAGTACATCACGCGTCAACCGCAGTCCCTCCGTCGTCATGATCCGTTAATCGTCACAAGACGAAGGAGAAAGCACCCGTGACGGTGGAGGATGAACGGTGGCGAGGAGTTTGCGCAGCTTTTGTTGGAGGGGAAGAAAGGGGAGGCGTTGTTAGGGACTTGGATAACGCCTGGTTTGTGCACCACCAACACCAGCAGCCGCATTGGCATAGGAGGCGTCCCGTCACCGAACGATCATTATCCTGCGTTCAGCGGTATAACCCTCCCCAGCGTCCCTTTCCTCCCTACCTCCCGCGCCTTCGCCCGTAAGCTCCATATCCTGACACCTGCACTAAGCGGCGCAGTACAACCACCTCGGACACCGTCGTTCTTCTCCTGCGGCCATGCTCTCGCCACATTACCACGAATCTCGCTCATGGACGATTTGAAGCCCACCCAGTCTCACTTCAACAAGATCATTCCCCTCTCCCAGAAGTCGACACCTCGCCGTCTAACCCCTCTTTCCAGCTCGAAAGTCCGCAGCAAGAATCACCGTTCAACGAATCCTTCCCTCAGCTCACATCATCACTTCGTCGGCCGAGTCCGCATGTTACACTAGGTCCCATGGATCCCTTGCCTGATGCGATGGACTGGCTGACCCCAGCGTCAGACGTGGATGTAGTGTATTCGGAGGCACCGACGCCTTATGAGTACGAGGGCCACCTGCGTTCGCGCGGGATGACCTTTCTATCTTCGCCCTCGCGAGCTCGAGGAGCGAGGGTGGGTCGACTAGGACGACGACAAGTCCTTATACGCCTCCGAACGGTAACCCTCCTCAACCTTCCAATTCGATAATCCCTGTCAGATGAACGTGAACACGAACAACCCGCCCAACAACCTTCTGTTCCTGTGCTGCACCAGCCTAAACACTCAGCCCACTGCTACTGCGTTCAGCGATATGTGGAAAGATGTGGGTGGGGCGGTATATGGTGGTTTGAGCGTCGTTGATGGCTATGCCGCCGACGTGGCGTTTGATACCCTGTTTGAGCCCTTAGGGTTCGATGCTGGCTATGGCGTTGAAGGAGCAGTGGGAGCGGTGGGGTATGAGTATGCGGAAGGGATGGGTATGGTTGTTTGATCGATTGATCCTCCACTCCGTTCCGTCTGCACGAGAAGATTCAAGACACTCGACTCGACTTTTCCCCGCTTGATGGTTGACACGAACTCCCCAATTAACTGAGTTCTTTTTTTAATCCTCCTTTCCTCCTCATTCTCCAAACTTATTTTCCACTCCTTTCTTCCCATCTCACCCATTCAATCCACTCATCACGCCGCCCATTCTATGATGGTTCAGAGGTCGTCCGCTTGTCAAACTGCTGGCAACACGCCTCTATATTACTGGCATCTCTCCTCACTGTCCTGCGACGCATGCAGAAGCACGATGATCCTCTTTCAGCTCTGGAATCAAGAAAGCACGATGATCCTCTTTCAGCTCTGGAATCAAGAATAATTTGAACAATGGGTATACGAGGGACCCGCCTCTCATTTTACTTGGTCGGTGAGAAGGCCATTATTTCAAAAGGGTATCGCTTCCAACAGCAAGACCTACAGTCTACGCACTAAACACACCCTTCAACCCCTCCCTCATTAAACCTTTCAATACGATCTCATCTTTTCTGGCCTCTAGCTCTTCGATGTCCCAATTTACTGACACGAATCTCCCGTTCAAATATTCCGCCCGTTCTGTAGTCAAGTATACTGCGAAGGCACCAGCAAGTTCCGCTGTACAAATTTAAAATTCAATATTCCAAACCCATATAGAAAAAGAAAACGTACGCGTATCCAATGCAAAAGGCTTAAAATGCGGCAAGTCGTCCATAATCGGTGTCAACACTGTTCCGGGGTGATACACCACCGCCCTAACATTCGGGTTCTCCAACGATACAAACTCATTAAACCGGTTCAACGCGAGTTTGGTGAGCCCGTAGCTGCTGATGCCTGGGTTGACCATATCTGAGGATATGGAGCCGACAGTGATTACCGAGCCGTGTTGTGATTTCGGAAGGAGGCGGAGGTAGACTTGCGTAGCTAGGTAAGTGCCTTTGACGTTTAATTCCTGTGCGGTTTTAACAAGTAAGCACTAGGAGACTAAGGAGGGAAGGAATTCAATAGTAACAAAGTCGCTCCACCACGCTTTGACATTCAATTCCTCGATGTTTCCCCTCCCACCCCATTGTCCAGAGTTATTAACGAGAACGTCGGCGTGTCCAAAATTATCTTTCACGGCTTGTTCGAGTTTTTGGATGTCCGCCTCGGACGTTATGTCGATGCTCAGGACGAGAACGTTGGCTTTGTTGTTCACCTCAAGGATCTCGGCTTTGGTCGCTTCAAGCTTTGCAATGCTACGGCTGGCGAGGACGATGTTTGATGCAGAGGCTTTAGCAAATTCTAGTGCTATAGCCTGGGTTCAAGATCGTTGTTAGTGCTGTGAAAATAAATACGGAGGTGAGGGGTTGACAAACCTTTCCGATTCCTTGACTAGCTCCAGTGACGATGACGGTTTTGCCAACCTGAGAATCGACGACTGCGGCTTTTAGAGCTGGATAAACTTCTCGGTAATTTTTCTTGGTAAATTGGAAAAGTTTGAGGAATTGGTCGGGAGATGGTGAATCGGTCATGATATGAAGTTGGGCTGGGGAGAACTGGTAGCGAAGCGGGCTGAGCTACTTCATCATGTCCTTTCATCACCCAACTTTTATACTAGACGTCCGTTAGAGTTGGCGTGCGACAACATTGCGCAATGTTCAATTGAACCGAGGACATATAAGCAGATATATAAGCACTTTCTGTATTACCCCTTGCTTTTCCTTTCATCGCGCAATTTTTATACTGAATTCTCGCCAGATTTGGTGTGTCCTATCATCGTGCGGTGTTCAGTTTAGATGAAGATATATAAGCAGATGTATAAGCATTGCTTCGACCCTTATCTCCTTGTTCTAGTATTCTGAGCGAATTCTCCGTCGGCTCCGGTGACCGTGTAACAAAATATTATTTGACCGATCTCTGACGAAGCCACGTAATCAGTGACAGTGCTCTTATTGTAGGTACGTCCAAGGTGCACAACTTGGCACTACTGACCCCAGAAGCCTCCTGGAGGAAAGGACCAAAAAAGCTGATTAAGACCCAATTAAGGCCATTCTTGCGCTCGGAAAAATTGAGCATTGACTAAAGATTGCCAAGTCTAAATTCTGTCGAATTCTTGCATAGAAAAGTGTGCCAGCACAATCAATAAGCGTACTCAACATCATGTCGGACACCCCACTTAACGTCCATCTCTTTGAAAAATTCCAATTCACAAAGAAAAACTATCGAGATGTTTATCCAGCCCTTGAATCGTCCGTCGTTGAATCTCAGGCTGGTAAAACTGTCATTATCACTGGGGGGAGTCAAGGAATCGGGAAGGTATGCCAATTCTCCCTCAGTGTTTCCTCACCTCACGCGCATTACATCCAGGCTATCGCACTAGCGTTCGCGAAAGCCTCTGCGCAGAACCTTATCCTTGCCAGCCGCAGCGTCGCAAAGCTCGAGACTACCAAAGCCGAAATCCTCAAGATGAACAGCAAAAGCAACGTTCTCGTCGTCGGCGTCGACACGACTTGCGAGGCGGACGTCGAAAAGCTTGAAAAAATTGTAAAAGATACATTCGGACACGCCGTAAGACCTTAGACGAGGATATATAAGCAGATATATTTTTGCGACGTCTTGCTTTGACCCTTGATTTAGGTTTCCTTGTTCTGGTAATATCAGCGAATTCTCCGTCGACGTCGGTGACCATTCTATAATAACTACTAACAAGTCGTCAATATTCTTTGACCAGCGCTTGACCAAGCCACATCATCAGCGACAGTGCTCTCATTCTCTGTACTGTAATTCCAAGGTGCAGAACTTGGCACTGACACCAAAATGGCTATGAGGCTATGTATGTATGTATGTATACGTACTTGCAAGTATATTCAACTGAGCCGCACTGCCTTAGGACGCCAAGGTATACTTTGCTTCACGCCATGACTTCTTCTCAGTCTTGCATATCGTCCTTACGGACGACCACGATCGCAGGTACTTTGCAAAGTGCGTCGACACCTACCATTGTATTCCCGCCGCTTACCACCGAAACGGGGACGAATTCGGGTCCGTGTCACATCTCTTCTCTTCCTTGAGCTCGACAAACGTGATTTTTCCATAGCCGCAACAGAGGGTGCAGCTACGTTCGACTTTGTTGGCGCGCAGACGTTGACGTTTTGGGAGAGTTCGTGTTCTGCGACAATTGATAAGGTTCCTCCGCCATTCCCGTCGATGTCTGCCAGTACGGTGTCCTCGTCTCTCACATCGGGCTCAGCATTGGGCTCTGGAACTCTATCGGCATCGTTGGCATCCACTTCTGCGCCTACTCAAGCGACGGCTGTTTCATCGGATGGGGTTCGAGGGGTCTCTGGGCCTATTTTGTGGTGTATCATTGCAGTTGTCATTATTCGGGCGAGCTCTTGAGGATGGGTTGCGAATTAATGTCATTTGGGGTGCGGGACGCGGCGTACCAGTGAGTTCCAGGGCTCCAGACCTGGACATAGCCATCGATAAAGTCACGGTCAACTTTAATTCGATTTTTTGTAGGGCAATCTTCGGACATCGTAATTGTCAGATCCTCATTGCACGCTGGCTGTATGCAAGAATCGACGCCTATGACTCGCATAACTCTTGCATTCTTTTTTTGGTCCCGAATTTGGCTTGAATCCCACTCGGTGGAGCCGAGCACATCAGCGACGACAGAATGGTCACGATGTCCATTTAAGTCGGCGGCAGTTTCAACAATGCGACGGATAGATAGTACGTGCTCATTGGCACGCCGAATGGATGGCTCTGTTCCTGCGAGAGTGCGAGATTGAGGCTGAGAGGGTAAAAACATCGATGGCATTTCGGCAAATACCGGCGGAAAATGAAATATTTAAGTAACACGTGAGTTACTTGAATTTGCATTGCACAAGTGCTACCGAAATCCGACCACCAGAAGATTTGAAGGCAATCCTTCATCCAGAAAGCCTTCAAATTTACCCATCAGGTGAACTATATCTGCATCTGCCTTCAATGAAGGGCTCTCCACAGAGACGCGACGGGGTTGGAATGCTGTGATTCCCACAAAGGGCGGCGTAGGGGATGGCAGAGGGGATGAGGGGAGTTTGGGATAAGTTAAATGACCGGGAACTTTTTTCTCCCTTGTCAATGACAAGCGGACAAACTTTTCTTCGACCAGCACTTTTATCGTCTCTTCGAAGCTGGCCTGACGAGTTCGCCGTGGTAAACGACGAGGAGAGGCCAGGATTCGAGATCTACGCGCATCGGGAGGCGACGACAGGCTGGATGATAGCGGACTTGCCGCGCCGCTGGCACCCTTCGCCTTGTCCGACCAGCTTCGAAGAAAACATTTGTAGACATGACAACTTCTATCTTGTTAGTTCTTGGCATGCTTTCAGATTCCAGCTGAGTGTTATCTGACAAGTTTTCTTCCAGGAAGAGGCGGCGACTTTGGGGAAATTCATGATCACGAACTCTCAACAGTCAATTTATTTCGCGGGATCTCTTTGATTTGGCACATGTATATGCGTAACGACTCAGCCCACCGTACTAAACACGCCCTTCAAACCCTCCGTGAAAAAGCCCTTCGAGATAATATCCTCTTTCCTAGCCTCCAGCTCCTCGACATCCCAATTCACCGAGGCATACTTCCCATTCAAAAACTTCGCACGTTCCGTTGCCAGGTACACTGCGAAAGCGCCTGCAAGTTCCGCTGCAGGAGAAGCAAAAGTCAACACCCGCAACGCTTTCATATTCAAGAGCAACACTTACGCGAATCTAACGCGAATGGATGAAAGTCAGGCAAGTGATCCATAATCGGCGTCCTCACCGCGCCAGGATGATAAACCACCGCCGTAACGTTCGGATTCTCCAGCGTAACGAATTCGTTGAACCTGTTAAGTGCGAGTTTGGTAATCACGTAGCTGCTGCTTCCGGGTAGTACGAGATCTGAAGCAAGGGAGCCGACAGTGATGACGGTGCCTTGTTTCGATTTTGGGAGAAGGTGGAGGAAGGCTTGGGTGGTTAGGTATGTTCCTTTTACGTTTACTTCCTGTGTTATTTAAATAAATATGTATAGGTGGGACAAGGGAAGAAATGCACGAACTAAATCGCTCCACCAAGATTTCGCGTTCGATTCATCAATATTCCCCCGCCCTGCCCACTGGCCGGAGTTGTTAACGAGGACGTCGGCGTGTCCGAATGTATCTTTCACGGTTTTTTCAAGCTTTTCGACGTCCGCCTCGGAAGTCGTGTCGACGCCAACGACGAGAACGTTGCTTTTGCTATTTATCTTGAGGATTTCGGCTTTGGTGGCCTCGAGCTTTGCGACGCTGCGGCTAGCGAGGATAAGGTTCTCCGCAGAGGCTTTTGCGAAAGCTAGTGCGATAGCCTGGATGTAAGTTTGGCGTCAACGCTGTATGAGGAAACACTAGCAGAGAATTGGCCTACCTTCCCAATTCCTTGACTCGCCCCAGTGATGATAACGGTTTTACCAGCCTGAGATTTAACGATGGATGATTCGAGTGCTGGATAGACATCTCTATAGTTTTTATTCGTGAATTGGAATTTTTTGACGAGATGATCGGCAGCAAGTGAGGCGTCGTTCATGATACTGAGTTCGCTTGTTGATTGTAAGAATATGTTATAATGTAGTATTAATGGTGGCCTTTCATGGCGCGCTTTTATATGCAAAGGTTTGTCAGAATACAGACTTAATAATCTTTACTCGATGCTCAAGTAAGTCGAGGATAGATAAGCGAAAGGATGGTCTTAATCAGCGTTTTTGTCCTATTTCGGAATTCTATTTTTAGCCTATTGGTCATCAATGCATCAACATTTCAACAGCCGCTACCTCCCGATCGTCAATAACATTTCAATGTAACTCTTCGAGGCATTTGAATTGTTTTTGACGCACATATTAATGCTACGGCCATCAGACCTACTAATTTTGTGAATTTCTTAGAACCAAAAAACAAAGAATTCTGCTAAAACGCGGGTGAAGGGACTAGGAACGGACGGAACATTTTCCAAGGACTTAATCTCTACATGCCGACTACAAAATGAGGCAGCAAATGAGTGGAATTTTACTAATGTCTATGATGATTAAGCGCTACCGAGGCCAACCGAGGCCTGCTGCGAACGCCAGGTCTGCAAGAGATTGTTGCATTGTACGTGTTTCCAAGAGTGGTGGATTGCGCAATTCATCGCTGCAGCACCGAGCGCCGAGCAGAGCAAGAGCAGAGGGTATAGGACTTCCCCGAACTTCTAGGTCCAATAATACAAAGGCAACGCGCGTGATCAAAGCTACGAGTGTGAACCAATTCCTTTTCGCCCCTCTGGCCTGATGGATGCTGACGACTCGGCCACTGTATCACGTTGCGATCCCTGCAGATTATCACCGACGCCCTTGCAGTGGTTCTCTGTAGCTAATTAGAGATCCTTTCACTCCTCAATTTTTCAGATCAGGTTGATGGAAATTATTGCATAGAGGAGGTACAGAACCGACAAGAATCAAATATGATGACGGAAAAGGAATCTCAGGTACCCTCCCTTTCAAGCTCATTCACTGAATGGCTTCGCCGTTCTCGCGCCTTCAATCACTATCGCGCCTCCAGTCACTATCACGCCTCCAGTCACTATCGCGTCTCCAATCACTATCGCGTCTCCAGTCTGCGGCATGCCTGGCCTGGAAGGGAGAAACAACTCAGTACCTGATATGAGCGATAATTTCTAAATATGCACCTCAACGTCTCCGTTGAGATCAGCTTTGCGACTATCGAGTGAATTTATCACAGTCTGTGGGGACGAGGGTTAGTTGGAGTGGAACCACCACCATTCAAGTTGGGAATCACGCACTGGGGACGCATGAGCAGTGGTAATGAGCATGAGGGTAGCACAGGCGAAAAGAGTGTGGAAATACATTGTGCAGATTGTGGGGAAGAACTGAGCAGAGCACGAGCAACTGCGTGCCTTATATACACCAGCGATCGAAGAACGGCACTCCAGAAGTAGTAGACTATCCCCATCAGGTAGCAGTGTGCCTGGTAGCTCACAGTTACGTGAATCAACTACTCACTAAATTTTCTCCCGCGCTTCCTCGCGATCGCATCCACAATCTTTCCGACAAATCTTACTCGTCGACAAAGATCTTGACACCAAGTATCCAGTATTACAAACCTCACGTTGTGAAGAATGTGTTGTGTGGAGTAGAGATAGTCCGAGATAGAACTGGCACGCATCAGAGCCCCACTTTACTACCCAGCTGTATATCACTGCGTAAGGAAACTGGATCCGTGTCAGCTGTTGCCATCCCAAGCTTTACGGAAAGAACCCAGATAATCCTGTTTTATCCTTGTGCATATCATTTTAACATCCTACAGTGAAGAAATGCAGAATATCGATGCGATACCGTTGACGCTCAATTATCATTGCATGCGTGGATCGCGCACCTTGGCGTGGCATTGAACTGAACTCTCAGCGTCCCACTGTACTCCAATTTTGGCAACAGGAAGGCGGCACGTTTCATTACATCATCATTGCCATAAGTTCGGCGTCAAGCATCTCTCACGACGGTTTTCTGGGAGGATAATCATATTTATTTTCCCTCACGTACCCAATTTCTCGAGGACTTCCACTCAAGATAAAAATAACTCCAATTTCCCGGGATTAAACCGAGATTGAGATGCCTATATTTTCTTTCGAGAGAACTAGCGGAATCAAATTAATGAGGCACACATCCCGATCATCCGAGGAGAACCCACCACGGTGACAACAGTCCCGTCATCAAGTGTGTCTTTCTCCGGGACCAATTTATAGCCAAATATCCTGGGCAAAAAAATTCGCCACACAGCCCAATACACAACTCCAAGAAACATGATCCCGATTCCGACAAGGCAGTATCTGAATTGTGTCACATTAGGCAATTACGTTAATCTGCAAGTTGAAAGTTGGGACCCACAAGTAGTATGGCAACGGGGGTGTATCTCCCACACGATTTGCGGGCCGGAGGAATGGAGCGACGAGCACTAATATGCCATTTGTAAACGAACTTGAGCCGTCAGGAGGAGAGACGCTTACAGAAAACGGCTGCAACCAAGAAGAGTAATGCGAATGGTATCCAAACTGAAAAGCGCGATAAGATAAAGGCAGCCAGCTGGGGTCTTGACACCATATACAACTCTTACCCTTGAATGGACGGACTGCATCTGGCTTCTTCCACCGGAGCCAAAAGAGACCCTACCCATTATAAATTGATACGCCAACGGGAAGGGAGAAGTCATGGCTTACAACAACAATGAAAAGATTAAAAATCTGCTGTGGATATCCTTCTACGTCCAAGATGAATGGGTAGACAATCGCGGGCGGGGGAGCGATGATAATAATTATCTATTGCATCCCTATTAGAGACACAAAATACATGACGGGTCACTTACGGAAGGTATCAGATGAATGATGAGGCCAGGCAATGGGGATTTGCCTGTTGGCCAATTTGACGCCCAGAATTTATTTCCAAAGGGAAGGGGAACGCCTTCTTTTGCCAGTTCTATAAATTGAAAAAATAAAAATAAAGACGGGATATAGACTCTAGATTAACTTTGCGGCGTACCTTGGTTTATACGACAGGCGGCGAAGGTCTTACAAATTATTGGGCGGAGTCAACATTTCAAAGATTTTGGGGTACGCACAACAGTGATTACGTTGCCCAAGGCGCTTTTGCGACGCTCAGGTCAAAAGGTGGCAATCCGTTAATCTGAAAGAGATAGACAGTACCTTAGAGCCACGAAGACCGAAAGCGCTCTCTCTGCCTTGGTACCAAAGACATTCTTGAAGAACAGAGCAGCAACAGTGACACCAGACTTGCGTATCTCATCTTTCGTTGCGGCGCTAGAAAGTTACAAAACTAGAGTTGGTTGTGTGAACCAGCCAGGAACAGGGACACGCACGCAAAATAAGCTACGTTGGCCAACATATACAAAACCGCACAGATTCCTAGTCCAAGCGGACCAGCGATCTTCAGTGTCCGCACTGGGTTTTTGACGTTGTTCATCACGTAGTTAATATTTGACCAGCCCGCATACGCGTTGAGGACCTTGAAGGTGGCCGTTGCGTACTAATCGTGACGCGTTGTAAGTGACCAAAGGGAATGAGGAGGATAGAAGATAAAACGAACATCGTTACTGCTGCGCGAGCTTCCCGAAAATGCATTGCGGAAGTTAGTTTGAGGATCTTTGATGTGCGTTTTCCCGGAGAGCACGACCCAACCTAGTGGGAATGTAAGCTCCTCGATCGCTCGCTGGGTTAGCACATCTCGTACCTGAAATCACGACAAAAAGGAGGAGGAAAATCTTGAAGACGCTGAGTGCCTAAGGTCACCATGAATAAAGATGTTGATCTGTGTCATCACAGGCGAAGACACACATTCATAAGGAATACCCCAGTTTTGGGCGTTAATCCGTGAAGGAGAGTGACAAAACAAATGACTTGTGGCGGGAAGACAAGTAAGGAGGTGAGATCAAGTAAACGGAATGGATCTTACCGCCCAACGCGATCCCACGTACTACCCATCTATCGGCGACATGGCCTGCAGCAATTAGAATGCTGGTAGGGTACTTACGATGAGCGTGGACTTTATAGAACTATCCGGGAAGACGTACTTATTCGCGAAGATCTAGACCACGAATTCGGGAGTGGGAATAAGTAGACATTTGGTTCACAAGAACGAGCGAGTAGTGCGTACAATGCATCCTGAAGCAGTAAACCCCAATACAATCGCGTTCATTGCAAATATAACCGTCGCCAGGTATTTTGGTCTCTTATAAACCGCCTCCAAATACACCTTCTCACCACCTGAGCGAGGGAACATGGTCCCATACTCCAACCAAACGAACAAGCCGCAGAAGGAGAGCAAAAATCCAAGTACCCAGAGCATCAGGGAGGCACCTACAGAGCCTACAGAGGAGAGGATAGAGGAAGGGGTTGAGAATATTCCAGTTCCTATGATACGGCCAACACTAACGAAAATTGAGCGAAGAGATGAAGTAAAAGGGGAAGAGCGTACATGAGCATGGTGCAACTGAAGACGCCCAAGTGGCGGCCCATTCCCCCAGCGGCATCTATAATGGTCTTCATTCAATCAAACGTAGACGAGGGGCCAGGATCGGAGGTGCGTACCTTCTTCAAAAGAAAGAGCACCCGGGTTGAGTGACGGGTCCTTTGTTGTCGTTACTTCCCTTGAGTAAACGCTTGGCGTATCCTCCCCTATGACGATCTTCTCAGTGGCAAAACTCGGATGACCCTGTTTGTCTTTGAAAGCATCGACCTCCGCTGCATTCGTAGTATTAGAAACTTGCGTCGGTTTTCTGCCCAGTATACGGAGGAGGGGCATGGTTAAGGTGACGTTAGGAAAAAGCCTCTTCTTATGCTCAGTTAATAATGGCCTGATATGATGCCACAAAGACCGCATCAAGCGTAATGTACGCCATCGTCGTACGTCGACGTGCTTCCTCGCTAATCACGCCTTGCCAGCTATTTTTAACGATGCCCAAAAAGTATGAATTTCACTTTCCTTTAGCGTTCAAACGTTCAAAGCCAACTACGAGTACTTGGCGAGCATCTTGAACGACTCTATGTTCTGTTCTTGATACGAAAAAGGAGTCGGCTGCTGAAAAGATGGGCAAAGCATGGGTTGGTTGTTGAGTGAACTTCGAAGCAAGAGTGAAGTTGTGTTTGCGGTTGTTGAGTTGACTTTGCCTTTCAATGTAACGCGTCACGCGTCACGCATACTATATCTGGTCAGGATATGCGGATATTTGACTTTTTCGTTGATGTAGCTTCAAGATCATATTGTTCAGCCTTCAAATTTTACAATACACTAGCCAATCCAATTTAACATGCTGCCCAAAATTTTGAGAATTTTTGGAAGATGTGTTGTAGCCTCGGAGTGTTGCCGTCGTGAGGAGGCAAGTGAACAAGATATGCAAAGGCATGTCACAGTAATGTCACTGAGGGATTTTGCACAATGTGACAGTCTCCCAAGCAGGGCAATTGTCACGTATTTCTTTTTCAAAATCGATTTTGACGACTTCCACTTGTCCTGCCTTCCTGAAAATTTGAGGATGTGCTTAATATTGGTATTAGATAGTCTCTATGGAAAAAGATTGGGAGTAAGCCTCACACAGAATGTGTTCCTGGCAGCCAAAGCTTCATACACCTATCTAAAATCTCACCCTTTGGCTTCTCACACTTCGTACAGTTCATGAATCCCGTCAAAAATTTGCAAGCAGTATTTAATACACTAGTTCAACATGAGTGAATTTTCTTGAAAGAGCAGGAGTAAGGGAAGGACACGAAAAGTGAAATCCGCATATCTTGATACCACGCATATCCTGACCATATATAGTAACACTGTTCTTTAGGCTGAACTGTTTACAGCTCTTGGCACTGAAACGCCATCGCTCCATAAGTTCATTCCAAACTTGGGGACTGGATAGGGGAGCAGGTCAGCATTTCCTGCCTTTTAATTCGCTTAGCGATACTCATGCTTCAACCTGGTAGATTTAGTCGTCTGGCTGCCACTCGTAGTCCAGTTTCTTTCCGGCCTAGCCTGAGACTGCATGCAGAAAGTATATCAGAACCAAGTTACATTACCGAGTGGCATGGTTTCCCTTGATAAAGACAACTGGAGGGGAGAGGAGCTCTACCTATATGGTGATGGCTTCCATCGTTCTCTCGTTTTAGGGATCCTCCCATCCAAGATTTTGGTTGATGCCATTCTGGTTGTCATGCACCATGGCTGGATGGGGGACCAGCTCGGACTCGGACTCGGCTCGCCTTCATCTCCTCAGGATCTGAGATCTAGGTTTACATACTCATCAATCATCATAGGATCAACCAGCCTACGGAATCCCGCATGCTGATTTTGTTCACCAGATATCTGTTCGTGCCTGCACCTTGTATCGGCCCCTATCCTCCCCCGGTATCACTTTAACGTAACAAGATCATTTCGGATTTACTACTACTTGGCCCTCAAACGTTCATTCTGTTCGACCGTGTTGTGTATCTCTGGCAACCCCCTTTTTCGCTTGCTCCAACGGTTTGAATAACGCCTCATGGGATGGACTTGAACGTTGGACTCGATGGGGGTAACAGTGATCATCAGCAAGACGATGCTACTCATTTAACCACGCAAGTTCTTCACTTCGGATGATTCATGAGCACTCTCTAGGAGCCTTGTCGTCATTGGTGGCCACGAGTGGGTGCCCTGATTGGACACCTAAGATAGAATTCGACGCCCATGAAGCGTAATTATGATTCTTCGGTGTTTCAGTTACTGAGAGTGTGGGTTTCCTTCAATGCCAGTACCGCCACCAAAAGTGCGAGGTTACCATCGCCACTCTCTGCATCTCGATTCACGTCTTCGACCACGCGATGTCATGGAGATTCCACTTTTCCTACAATCTCATTCTATCTCTGGAATGGTATGAATCTACCCCCACGGCAAAAAGGCGTCAATCTCCTAGAACGAGAAATTTCACCACATATGTTAGTCACATTGTGCCTTACCTAATGGAGTAGCCGGATGTGACAAAACACCATACTACATGGGCCCAGCCGGACAGCCCGAATCTTATGATGTGCCTTTAGTGATGGTGCGGCCGTGATCCTTACAGGGACTCACTAAGTAGCATGCGCTGGCTGTCCTTTTAACCGACAGCGTAGTGTCTCACCGGCGGAGATGTCCTGATGCCCGGCGGGGAGAGTTGCGGTGTACCCTGTCCTCTGGCGGCACAAGTTGCGGCGTACCATGTAAACATAGATGGTGATCATACATAGTGATAGGGCTGCAGTCATCAGTTAAATGTCATGAATGTGAGCCATTACAACTGAAAAATATACTGAATGATTAATCACAATGAGAGTCCTACTGCAAGGTGATGAGATACTGTAATTTCTTTTGAAACACAAGCAGTCTTCATTAACTATTGTCCATATCATGTCCCCCCAGATATACAGCTGAATATAACACACCAGCAGAACACCTTCCAATAAAAACACATTGCCTTTTCATAAGAGACACTTTTTGAATAGCTGTGTTGGAGGTCTAGAGCAATATATATATATATAATAAAGCTCTGTTGCAGCAGTGCAGTTTTTTCAAAGAGGCACCGCAAGACCAATGTATTTTTTTCACCGCCGGCACAATGTATTATTTTTTAAATTGGCACTGCCAGAGAAATGTATTTTTTTTAGGTGGCACTGCCAGCACAATGTATTACTTTTTAAAATGGCACTGCCAGAGCAATGTATTCTTTTTAAAATGGCACCGCTGGCACAATGTATTATTTTTTAAAATGGCACCGCCGGCACAATGTATTACTTTTTAAAATGGCACCGCCGGAGCAATGCATTTTTTTTAAAATGGCACCGCTGGCACAATGTATTATTTTTTAAAATGGCACCGCCGGGGCAATGTATTACTTTTCGAAATGGCACCGCCGGAGCAATGTATTTTTTTTCTTTCAAAAATGACACCGCTGTGGAAGTGCGAAGCGTCCTATTCATGACACTTCTCACTTTCTTTCAATTTCTGCGTGTTTTAATCTTTTTGCAATTCCTTTCTTTTCTTTAGGATACGACACACATCGGCTACCTGGGTTAACCCCCCCCCTCAAGATCTTTTTGAAGTTTTTTGGGCTCGGTTTTATTTTTCGTACGCACGAATTTTCTTTTTTTTTAAACTTCGTTTGTTTGTTTTAGTACAACAACTTCTTTCAGGACTGAAGTCCTTCCCAAGAACCGGATGGTAGGGTCGAGCGTCAACTGCTGAGATGCCCGCTATGAAAAGGGGGCAGTAGCGTGCGCAAATAGGCCTCTCTCAGCGTTGAGCAGTTCCCCGAGGAATTCCCGGTTCGACGGATCGGCGGAGGAATCTGACGGGACGCATCATAGTTATTTTTGGCCGATTACCTTGTTTCTTTTTAGAGTTATTTTGGACAGGCAGCACGCGAGAACGTGTAGGTGCCTCGTGAAATTCTTTTTTTGTACTTAAGGTAACCTCCCACCTTGCGAATGGAGTACTTCTTTCTTCCCCTCTTTTATTCCTCCCTCCTCTAAGATTTTAAAGATTTTAAAGACTAAGTACGACGTCTTCGACAACGATCAAGACCCTCAAGTTCATCATTCACGCTCTCACGACCGTCTACTTCGACACAGGCACGACACGCGTCAATCTGTCGATTCTGCACTAAGTTACCCTTTCGTCTATTCCTTGTTCCCACTCTGTCTCTTTCTTATCATTTCCCCCTTATTTTGAGGTAGACGACCGATTCCTGTTTCCTGTGCTGAACTTCCGTTCTTCCACACCGCCGGGGCAATTGTTTTTTTTATTAAAATGGCACCGAGGCAATGTATTCCTCTTTAAAACACCACCACTGCACCACCACTGGAGCAATATGCTCTGCCTTTGAAATTGCTCTGGCAGAGTAGTACTTGCATATTTTTTAGAAATACAAAAATCATGTTTAAGGTAAAGAACACTAGAATTAAACAGACAGTTGATACATATGATTACTAGTAAATGGGTGGTACTGCTGAGGTACTCTTGTTTACTTCTGCATATGTTTTCTATGGGGGGACTGAGGGGTGGATTGCAGAGGGTAGATTGCAGATGGTAAGATTGCAGCTGCGGAGGGTAGATTGCAGCTGTGGATGGTATATTGCAGGAGGTAGATTGCGGAGGGTAGGTTGCAGCTGCAGAGGGTATATTGCGGGGGGTATATTGCGGTATATTGTGGCTGTGGAGGGTATATTGCAGGAGGCATATTGCGGGAGGTATATTGCGGGAGGTATATTGTGGGAGGTATATTGCGGGAGGTATATTGCGGGAGGTATATTGCGGGAGGTATATTGCAGGAGGTATATTGCAGGAGGTATATTGCAGAGGATATATTGCGGCTGCGGATGGTATATTGCGGGAGGTATATTGCGGGAGGTATATTGCGGGAGGTATATTGTGGGAGGTATATTGTGGGAGGTATATTGCAGGAGGTATGTTGTGGGAGGTACATTGCAGAGGGTATATTGCAGGGGGTATATTGCAGAGGGTAGATTGTGGCTGCGGAGGGTATATTGCGGGAGGTAAATTGCGGAGGGTATATTGCAGCTGCAGTGGATAGACTACAGAGGGGAGACTCATCTGGATCCTTCAAAGGGGTTTGGAAGAAAGTATATAAACCTCTGTACATGCTCACAAGTGTGTTTTAAAGAGTCACTTATGTGAAATACCTTTTCACAGATTGTTTCAGCTGCACAGAATGTAAAAATGACTGTCAACCCACATAAAAACTACCTCTGGAAAGCTGGAGAAAGCAGGATTTGAACAAGCTAGACCCAACAGTAGGTTACCTAGGAAAAGAAAAAGTCTTGATGGTGTTCATTGTAAATTTTAACTTTTCACAAGCTGTTTCAGCTCTGCAGAACATAATAATGGCTGTTACCTCATGTAAAAGCCACCTCTGTAAAGCTGGAGAAGTCAGGATTCGAACAAGCTAGGCCCGACGATAAGTTGTTTGGGGAAAAGAAAAGCCTTGATGGTTTCTATCATAAAAAGTACCATTTCACAGGTTGTTTCAGCCCCACAACATGTAATAATGACTTTTGACTCATGTAAAAACCACCATTGAAAAGCTTGAAAGGGGACAATTCTAACGAGCTAGGCCCGACGATAAGTTGTTCGGGAAAAAAAAAAGTCTTGATGATTTTTGTTGTAATGCCACAATGCAGTCAAGGTTTGATAGAGATTATCAACATAAAACCCTCTTTTCCGTGTTTGTCAACAAAAACAAAACATCTCTTGAAGATTTTAACATGGTAATTACCATGGCATTGAGGTCTATCACCTGGCTGGTTTTCAGGTTACATGGATTGAAATTGGGTGAGTGCGTCGTTGTTTGTCGGGATGCAGGGTCTGTTTGCATGCGGTGGAGGGCCCATGCACCAAGCGCATCACCTCAATTTGGAAATGTCTCAGGCACAAACTGAAACTTTGATGGTCCCTGCCTGGCAACAAGCAAAATAGCCAGACCATCCTTGTTGCCGCAACACCCTTTTCTGGTCCTGCATAATGCATACTTGGTTATCTCTGGCTATCAGAGCCAGAGCTCATATTGAGAGAAAGTGTGCACAGCTAAAGTTTGAAGAACCATTAGATTGGTGGTGTTTTTGGGGCAATGTGTAGTGCTTTGCTTGGCAGGGTGTTCTATGTGGTGGGTAGTCCAACGGAGTATCATAAAGAAATGACACCGCCGGCAGAGCAATATTTGCAGAGAGATTGTGTACTCAAATATGTTTTCAGTGTAAACATGTCAAAAATATTTTAACAGGCTATTATAAATTTTCAATATAAAAGCGGAGGTGATTTGCGGTGGCTGGCCCGGCGGCGTATCATAAAAAAAATGACACCGCCGGCAAAGCAATATTTGCGGTGGCATGGTGTACTTAAATATGTTTTTGGTATAAACATGTCAGAATATTCTAACAGGCTATTATAAATTTTCAATATAAAAGCGGAGGCGATTTGCGGTGGCTGGCCTGGCGGCGTATCATAAAAAATGACACCACCGGCGGGGCAATATTTGTAGAGGTATCGTGTACTTGAATATGGTTTTAGTATAAACATGTCAAAAGTATTCTAACACACTATTATAAATTTTCAATATAAATGCGGAGGCGATTTGCGGTGGCTGGCCCAGCAGCATATCATAAGAAATGACACCGCCGGTGGGGCAATATTTGTGGAGGTATTGTGTACTTAGATATGTTTTCAGTGTAAATGTGTCAAACTTCATTATAATTTTTTTTCTATGTTTGCGGAGTCAATGTGCAGTGGTTGGTCCGGCGGTGTACCATAAAAAAATTATATAACCAGTGGAGCAATATTTGCGGAGGAATCGCCTTGCTGGTGTACTCAAATACTTTTGCAGATTAAATGTGTGAAGCTTCTTCCAACAGATCATTCCAATATGTGTCATTTTTGTGGAGGCAATGTGTGGTGCTTAGTCCAGTGGAGTGTTTCAGAAGCAATGTGCAGTGCTTAGTCTGGCAGAGTGATTCCACTCAAATTGTAGCAAACAGCATACATAGGTTGATAATATTATGCATGATTGATATAAGCCAGACTTGTAATTCTAAGTATTCAACTGGATGATGGCCGCCGGTGTGTCACCAACACCCCGGCAGAGGGCAGCCCCGCACTGGGTTATGACATTCAAGGTACACCCAGCCACTCCAGTGGTATGGGACATTGTTGCTGACGGCCCACACATAGTTACTGGTGGATTGTTCAGGGTCCGGCCGCCCCTTTGACAATGGGGTCCGGTAATCAAACCGGCTGTCCGGCTAGCCCCTTACCATTTGATGGATTGTCAGGGCAGGGTGGCCCATTACTAATGAGCCAAGGTGACTAACTTAACTGATTTCACCTCAGAGCGTCGAGACAGTCAAGCTTTATGAAGGTTGAGTCATTGCGACGTGGATTTTTATGCAATCCGTGGCGATTTTTTTTTGGGGGGGAGTTGTATCTTCTGTGCGAAAGACTAAATTCTTCTTTTCTTCGTTACCACGTTGCTTCGAGGCTGAGTGGAAACTGCTCCGAAGGAAAGGACTTGCAATTTTGCCCAATAGAGGGAAAAGCCGAACCTCTCTTAACCCATACATCGGTGGGCAGCCCGCGCTGTGGCCCGTTATGAGAGATTAACCGATTATGGGTCAATATATGAACTCCAAAATTTGTGATAAAAAAAAGGCAAAAAATCATTTGACTTGTAGTATGAAACTCACGGTTTATGCTATGCATTTCCTCGTGAATCAAGTTGGTCTACACCAAACGCTATGGGTTCGACGGGTTATGGGTGATCAGAAGGGTGGGTTAAGAGAGGTTCAAGGTTCAACTACCATCTGCCTAAGTATTCCCCTAGATACAATGTACAATCAACACAGCACCAATCCACAGCATCTACTCTTTCTCTTCCGCATCTTGACCCATGGTCGACTGACATCCAAAAGTTCTTAATGACGGGTTTTGGGGAGGTATTTGATCCTCGAAGATGAGTGACAGTCGCCATGCTTAGGTGCATCTACTCGACCGATGAGCTACAATTGCAAAATCGAGTAGATTCAAACATACTGATCGGTACGAAAGTTCCATCAGCAATTGAACCTTTTACATTGAAGTACCAGCTGACGGCGTTGAGGGCGCCGGATTTGCAGTCGAGCGCTGGTTCAATTCCCTGCAATTTATGAGAACGACTGAGATTCACGATATAAATTACGCACTCCAGATGCTCTCTTGAGCGCGGAAAGAAGCTCGGAGAGTGTATAAGTCCTGTCGTGGCTTGGAGTTATCCCTTCGTTTGCAAGCCAGGTGTACGTCGGTAAAGACTTCAAACGCGTAAGTTTGATATATAGAATGAGCTGAGTGTATTGACGTACTTGGAACAAGGAAACGACCGTCTGGAAGAAAAGGACCGCCTGATTATTCTGAGTGAGATATGCCGAAATTAGAGGGAGAACGAAGGAGCTCAACCTCAAAACCGTCTGGGCTACCACTGGGGAGGCACTGGGGATTAAGCGTGCTGATACGTCGGGTAAGCTACTAAAAAAATTGCGAAGAAATTAGTTCAAGTGGCGTACCTCATGCAGGTTCCGTGCTTGGACCACTCGTGCTGCATAATACACACGACATTAGCAATGTTGAACCAAAAGGAGTGGTAAACTATGACACTCACCTCCCAGAATTGCTCATTCTCCCCGTGCATATCGACCCAATACTACGGATGAGTAATTAACAAGGTTCGAGAATCTTTGTGCGTCCCTTACGGTTTCCATGAAATTTAAAGTGTCAGTTGCGCCGTTGTCAGTAAGAAGCTGGAGGGATTCAAGGCATTACATGGGTTTGCAGAGTAACGAGAATTGGATATCGTACTGAGGCGATATCGGTGTAAGCGCGGGAGGGATCGCAGTTTTCATTGAAAGTTGTATCGCAGCTATTTGTGGTCGGAGACGTCAGATGAAAGTTTGTATCTTTGATTCTTCGGAGAGCAATACGCACTTATCGGGCCAAAGACCTAGTATGAAGCATAATCAATACAGGCAATGCTAAAATTGCGGATTATTACCATGGATTGTCCAGCTATCCTCCGGACCAGTAGAAGGATGGGTGTCCCAGAACTACGTATTGTTGGGTAAGGGTCTCGCTCAAGGTGCAGAGATTTTGAGCGCACCTGGGTTTGCAATAAAAGACCCTAACATCAAGGCGATACGTCAGAGAAAATAGTGAAATAGAGACCGAGTACTAACACCTGGAGACTCGAAGCAGCACAGATCTGGAATTCTTGATGAGTTATGGCATGAGATGGGTCCGTTCGCAGGGCATGAGGAGAGTGGGGTCGATAATTGGAGGGGATTGAGGACGATTTGTGCTGGGGAGGGCGAGGCCAACGCAGCTCCGATAACGCTAGCCAGAACTACAGCTGTTGCGCGCATGGCGATGAATTTGACTCTTGTGGAAGGGCGTTCAGTGTGGGCAAATTTCGACTTGCTTTTTAGGCATGGGGACTAAAAGGGCCGGCAAGGTCAAAAGTGGTGCGTAGCGGTGTGTGTCTGCAGGAACCGAAAAAACCTAGCACGTTCGCTCAGTTATGTCAGTAGATCAAGCGTTGGAACTCATCTATTTATAGGATCAGCGCCAAGATCTAGACGTAAGCACATTCAACGCTCACAATCCAACTCTCACTGAGCCCAAAGTTGTTGTGGACGATACACAGAGAAAGGTTAACGGGTACGTAGACTGACCAGTGAGAAAACATGCATTCGCGGTGGTTCGTAACCTCAGCCTACCTTTTATTTCAGCCTTATTACTGGATTTCGTCGCGGAGTTATACAACCGCCGTGTACAAATTTCTGTACCTTTGTGAACCTTGTAAACTTCCAACAAATCGTATCATTCTTCGATCGAAGGATCTTTGGGCGGCTCGCCGGCGCATGACTCTTGTAAGTATTTGGTTGATGTTCTATGATTGGTTCGGTCCCGTTATACTTAGTATACAATTGAAGCGTCGATTTGCACATATGATAATGTGCCTGAGCAGATAGAGGGGGACACCTTTTTTCCCTCCGTAACAAAGGTTCCTGGGCGTGATCTTTCAAGACCAAAACTTAACGGTGAGAAATGCCCAACGATTTAAAATACCTTTCTTTGCTGGAACATGTTTTGGCTGGGTAAATTTGTCGTAGACATACACATATTTGCCTAAAGCTACCTAGGTCTAGTAGAATCTGGTAGCTTTGTAGATTCGTACTCGCGGTAGAATACCAGGCTTGGCAGATGATCTGTGCCTGTCACTATCATAGTAGGATTGAGCGCGCTGCGCATGGGCGTTCAATACATTCACGTAACTACATACGATCTACTACTTATTTAAGACTAAAAAGAAAAAAATTAAGCTCCTCAAAAAAGGGACGGCCTGGTCGTTGAATGAAGTCCTTTGCCGGATAAGATATTTTTGTACCCTGTACGTGAAGGAGACGAATCTGTAGGCTATGTACTGTACGTCAATTTCGGTCTGGCAGGGCGTTTATCTGTCGTTAGAAGGGGAAATAGGATAAAATTACTGTTAAATCAGTCTGTAACGTCATTCCAATACTTCGAATAAAAGCCAATCCGTTCTGTTATGTAGTCTGATGCAAGAGAGATCCCAATCACACCCCATGAGGTGAGGCTTCGCTTCAGTGTTCTTCACTTTAGCCATGAACGCGAAGGGTATCTCCACACAACTTTTGTTGGACAGATACAGTTTCGCATAGCACTATATGAAGAAAATTTTGATGCCACGTAATATGTTTTCGCTTTTCATTTTTCATGATAATGCAGTCTTTGGAAAGGTTATTCTCCCTGACTGCAAAAGGGGTGGACAGAAAATAAGCAAGGTCCCGAAGATCTATTGATATTAGGACTGCACGTATGCGGAGGATGGTAAAAATGAATATCGTTCATGATGTCGACGTCAGAAATGGATTGTGATTGCGCTGGACAATGGTCAGGGAAAAAATGCACAAGAAGCCTGCATGGTAACGCACGGTGATGTGTGCTTCCTCCGGTTCGTTCAAGGGCTGTTCAAAAGTCATTTGGTCAACAAAACGATACAAAGAAGTTTATATAAGAGACAGACCTCGCAAGCAACGTCTTCTCGCACATCGCCCGGCTACAAATGGGATGCGTTGACAAGGCGACCAAATTGACACAACGTATACTCACTGCATGGTATACGACCCCACTAGAGCGCCTTTGGTATGGCGGAGGAGGCATAGGGGCATTGATAGGCGGATATTCAGGGTTGTATACCTCGAGACCAGGCGGGTTACTAAAAGCGGATGCTTTGCTATGATGTCGACTTTGCCTCGCTCTATAAGCGCCTATGGAAGTCTCGTAGTTCGACATTGCATGGTTTTCTGACTCTGCACAACCCCCAGAAAGAGGCCGAAAGGATTGGCCAGTCGGAACATGTGTAAAAACGCCGACTGAGGCAATCTCAGGTAAGGAGGAAGCACCGTATGGCGCAATGCGATCGATCCGGCGTGCTCTACGTCGTGCATAGGCGTAGAAGATGCATAGCAAGGTTATCAACACTACCGCGCCTATAAGAATTTAGACGCGATATGTACCCCATACAAACTTAACTACTCACCGAAAAGACATCCTGCCAATATTGCCCCTGCCCGACCTGGACGATCTGTTTGGTACAGCTGTGCGTTTGAAGAGGCAATGAAGACGGATAAAGCGAAGAGTGTGGATTGCAGTCGTAAGGTAGTCATCGCAAGAGGTTGGTTTTTTCAGCCCGTAAAAAGCCGCTCACCAATCGCAGCTGTGACATCATTTGTAGGATTACGAGGCGGCAATGACTGACGATTGCCGGGCTTGATCATTGCCGTGATCTTCATTTGTAGGGAAAATTCCCTGCCGCCTATTACGAAGGCTCAAAATGGTGGGAAATAAGAGTGGAAAGAACAGAACTCGAGATTCAAGCGAATGTGTTGATGGGCAGCTAAGCTAGCAAACATTCAGGAGGAAAAGTCCGAGGGACTCCGGTGGCTGTGCTTTGATCCGCCACAGTGATGACTAAAAATCCACATTGGACACGCTTCAAGTTTGTCACATGTATCATAGAAAGCTTACGACACCTTCACCCAGAAAAAATGTGACTCTGGAGGCGCGAAACGTTGGTGAGTGGGTGTATATTATTACTAAGATCAGTTGGCGGGGTATACCAATAAAAAACGGGACCAATTACACAGTTACACTTCCACCTTGCTCAAAGTTTGTAACTTCACATATTCGAAATAGGCGCCGCACTTCGCCACCAATTCATCGTGCGTTCCGGACTCTTGGATACTACCATTCTTTATGAAGTATCTAAGAGGACATGAAGAGATTTCACGATCATTGAGAGCCAAAACAGAGCTGGAGGGACCTTACATGCAATCCGCATTTTGAATTGTTGATAGCCTGTGTGCGATCGCGATGGTCGTTCTCCCTTTTGCTGCTTGGTCAAGCGCTTCTTGCACCACTTTCTCCGAGTTTGAGTCAAGCGCAGATGTGGCCTTCAGAAGAAAATTAGATGTAATTAAAAGGAGGGAAAATGAGACCAACCTCGTCCAGTAGAAGAACCTTGGGGTTGCGGATGAGCGCCCTTGCGATGGCAATCCGCTCTGAAACGAAGATAAAGTCAAAATTAGGGACCAGAGGGAGAAAGAACGACATGCGTTTTTGGCCTCCGGATAACTGAGAACCTTTACCTCCTACTTCTGTATCAAAACCTCTGAAAACGACTTGGACATGTCCGTAAGATTTCGACAAAAAAAAGACACACTGAGGTAAAGATTGAATAAACTCCAATATATTAGCGTCTCGACAGGCTTGCTCAATCTCTTCCATCGTTACTTCGGACTGCGCTTTGACGGCCCCAATAACGATATTGAACCGAATAGTACCTGCATAGAGTGTGGGTTCCTGAGATACCAATGCAAGATGCTTTCGGTATTCTTGAACATTCAGTTCCCGGATGCGTTCTCCGTCAAGCTACAAAAGATGGTAAGGATGGGGGATACATTGAGAGAGAAAACGTACACTTATTACCCCTGCTGATGGGTCATAAAATCTCTCTAGCAGCTGAATTCTAGAGGAGGATCAGTCAAAAAAGCTGAACAGTTTTCCTGGATAATTCTTACATAGTGCTTTTCCCTGAACCGCTGGCGCCGACCACTGCGATATATGACCCAGGCTTAGCCTCCAGAGTGAGATTACGGAGGACAGGAACCGTAGGACGTGTCGGGTATTGAAAACGAACGTTCTCAAGCCGAACGTGGCCTTTCGTAGTCTTAGAATCAAGAATCTGTCCAGTCTTGGAGTCTGCGTCGATTTCGGGGACTGAGTCGAGAAGGCGGATGATGTCGGAACCTGCGCTGCTTGCCGACGATATGTCTGGCACAAATGTGAAGATGTTCCCGGACTGAACGGCGCCCATCGTCGAGCTCTGAGCGACATCAGAATGGAAGAAAGATGAAGTTCGGCGTAATCTCGCACCATGAGCGCAACAAAAAACGCCGTCGTTGAGGCTTCCAGACGCGAAACTAAACCAGCTCCATACCAGAAGACGAGGGCAATAACGAAGAAAGACAAAGATTGCGATAACGCGAATAGGAGATTTCCCCAAAGGGCGTTTCTTGTAGATCGGCGCATGGGAATTTCAAGGCTCTGGCTGTATTTCTGAAGACAGTCCTCTTCTCGGCCTAGTGAAGCTACTGTGCGGATAGATCCAGCCGACTCGCAAGCCAGGTGAGCAGACGATTCGTGAGACTTCTTGTTTGACTGATCCTTGAGTATAATAACTCGCTGAAGGGTTGGGTTGGAAATCCAAAATTTATGCAGGACACAAATATGCTCACGAGATGAATATATCCGGTGGATACCAGAATGGGGGTGCATGCTGAAGGCGAAGGTGTAAATTAACGTCGGGATGAGGTGTTATACGTTCACCTATAGCAATAAGGCCAAGTCTCCATACGTACACAAGCCCAAGTATCCACCCAGCGACGAGTGTCGCAATGCTTTGGATAATCGTCCCTAAGGTGATCCCTACAAGTCCGTTCACCTTTTGCGGATGTTCACTGAGGTTGGACGTCAGGCTACCCGTCTGGGTGGAATCATCCATTCATCAGCAAGGCGAGCCAGGGATAATAAAATCGAAACGCGCACGGAATTCTCATCGCGGTCAAAGAAGGCGACTGTGAATCTATTGAGACCGTAATGATGATAATGAAAAGGTGTTGAAACGAACCATCCTGCCTCAACACCGCCCTGAAGCAGAGCGAACGTAATCTAGCTGTCAAGGTGGAAGCTGCTACGGAAAAGAGATAATTCTGAGCGCCCATCACTATCATGGCAATGATGGCAATGACAAAAAACCTAACGCATGCTTGATAAACGACTTTTAAAAGAATAGAAAGTCATGGCTTACCAAAGAGCGTTTCGATCACCCTGGAAACGTCGAATGTGAGGGTCGTTTTCAGAAAACCCAGTAATGCTCTTAGCGAATACAATTCCGCAAGCGGGAGGGACCAGACCAGCCACTGAAAGGAATCAGGAAAATTCAGGATTGAAAGATGCGTGGACGAACGGATCGCAAAGATAGATGCCCAGAGGTAAATTTTGCGTTGATCTCGAACGTGTTCTCCCATGCGAATGAATAAGGTAAACGTGCCAAGGTTGGACCTTTCCGTCCTGCTAATAGGAGGCAAATTGTCAAGCTCCTTGTCGACTGAGTTATGGGTGTTTGATCGGAGAAGGGCGGTATCGGTGGGAGCCTTCTGATCCACTGAGCCCCGGAGCTCTTCTGCTTTCGACGTCTCGCTGGATATATTTCCTGGTTGGGAACCTCGAAGATTTTGAGCATTGACGAGATGCGCATAATGACCACCGGCCTGAATAAGCTCCACATGCGATCCTTTCTCGGTAACAAGTCCCCCGTCCAAGACATAGATGAGGTCGACGTTTTTGATGGTCGACAATCGATGGGCGATGATTACCGTTGTACGACCTTTCAAAATCGAATCATCAAATGAAGGTCAAGTCATTCAGGCCGGCACAAACCTGCGGCGGCTATATCGAGAGCGTCCTGCACAATGCCCTCGGACTGTGTGTCGAGCGCGCTGGTCGCCTCATCCAAAAGCAATATTTTAGGATCAGAAATAATGGCGCGAGCGATAGCAATACGCTGTTTTTGCCCGCCGGAAAGTAAGAAACCCCGTTCTCCTACCACGGTGTCGTACCCAGACGGAAGCTGAGCGATGAATCCATCCGCGTTCGCCTGCAGGCAGGCCTCTTTGATGAGCGCGAATTTTTTCTCGTCAGCAACATGCTCGTATTCCGTTCCGATTAGCCCATTGGCCACGTTTTCCTTGATACTCGCGGCAAAAAGGACGGGTTCTTGAGAAACGAGACCAATTTGGGACCGCAGCCATTTTAGGTTGAGATCTTTTAAATCAATGCCATCGAGTTTGATACTCCCCCAAGTCGGGTCATAGAACCGTTCAACGAGAGAAATGATAGTCGATTTTCCGGAACCAGAAGGTCCAACAAGTGCAATGGTCTTTCCGGCTGGAAAGGATAAAGAAAGTTCCTTGATAACGGGGACGTCTGAACGTGAGGGGTAGGTGAAATTTACTCCCTCAAAAATTATTTCTCCTCTGACGTCTTCGGGTTCCAGCCCACTCGGGTCAGAAGAGTCAATATCTGGGACACGATCAATGGTTTCGTAGAGCTTCGCTGCTGCGCCCCGGGCTTTGTTTATTGCTGTGGGAATCATTCGAACACGGGACTCGGTCGAATTAAGGTCTACGCACCTTGCATTTCCGGCGCAAGCAAAGCCACATAGAGAGAACCGATGAAGATGGATAGATAGACGTTCACGACGGCTCCCGCGGTTGCTAAAGACTTCATAAACATTGCCTGGAGACTGAACTGTTTGAAGCAAACCGTGATGGCTATTGATAAGGGTGGTCCCAAAACTGAATGCTTTGGCAGGTTAGAACACATGGAAGTATTAATCATTACTGACAACTTACTGAGAGCATACACCGAATAAATGATGAAAAACGTTACGCCAAATCCAGCCCCGCTCCAGGCAGAAGCTGTTAGGTTGATTTGGAGAGATTGTTCCACGTAAGAGTCGTAAATAGTCGACAACGTCTTCTGAGTCCCGAAAGCTTGGGCCGTTCGAATGGTCGAGATTACTTCTTCTGCCAAGGTACCACCTTCGGCAACGTGTTTGAGAGATTTCCTAGTGATATAATAACTTAGCTGCTGGTGATTTTCTGCCATAAAAAAAAGCACTTCGTGTAGTCCGCTGCAAACTTGTTCATAATTCCAGCCGTCAGGGATATCGCTGGAAGGATGGAACTGAGAGCCAAGGCCAAGCGCCAGGAACGGACGAATGCAATTATGAAACCTGTCAAAAAGGCCGCAACGCAGCTAACTGCTAATGCAACCTTCTCGGATATACCCTGCTGCACCAAATCTAAAAGTAACGTCAGCGATGGAGACCATCACGGTAATTAACACTCACGAGTATCCGTTTGAATTCTAGTGGTAATTTCCCCTGCTCCAATGTCGTCAAAATAAGCGATATCCTGACGAAGGATAGCTTTGAGGTAGTACTCTCGAATCCTCTTGGCGTTGACTTCACCAGTATAGACCCAACTGTAGAACGATACAAATGTGCACACAAATAATCCAATTCCTAAGACGATCAACCAATGCCTTTTGCTAGAAAACAATTCCACATACCAAGATACACCAGGTACGTGGCATCAATACCAGCCGCGTGGCGAAAGTTTGCAGCTGCTAGCGGCAATAGTTGTTTGGCCTCCTCGACCCCTTCCTGATACTTGAGAAGGACAGTCGTAAATGTCACAAAGTCCTGAGTTAAATTTCCAAAGAGAATCGCCTGGAGCGGCTGCATGTAAAATGTCAGTCAGGGAATAATGAGTCTACGCCGATTTCCAAGGCTCACTTGAGCAGCCCCCGATCCTAGAGCTACGAGCAAACCGATAGCATCAATGAACATTTCGAATCGCGTCGAAAATCTTTTTTTTGTAGCAAAGTAAGATTTCACACGATCGACTTGAGAAAAAGAGGACGCACCGAAATAACTGGGAGAATGATACAGTTGGTGCGTCATCCTCGTCGGAGGCTTGCGCGTCAGCAGCCGAGTCCTTGTTTTCTTCTGACGTGGCCGCCTTGGCCGCTCCTCTGCGAGCAAAGAAGCCCCGCGGCGGTTCAACAGGAGAAGTCTTTTCTTTGTCCTGATCTTCGGTGGACAACATGAGAACCGAAAAGAATAGCGATTCCTGAACACTGGGGATTGAAGTGTTGCCAAGTGGCAAGGATCGTCCATTAGTTGCACATTTTGACTTCCAGGTGCACTTGTTGTGACTCAGTACTCCTGTTCCGTCGGTTACCGCAGCGCCGCAGCGCAGCCATGGGCGATTTTGACAAGGATCATCAACCTGATGACCTTTGCTGCCCGATATGCACGTCACGTGGTGACGTGCATGTGTTGTCGATTACATAAAAGGTCTAACCCACAATTGTCGACGCAGAAAGAATTTCATAGCTGGTTACTCTAGCTTGAACACACTGCTGAACGACGTCTGACAGTCAAGCCAGCATCTAAATATATCAACCTGCCAGGATTTGATGCCACACAGAAGGCTATTTTCTCATGTTCACGCCAAAGGTTTACGCGTGCATAATGAGTGTAATCGATGTAAGTAAGAAATTTCCGAAAACTTGAAAGACCTGACTATATTGGTACATTTACAACAGCCATACGAGAATAGAGAACAGGCGACAACTCCAAACATGGCTCCCGCCTACGTTAAGGTGAAAGCAAGCTCAGAGAAGAGAGTTGGCATGTGAATCAATTTTGATCATGGATAAAGCACACAGGCCAACTGAACAATAAACAACTCCTAAGTCAAGAGTTGTAACAAAGCAGGTGTCCACTTACAAGCACTCTCTTCGGTGCCAGCGAAGGCAACTATAGGCCCGAATGTTCCGTACGCTGTACCGGGTTTAGGAGGTGAACCGAAAGGCCCTGAACAGTACGCAAATCTAATCAGCTCATAAATCATCACTGCAAATGTTTATCCTACCCTGAACTTCAACTCTACCACTGTCCTCTTCGAAAATAACAAAGCTAATCGAACCAATGTTGTTGGCGGCGTTTCGTTGACCGTAAACACCTACAAGGAACTGGCGATCTGTGGATAAAGCAATAAGCGGAGGCAGCGAGTACAGAAAGCAGCGGCGAGTCCTACCATTGATTGGGATGGCTGGGTGGGCATGTCCACTCTTGAGTCCATGTATGAGCACATGAGGGGCCTGGGGAAAGGGGTCCGGCTTAAGTATATAGGTAACCTCTATCCCTTCGACGCGGTCTCTGCCCCAAACCTGAACCTTGGAAATCCTCTGGATCCCCTGGGTGACAGGAAACCCGCCGACTAGATTTTAGTCAGCTACCACTGGAAAACATGAACACATTTCGAACACCACTTACGGCGGACGAGGTCGTTGAATGATTGAAAGTTTTGTTGATTAACGCCAACAGAATGGGTTTGGGAGATGCTACTGAGTAAAGGCTCGCTAGACATAATGATGGGATGAACAGACTCGAAGAATAGTAGGCGAAGAGATAAAACGAGGTGGGGGAATTGCTGGACTGTCACAGAACAAAGTCTCTTTATATGCAGGACTGACTCCGACTCCTCAGGGTTCGTTGAAACGGTTGCCAAGTCCTGACTCCCCATCCAAGTCGATGTACTACTAGTTGGACCGGCACGATCGTGTGCACGCAAGATCTGTGCCCTAGAATATTACAAGAGCGTTCTTTGAGGGGCTGTCTGAGGTGATGGTCTGGCCCGGGAATTCATGTTGTGTTCTTGGTTTCCATCATAGATGATTCGGCAATACTAAGGGGATTTACTGTCAGATGTGCAAGCACCAGGAAGTAGAGGCTAGTTATGCCGCAAGGTGAGCTCGAGGTTACCTTGAACTTCATTTAGCTGGTTTTTAATCTGAAAGCTAGAGGTAATCAAGGAAATTCAAGGCTTGAGCTGACTGATACGGACCTTACATTAATGCAAGAACACGCGGACGCGGTCGTCCTTTCCAGCCGGCTCATGCGTCATCTTTCCCTTGCGATTCCCGATAATCACGTCGGCCCCAGCAGGCACTGCCAGCTCGATCAAGCGGAGGTCCTTGCGGCGTGCGGCTTCGTGTAATAGAGACGTGCCAGCGTCGTTGTCAAGGTAGGACAAGTCGGCGAAGAACCGAGCAGCTGGAGGAGTGAGGGCAAGGGTGCTTCTGATAGGGGTGATAGAACGTGGCTTCGCAGCAGAGAGCAGTAGGAAGCATTGAGAAAAGACCGTGAATCTAGAACAGTTCAGACGGGTTCAAATGAGAAGAATGACATACATACCATCATTAGCTCGCACGACCTCCTTCCCTCTCGCAACCTCACGGCATGTTTTTCCTTGCCCGTCCCTCAAGCTGTCGTCGATATTCTCTTGTTCTAATACCAGATTCACGGCATCGACTCTGCCGAGTGGTGCCACCGGATGCAGAGGCGTGGTGCCCGAACCAGGGGGATGAACCCTGTTGGGCGATATGGCTCAATGAGACAGGAGCAGAACACGCTGAGCGCTGAGCAGCTATGACAGCGTGGAGCTGGATGACGTACCGCCACGGAGAGCTGCAAGAAGTCTGACTTGGGAAAGTGGCTCGCCTGCTTGTATGATGTCGTCAGTCAAACCAAAAGTGATCTAATTTCAGTACATACTTGAGTCTGGCATCGTCGTTGCAGCACAATAACGGGCTTGAACCTTGTAGCCCAGGTGTTCCAACGTGACCCCCCATGGATTGTGAATCCGGGGGTGTTCGGTAGAACGGAAACACGTCCTCATCCCAAGTTTCCAGTGGCCCTTTAACCCGTGATGGTAGGGCCCGAGAAAGCTGACGAACGCAACCTGATCACAAGCCAAACGTGTCAATCCCACAGCAACGATGGTTGAGAGGACTCGAGACTGAATTTCTCGAACTTGCAGATACGGCCTGCGTTGGGTGTGATGATGACGGCAACAGCTTGGTGTGCAGTTTCTCCTCCCTTGGGTAGTCTCGGAGTCATCGTTGAGGAGGGGAGGGGTCGGACAGATAACTGACGTGGGTTCAACGAGGTATAACGGGAGCACAGACATCTAAACTAAACCAAGTCATATGAGCGGGGATGGAGAGCACAAGCGGGAAACAGCACCTTCGACGAGTAGTCACTTGCCCAAGGTCTCATCAACGGTATCATTGATGGTTGATATCTGCATATTGGTATCAGTGAGATGTAAGACGCAGGGGAAAGGGGGCGAACAAGAGAAGCATAGCAGTAGAGGAGGGGAAGGCTCTGGAGAGGGGTTCGTGGATATGGACACCAAGAGGGAAAACGTGACAAGAATAGGGTGCACGACAATGCAGAAGAAGGGAGCGACGATGCGGGAGAAGGGTGTGAAGACGCAAAGAGAGAAGGAATATAGGCGCAAAAACAGAAGGAATATAGATGACATAGAATTCGCAACAACCGGAAATGAAAACATACCAAGTGAAGCCTCGAAAAGTCAACAACCAAAGGTTGCATGTGGGTTCAATAGGCCGCCTTAGAACCTACAGCTATGAAATATAAGCTATCTTCAGTAGAGTACGCAAGAGACCCACGTCTTCGAACACAATCCGCCAGTCCCGACCTCTAATCTGTCATTGACTCCAGAGCCTGACGCAAGGTTAAAGTGACGCCTGAAATCATCCGTTATGTCGGAAATGAGTAGGACACGGGCAGTAAGACGGGTAGTAAGACGTGCATCCATTATACCCTTCTCTCTTCAAGCTCCATGATGCTGCGATGACAGATTCTGGGTCATCCTCTTCCTCTGGAAGTGGTCGTACTGCCGCCGGCTTCAGCCACGATTATTTCAGCGACGGGAGTAGTTCGCGTGTTTCAATCCGAAGGGCTCAGAGCGAGCGGAAGTTTTTGAAAGTGCCAGCAACGAAGCTGTCCGGCCACCAGCTCTAGCAAGTCCATCGCGTTCCTGCTCTCCTCGCCCTGCTACAGAGCTGAGCCAACAATTAGCTTGAGAAACGTAAAGAAGAAACAGGACGAGTCGCACAAGAATATATCCTAGCTCAAGACACACTCAAACGCCGTCAACCGATTGCCACCCTCCCCCATGTAGTCGCCGCCTTGATGCTAACGAGCGACGCGTCTTACGGAATGGCCAGTTTATCGTTGGAGGCAAGCTTGGGATCCGATGATGGTGGTCGTGAGCAAGGAGCACCGATCAACTGCCAGCGATTGATCAACGAAGTCACATCAACCCATTACAAGGGCACACTGTGCCTTCGACACCGATTACAAGCTCTTCAGTTGTGGCCAAAACTTATGGACCACGTACTATTGCGGTAATATCCAAAGCTTTACGGAAGCACAAGAACTAGATGCCCTGAAATTTGCCAGAGTTTCTTCGCCTCCGAATTCGTATCTCGGGTATGGCTCCCGTAGGTCGCCGATTTCCTGATAATCTCTCCTTAAAATTCCAAATTACTCTGTGCACCACCGGACTTTGACCAGACTCCAAACAAAACATCGTAATCGGTGCCAATTTTCCGAGACTGTCGCCTTTTACGTTGTTCTCAAGTGTCAAGGAAATATATTATTAGTCTTAACCCTGGTCGACGTTACCTACAATGAATAGACGTATTAATAAGATACAGTGGCAATGCAAGGTGGGGTCAATCCCTTGACTAGATAAACTTAAACGAAAGCTAGATGACCAGCACTTCCGAAATCCGAGTTGGTGTCTAGGAAATGAGTTTGAAGACGGCGCAGCCGTCCATGATTTGATCATCCGGAGGCGGAGGTAACTCGAACGCCGCGGGGAAATCCCAACAAAGATAGGCAACTAGCACTTCGGGAATCGATGCTCGATAAGTCAAGACAACGCAGTCGTCTATAATTTGGTCGAGGGATGAAGGATGATGTGGAGACGCCAGGCCATGAAAATTCAACTTGTTCCAAAGCCTAATGGTCGCGGTGTAGAGCTTGGACCAGTAGTAGAGCTTCGAGTGTCGGTGATTAATAAATAGGTTCATGGATAACACAGATGTCTGCAATCTGATGAGGGATGGAAGTAGTCTTGAACATAGCGGGCCATGAGAATTCAATCTGTTCGCAAAATCCAAACGTCGCGCTCAGTGGAGCTTGGGACCAGCCCTGCCCAGCACACTTCATCGGGAAGAAGCCGTACTGAGTAACCAGCATAGTAAGCCTGCTGGAGGTCGTCCCCTATCGCCGTCACCCTACGGTTGACAGCAGCCAGGACGTCGCCTATAGTGATAGATGCATCATAATCGTTGTGGGTGGGGAAAACGACGATTGGTCGGTCGGGGTCGAAATCAAAATAGATTGTCAAGGACGGGACGGTAGGTTGAACTGCCCGCTCATATCTCCACGCGTCTCTCCCCCGTGAGCTATGACGTCGTGAAGGGCAAGCGGCGAATAATGTCGGGGCTCTGATATTGTAATCGATTCCGTTGACGAGCAAAGGGTTTATCTGGATCTCGACAGGTGAGAGTTGTGGAAGGGGGATACATTGCCTGCGCGGGAGTGCAGGTGGGACGATATGTACGTCGGGAATAGGACGTGAACTAAAGGGAGAGGGTGTTGCACTGGAAGTCGTTGGGGGCGCCATGAATTGTCGTACAAAAGAGGGATGGGGTGTCGTGAACATAGATGAGGGTGTTACGCGTGGTAGAAGGGGACGTAGATTTCGGCTTTGGGCAGCATAACGCTCGCGGCGCGTTTGGTCAATCCTTGCGTCCGGTCTTAATGCACGGAGTGGCATATCGCTTCTGTCAAGGGGTGAGCGCGTTTAGATTCTGGATGTTCAGATAGCTCACAACGTTATCTCATGTTCAGCCTAGGGCTCAGCTCAAAGAGGCGTAACATGTTGAGTTCCGAAAGGTCCTTGAGGCTTATATACGGGTATGTCAAGCAACCTGTGGCGCGAATTAGGCTCACTTATGATTAACACAGCCAGGGCTCCATAGGTCGGAGATAGTGGAACGCATGTAGTTGAGGGTGTGGGCTCGGCACATGTCTACACTGCATTGCTAAGGAAGAGTTAACAAGCAAAAATAGATGAGGTCCTGAGAGGGCAGAGAAGGATACTTGCTTTAGGCTTCCCTGACTTTCCAAGATTCCTATCGGGATGCGTGACGGCCAAAACATTGCCCACGCTGCGTTGTCGGAACTGGAGAACCAATTCCGGCAACTGTAACACCACGCAGGCCCCACTCGTCCAACACCGTGGTATCTAACGATCTGATTGGACGGCGCTTATTTTGACGCTCAGGACTACGTGCTCAGCCTGTGTACAGCAATCGTTAAATTACGCAGCCTTGAGCAAAGCAAGCAAATTTATCCTTATCTGTGCTTTGTACTCCGGAAGGAAGGTCAACCAGTGTATATTTCTGGGCCCTTAGAGCCATCCAAATATCAGCGGGAGACGCAAGCTTCGGGAAAATTGGCTGACTGCAACTGATGAGGGCTCTTGTTAGAGCGGGGACGGGCAGAAATATGGGATAGACTTACGAATATTCGAACCCCTTCTACAAAAAAAATCACAACAACTTGAAGTCCGCACGTGTCTGATATGAGGAGAAAAACCTGCTTGCTCCGGACAATTCTTGTCCAGAGTTTCGGGCTGCGTAGAGCATATTGATTCCAGCCGTGTACAGCGGGTTGTGAATGGCTTACGACGACGTCAATGCGATTATCGCCATGGGGCCATTGACAAATGACGTCGTCATAATAGGTTTTCAGCCTCGAGGTCCGACGAACAACTACCCCCTCTTCGCCAGTGGGGCCTATATGGGGGTAACTTGCCAATGGGAACGGCAATTCTGTTGGCCTAGAGAAGGCATTTGAAGTCTGAACCACAGTGGAATGGGTTGTGGTGTCATGGAAGCCACTCGAGATCGGCTCATTTCGGGATCATACTTGCACAAAATCGATGTCTTGGATGTCCTTCAATATCATAAAATGGGTTGCCGGGTCGTATGGGCCGAGTTGACATCCGACAACAGAGTTGACAGAGGGCTCGATGACGATGAGTCGGAAGAAACCGGAAATTGGGATGGTCAAGTGGTTGTGGGGCTTCTCAAGAGGTGCTTTGACTTCCGGGCAATTTCGAGTGTGTTATCAAGGGCAGATCCCAGAGGTAGCTTTCAGAATGTGGAGGGTGCCACTTACGATGTGGTGGCACCAATATTGTGTCGTATTTGGCTGATGTTGTTCATCGACGATGATCGCTTACTCCTTGCGTGTTTCCTCACTGTGAACGATTTCATTATAATGATTCCCCTTCGCTTTGCACTCGTTTCCTTCGATATTTATACATTCTTGAGATTACTTGAAAAAGGACTGGTAGAGTGGTACGTGTCAAGCCTCTGGCCTTGTTGTCATATGATCCAACACTATTACAGATATTCTGTCGCCCTGAGTGCCTCGTGTGTCCGGATGATATGTATCTAGCAGATGGTATAAAATGTGCGACAGCATCATGTCCATCGCTCATAAAGACGGTTCTCCTCATTGAGGAAAGTGAGAAGCTTCTGTGAGCGCTCACGCGAAAGATGCGATTACGACATGCCATTGCCTCATCTGACATGAAGAATCCAAACGTCAGGCTCAGCGGGACTGGGTGAAATTCCAGCCCAAATCGAACCGCCGGGAAAGAACTCCATTATGAGTTGGCGAACGTGCGCGTCAGAAATTGCTGCTTGACTCTGGTGAGTCTGTACCCTTCCTATCGGAGAGCCCCAAAGGTTATACGCGGGAGGCGGATGGTGTAACTCGATGGCGAAGACGCGGATTGCGTCGTGCACTGCGGCGAGAACATCTCTAACAGTCACGAAGGGGTGCTGCGCGTTGTTTGGAAACGCGATCACTGGCTTTGGGAAGCTAGATGAACAAAGCGTCAAAGAGCTCGTAGCGGGGCTGGTTGCCGGCTCGTCCAGAGATCGATCCAGAGCTTCACGGCGCCGGGAGTTCAGTGTTGCGAACGTTGCTGGCAGAGTGACGTCGTACTCGATCATGGGTACTGGCAAGTACTCCAAAAGGGGGTTGATACGAACTGGGCCATTGTGCAAACGTGGAAGGGGGATAAACGTATAGGGGGATTTGCTATAGAGCAGAGAGGGTGGCGCAGGGGAGTGAAGAGACAATGGGGAGAGATGCGGGTCGGTGGCGACGTGAGTGGTAGAGGTGGTGGGGGGTAATGTTGCCTGGAGGTGTATCACACCTCGACCTTGCGGTGTCGCGGTGTACGTGGAGGAGGGTGAGTAGCCAGACATGGTTTGAGCTGATGCGGTAACTGGAGGATCTCAAGCGACTTTAGGTTCAGTGTCTGCAATATGGGCGGATCTCATACCTGTGAGTCGCGACGATGCAGTGGGGTGGGGTTGGGGAGTAGAGACGTAGAGTGGGGAAGTAATAAACGGTAAGTGGTTGGATGAATACGTGAACCTGAAGGGTCTCCCTTAAGTAGCGCCCCGGCTTGACGGAGTCATTTGGTTGTACCGTGCCATATTTACTATGTTTCCAAAATACTAATAGTGCACAACATTTGCTAGGGTCCGACTTCCGGTCACGTTAGCAGAACATGCATGACCTGAAAGGATGCAAAGCTGGGGCTGGCAATAACGTTCACATTATTTTTTTCCAACCTGCCAGCCTTCATAAATTTCTGCAACAGTCTGTCCTCTTTTCTCAATGACTTTTCCCTAGTGAATAATTTATGGCGGGATAGCATGCGCAGCCGCAGCCTGAAAGTAAATTGCTACAGCGGACAAAGTTTAAATGGCGCCCGCAGCCACCCCGGCGGTTACTATCAGTCTTTCAATGTTTTCCTGTTTTTGGTCGTGGGGTTGGCTTATTAGTCCACTGCGCCCAACTGCCCAACTCTTGCCAGCATCGCTGTGTTAAAGGAGACGTCTCGTGACCACGTTGTTTACGCGTACGCTCTATTTGTTCACTTCCTCTCTCGTTTTACTTCCGTTATTTATCAGTCTTTATTCTTACTTTACCAGTCTTTTGTTCCCCATTTCTTTATATACGAAAACTTATTTCCCCTCATCTCAGTCGTAGTTATACTTTGTGTCTGACTGAGACTGACTCTGAGGTGAGCTTACTTTACATTTTCTTACTCTACCTTTACTGACTACTACCTGTACTTAGTTCCGTGAGTTCACAGGCAGTTAAACAATATCAGTCGTCATTACACTTTGTGTCTGACTCTGAGTTCCGTGCGTTCACACGCTGGCGCTAATAAACATACATATGGAATACGTGGGTTAAGAAATTAAAATTACCCAAGTCGTACAAGTATCCTTTGTACCATCAAGTGAAAATCATTCGGGATGGCTCGGCGTATGCAACCGATGGATCCGCAACATGCAAAATCCAATGACCAGAGATTGGGCAAAAATCCAGCCCCCAAATGCAGATGTTCCCTAGCAGCAAATCTACACCTTTCGGACCTGTGACGGTTCGGTGACCGTCCAGGAACATGTCCCAAAACCTGTTCGCACTGACTCCCCTCCCCTCTCGAAAATATCTATTCCTAAAGGCAAGCTCAACTCGTTCTTTGAGTTCGACAGTCAATTCATGGAACGTCGAGAGAGAGAGATCTTGACGAGCACGGTTGCCGACGAAGTTGACGACGTCTAAGGCGGAATAAGTTGCCCCAGGTGTGAAAATATCCCCGATGTGTGAGGTAGTATCGTGAATATGAATTGAATTCGCCGAAATAGCGACAGATGAAAGCCTCAAGGCCGTCTCTGGTTGAAGCGGGAGGGTGACGGTGAGGGGGAAGAGCGCAGGTGCTGACCCGGAGGGTGACGGATGTAGGTCCGACTCGGACGGAAGGGGAATGCATTGAACGGGTCTCAGACGTGGAGGCTTATTGTTACTGAAGTTCAGAATCAAAAGTCAGAGTCGTTGAAAAAACGTACCAAGTACTGATGTTTAATTGATATATGCTTCTAGTCAGACCTCTTCACAAGGAGGGAAATAATTCCTTACAGAATAGTGCACTTCATGATCACTGGGCTGTTTACTCAAATAAGGTCAGCCTCCATGTGTTGATTGAAAGGCCGTACCGCCAAGTGCCTATCCTGAAGCACAGGCTGGTGGGAAGATAAGAAGGAGTACTATCTGAATGTTGAAACGCTCACTGGACAGATTGAACCAGAAAGGGGAAACTGCAATTTCAGCGGTCAGCGTCAAATAATGGGACAAGTTTGACTGAGTCTTGTTACACGGCGAGGCGTATACGTCCATTCCATCTATGTCATATTAGCGGAGGCGGGAGAGAGTGAAGATAAGCTGTCAGTTTACAGCACCTTGCGGTGAGAAATTGTCTTCAAGCAAAACATAGGTGGGATAACGTAGTGTGGAAAAGTTCAGAGGAGGAAGGAAGGGGATTTTCGGAAGGATGTAACTTTCGCAAGGCGATATAGTGTTGAGTCGACCTAGTATCGGCGGTGGAATCGAGATACCAAGTCACCTAAAAATATCCCAGCGGAACATATGCATTGTAGTCTCATAGTATTTTATTTAATGATAGGTGTCGATTCTAATCGCCGATACGCGCATGCTTCTCTTTGAAACCGTGATATCCCGAGTTGCGTCTTCAGCACGTAGAATTCACTTATCGAACGGACCTTACCGAAGTATTGTATGTGCTAGGTACCGAGAAAAGACTAATTTTGATTGCCGGGTTGCGAAAACAAATCCTTTGCCAAAACCGTAAACGAATCCAACCCTAAGGCCAGCTTGATGAGATCAGCCTCGATTTAGAAACGAAAGTCAGTGTCTGGAAGGCTGGAACACATTTGAACACCCAATCAGGAGGAATAGCACCCCAATTGGGATTACTTTCCACTTTTTCTCCCAGTGCCGTGCGCCGCTGGCCGGAAATTTTTTTGAATACTGTAGCATTTCGTTCAATTCGACGGTCACGCGTCACGGGGCCCTTCAAATTGCCGAAATGTCACGGTGGTCACGCAGATTTTTGTAAGGTGTCGAAATCGTCTGGCGCTCTTATGATAAATGTCGAAATTTTTCGTGGCCTGCGGCGTTAAATGGTCGTAAATTTGCCCAAATTTTCGGCTTGTCACGGCGAATTTGTGAGGTTGTCGAAACCAAATTTTCGACAGGCCTGTCACGCGTCACGGGCCCTGTCGAATTGAATGAAATGCTACAGTAGTTCACCATACTTTTGACACATTCTAGGCTAAGCTAATTTGAGCCCAGAATACATTTTTGAACCATCGAGAAGATAAATTCCATTGTTTTGAGAACATTGAGTCAGTCTACTAGTAGTACTACGGTCGACAGCAGCGGTAATAGATGCATCATAGTTGTTGTGGGTGGGAAAAACGATGATTGGTCGGTGGGGATCGAGATCAAAATAAATTGTCACTGGCAAGGACGGGACGGTAGGGTGAACTGCCGCAGCAAAGGGTTTATCTGCATCGCGAAACGAAAGTTGTGGAAGGGGGATACATTGCTTGCGCGGGAGTAGACGTGAAACAATGTAGATGTCGGGGATAGGACTTAAACTGAAGGGAGAGGGTCTGTGGGTGGGAAAAACGACGATTGGTCGGTGGGGATCGAGATCAAGATAGATTGTCAAGGACAGGACGGTAGGGTGAACTGCCGCAGTAAAGGGTTTATCTGCATCTCGAAGTACGAGAGTTGTGGGAGGAGAATACATTGCCTGCCAGTACGCTGGAGTGGACGTGAAACGATATGGATGTCGGGGATAGGACTTAAACTGAAGGGAGAGGGTCTTGCACTGAAAGTCGTTGGGAGCGCCATGAATTGTGGTACAAAAGAGGGGTAGGGTGTCCTGAACGTAGATGAGGGTGCTCCGCGTGGTAGACGGGGATGGAGATTTCGGCTTTCGTTCCCGACGAGTTTCCGATCCTGATGCAAAGATCGACATATCGCTTCTGTCAAGGAGTGAGCGCGTTTAGTATCTAGATGATTCAAAAACTCACAACGTAGGCTCATGTTCAACCTATTGTTGCAAGCGGGCTCAGTTTAGTAGGGCGTAATATGTCGAATTCCTTGAGGTTTACATACAAGTACGTCGAGACACAAATAAGCTTACCTGTGAACAACGCAGGCAGGGCTGCATAGGCCGGAGATAATGGAGTTGAGGGTCATGGGCTTGACGCTTGCCTACAGTTCAAAGCAAAAATGGAAATGGAGCCCTGTCCACGATCGTCGATGACTGCTCGAGCGGGTAGGAAAAAATACTAGTTCTAGACTTGCTGACGTTGCAAAATTCCCATCGGACGGGTCTCAACAGGAGAACCCAATGAGTGGTGAGTCGTGACCAAAACCTTGCCCACGCTGTCACCGAAATTGGAGAAAACAATCGCGCGGCAGTTGAAACGCCACGCTCCAGTCTAGCCACCGAAAGGCATCGTGGCGTCTGACGATCTGGATGAAGCGCGCCAATATGGCCTTATCTGTGTTTTGTATTGGTCGACAAATGTTTTTTTGACGCCTTACACCATTCAAATTGCAGCGGGAAACGCAAGCTTCGAGAAACTTTGCAACTGATGAAGCTTTCAGTAGAGCGAGGATGCGCAGAAATCTGTGGTAGACTTACGAATACTCAAACCGCTTACCAACAATCATGACGAGTCCGCACACGTTTGATATGAGGAATAAGAACTTGCTTGCTGCGCCGATCTCTTGTCTAGGGTTTCGGGTTAGGGAGCGCATAAGTATGTCCACCCGTGCACAGCGGGTTGTAAATGTTCAATGGCTTACGGCGGCGTCGATGCGATTATCGCCATGGTGCCATTGACAAATGACGTCATCAATAAAAGGTTTGCGCCCTCGATGTCCGACGAACAACCCCCCAGTTGGGCCCTTGCACATCAGGTTATGAGCAGACATCCCACAAGATGGTGTTGACAGGGGCTCCATGCATAATTAGTCGGAAAATGGGATGGGAAATGGAGCTGTGACTTTCGGTCAATTTTCCAATGTGTTATCGGGCGCAGATCCGGGACGTACTACTACTAGCTTTCAGGTCAATCAGGTGACGATGAACCAATGTTGTGTCATATTTGGCTGACGTTGATGATTATGTACTTTGTTTTTGTTTGCGCTTTTCCCAAGCTTTTCCCTCCTTGCTCAACCAAGCTGTGAACGATTTCATTATTCTCATTGCCCCCTTCACTTTGCACTCAGTTCCTTGGATATCTATACATTCTTGAGATGACTCGAAAAAGGACTGGTAAAGTGGTACGTATCAAGCTTGTGGACTTTTTGTCAAGTTGTCATCCAACACCATTACAGATATTCTGTCGCCCTAAATGCCCCGAATGTCCGGATATGTATCTAGCAGATGGTATAAAATGTGCGACAGCATCATGTCCATCGCTCATAAACACGGTCCGCCACACTGAGGAAAGTGAGAAGCTTGTGTGAGCGCTCACGCCGAAAGGATGCGATTATGAAATGCCATTGCCTCATCTGACATGAAGAATCCAAATGTCAGGCTCAGCCGGACTGGGTGACACTCCAGCCCAAATTGAACCGCCAGGAAAGAACTCCTTTATGAGTTGGCGAGCGTGCGCGTCGGAAACGGCCGCTTGAGTCTGGCGAATCTGCACCATGCCTGTCGGTGAGCCCCAAAGGTTATATGTGGGAGGCGAATGGTGAAACTCGATGGCGAAGACGCGGATTGAGTCGTGCACTGCGGAGAGAACATCTCGAACAGTCACGAAGGGGTGCTGAGCGTTTCTTAGAAACGCGATCACTAGTTTTGGGAAACTGGGCGAGCAGCATGTCAAAGAGCTCACGGCAGGGGTGGTTGCCTGCTCGTCCAGAGATCGCTCCAGGGCTTCACGGCGCCCGGGGCGTAGAGTGAAGAGATCACGGGGAGAGATGCGAGTCGGTGGTGATATGGGTGGTGGGGGGTAATGCTGCGTGGAGGTGTATCACACCTCAGCCTTTCGGTGTCGCTGTGTACGCGGAGGCGGGTGACACACGGTTTGAGCTAATGTGGTATCTGGAGAAGCTCAATCAGCATCGTGTCTGCAGTGTGGACGAATCTCATACCCTAAGTCCAACGCGAGTCGCGACTGCAGAGGGGTTGTGGAGTAGAGCGGCAGAGTGGGGAAGTGATAAGAGGTGAGTGGCTTGGATGAATACGCGAACCTGAAGGGTCCCTCACTGGCAAGCAGCGCTTCCGGCTTGATGGCATTGGTTATGCCAAAAATTCGATTTCCGGTCATGTTACCCGAACCTGACGGAAAGACAAACAGTCAAAAAAACCTAAGAGAACAGATTTGATTGAGTGATAAAGAGGATGGTTGCATGAGTTGGATACGAAGAACGGATGGCAAGGCGTAAGTACTAGCCTGAGAAACCACCGATCATACCCGCCGTTTTTCTGCTTTCAATTTTTTTCCAATCGCACTTTTCTCGTCCTGATTTCCACAGCGGACGCAACTGAATTCGATACTTACTTAGCTATGGAAAAAAGTCGTTGAGACGTGGCAATTGAGGAACTAACCTCCCTTGAGTAATAGAAATAATCTTTTGCGTAACTGTCAACTAATCAACATTGACGGCAACACGACACATCTTCCAACATCCATTAAACAAACAAGAGGGATGTCCTACAAACTCCTCTCACCAAAGATCATCCCACTAACAACGGTTGAAGCGAACAAAAAAGGTCGAAAAAGTGGACACACTGGGAATTGAACCCAGCACCTCTCGCATGATTCTGAACCTCAGATGCTAAGCGAGCGTGATAACCAACTACACCATGTGCCCTATACAGCTTGATACATAGTGGTTAAATCTATTCTCAAGGGCGGGTTTTGCCATACCCCGATGGTGTGTTTGGTCCTAGGCTAGTTTAGAAAAGAAAGAGACGCAGGATCGATATTGGCGGATATTTTTCGATAATACTCCTCTCATTTCTGTGCAAGTGAATCGAAAACCAAACATGCGAGATACTCCACGAAAAAAATAACATGAATCATACCAATATTTCTGATTCTTAGTACCAATAAGTGAAAATTATCTAGGATGGCTCGGAGTATGCAACCGATGGATCCGCAACATGCAAAATCCAATGACCAGAGATTGGGCAAAATTCAAGTCCCCAAATGCAGATGTTCCCTAGCAGCAAATCCACACCTTTCGGACCTGTGATGGTCTGCTGACCGTCCAAGAATGTGGCCCAAACTCCGTTCGCACTTACGCCCCTCTCCCCTCGAAAATATCTAGTCTTGAAGCAATGTTCGACCCGTTCTTTCACTGGGTTAGACAATTGATGGAAGGTCGAGAGAGAGAGATTTTGACGAGCAAGATTGCTGACGAAATTTACGATGTCCAAGGCGGAATAAGCTCCACCAGGAGTGGAAATATCCCCGATGTGTGAGGTGGTATCGTGAATGTGAATTGAGTTTGCGGAAATAGCAACAGATGAAAGTCTTGAGGCCGTTTCTGGCTGGAGAGGGAGCGTGATGATGAGGGGGAACAGAGTAGGCGCTGAGGAGGGCAACTGGTGTGAATCTGACGGAAGGGGAATACATTGAACTCGTTCCAGGCATGGAGGCTTATTGTTACTGAGTTAAAGACATGAAGGAAGGGCCGTTAAAAAAAACCCACCGAGAACTGAGCATAGATTGATGTATATTCCAAGTCAGATCTCTTCACGGCAGGGAGAATTATTTCTTACAGGATACTGCACTCGACGATCACCATACTGACAAACATAAATTAGCTCAGCGCCCATGTGTTGAATGAAAGCCCTCACCGCCAAGGGCCTATTCAGAAGCACAGTCTGGTACCGGTGGTGAAGGTAAGAAGGAGTACGTCTGAACGTTGAAGCACTCACAGGGCAGGTTAAACCGGAAATGGGAAACTACGACATCAGCGGTCAGCATCAAATAATCGGACAAGGCTGAGTCTTGTTACACGACGAGGTGTATATATCCATTTCATCTATGTTGTATAAGCGAGAGCGAGAGGGAACGAAGAAAAGTTGTCAGTACTACTGTACCTTGCGGTGAGATATTATCTTCAGGTAAAACGCAGATGGGATGAGCGCAAGAACGTAGTGCGGCAAAAGTCAGAGGAGAAAGGAAGGGGATTTTCGGAAGCACGTAATGATTTACGAGATGATATTCTCATCCAAAGGTCAAGGCCGAAATCAACTGAAGTTGACTACGTAATGTCTTGATGGGGTTAGCTGCTGAATCGCCGCACCACTGCGAAGGGGAGACACTTCTTCAAATGGTTGGATGGCCGATGGTCATCATTATTTCGGAACCTAAATTGGTTTAGTGAGGTGAAGATATTTGGGGTAATAGGCCGGCTGCCTACCTGCAGGCCTGAGTGCCTTGACGACAAGCGCCTGTGGCGATTTGATAAGAGTAAAGTTTGGGTAGCCCAGTTGGGGGAAGCTTCAGGAAGAGCAAATTCGATTTTTACAAAGGGTACTAAAGCTTCGAGATCGCCAACGAAAGACGATGGTAGTTAGCGTACATTGAGGAAAAACGGAGGCTTTATGGAAAACCTTATACGCCTGGTCTAAAACTAAAGTGATCAATCTGAGTTCATCTAGCATTGAATGTCATCCACTCGTTTGATCCAGGAGTTTGGCGAGACCCAGCCACTGGGGGTTAAGGAGCCCTAAGTCCTGTTACTCGAGGCTAGACTGTCTCGCGCCACCTTACAAAGATGACAGGGGTTACAGTTTGTCAAACGACTAAATAAATGTTTGGATTCAACTTTGGAACTGACGGCTAACGTACCAATGTCCCCGTTCCGCTCTTCAAGGCCAGGCGCAGATACCCTCTTCTTTTCTGCAACTAGATTACAATGTTCCGTGATACGACAGCCGAGGAAGGGCCAATCTGGAACACATGCTTTTGGAAGATGGACCTGAGATAAGATGAATACGATGAGCTTGCGATGAGCGCCGAGGGTCGAGTGCTTCAAGTTTAAAGAGCAAGCAGGGATCCAACGACGAAATGCCCATTCCACCGCCGTCGTCAATTCCATACAGCTTTTCGACATATTTCGAGAAGCTAACACTGTTAACGCGTACTTTCACTCGGGGGACCGCCAATCGATAATTTAAGCTTTGTTTTGCGGATTCTTTGAGAGCTAACATCGACACGTGGCAAGCCGCAGATTCGTCATTCTAGATCTGAGATCTTTGACCCGGTGATATTTAATATTTCGTTTGGTGTGTTGCAAAAGTGAGCCAAGCTGCTCACTACCCCTTTCCCTCGTAAGTCTCTCCGTTCAAGTTGTAGAAAGTTTCAGAGATGAGAGAAATACGGGCTTGGGATTCTTGGCCGGACTTGAGATCTAACAGTGTCAACCTAGCTGCGTAAGTGTTGTAGAGCACGCTGATTCACGCAGATGACGGCGAGCGTAATTTTCATGGATACGGTTGGATCGGACCGTTACATTTATCCACCGCCAAACGGAATAACACTGGAATTTCGTAGTTTTTCCGTCAGTGAATCTAAGGGTCAGTGCCAGTGAACTTCAGGTGACCAACAAGTTTTCGGCAGCGGGTCCTCCACTGACCACCTCCACCCTCCTGAGACCTAACTAACCCTGAGACCTGAGGTGTAACGTGTCCCGGTTCAATATGCAGTTGCTTCTCAAGTTAATGAATCGTATACATTAGTCCAACGCTACGTAGGCTCAATAATTTGGGGTGATATCAGATAGGGGTATATTGGATGACTGGGTATATGTAACTTGAAGTACGGGTTTCTCATGAAACGTTCAATTGCCATACGTGAGCTCCCTCTTGTGTGCTCGAGAGGCCAAGAAAATTGCTTCTCGTTCCAAGGAAGTCAATTCTTCTCAAACCCCGCGTTCTTTCCCTCTCGCGTTCCTCCAAGTTCGAAAGACGACTGTAGCGTCGCTCGTAGGATTTGTTGACGGTCAACTTCATCTCCTTGAAAGGTAGAAGCTCATACTCAGATTGAGTAGCATTCAACCGCAAGGCGTGATACATGCCCTCTAGCAAATCAGAGACGGTGACGTATGAGTAGTGTTTTGCCGATACCGTGAGCCTCCATGGGAGATGTGGGGATATGACATGAATAAACGGGAGGGGAGGTTCCGTCGCAGGTTCTGCGAGAACGTGAAGAGATATGGATGGATTTCGAAGTCGGAGTGTCGACGGGGGGTAGGAAACATCGTACAGAATATGTGGTGTGTTTGACACACCAAGCGCAGGGTGTATCTTGCACGGCAAACGGGGAAGGGACAAGCCCTTGTAGGATGCTGAGAATGGTGTAATAGGACCACCGGATGATGGCAAAGAGGTTGCCGAGAACGTGGGCGATGGTGTTGGTGGGAGAGAGTTGGGCGCGAAGTGGACGTGTTTTCCTGGCATTGTGATTAGTATCAACGAGGTATGAAGGGCGATTCGAATTGTGGAGCTGCATCGAAATCCGTCCAATTATAAATATTGTGGTACGACCGCCAAAAAAAGACGGACGCAGCTACATACGCATCGCCGCCTGCCGCAGCACAGCCCATGATACAGTAGTTGCAGTAGATCAACAGCTGATGACGAAATGGATTGGCGCTGGCTTATCTAGCGCCGTTTGTCGTTGTTTGATCTGGTGGGGCACAGCCAAATATGCCGAAATTTTTCGTCCACCCGTCAAGATGGGCGTTTACAAATCAATACGGGCTCAGGCTTGGTGACGTTACTGAGCGTTTTACATCCTTACAGTGCTTTGCATTGCCGTCTGCACAACGAAATTTCGAAAACTCTGTTTGGTTTTGTATGTTCGTCACAGATTGTCACGCATTAGAACCACGTTGGGAATTTTGAATCTCTCACACCAACTCTCATGGTGCCATAGGTATCAGATGCGTTGCGCGCGCGGATTATCGTTTGGCATGGTGGGCATCATCTCTCAGCACAAGAGATTTCAGGCCTTGTTGAATGAGGTGGTCTGTTTCTCTCCGATTTGTGGCAGTCACGGTACAACACGTACAAACATGATTTCCAAATTCCCTTGTGCAGACGGCAGTGCAAAGCACTGTAACTTCGGTCCTCCTATGGAGCAAATACGGAATGAAGACGGCGGTGCAACACTTTGACTAGCTTTGAACAGAAGTCAAGTTCCGCTAACTTTGCACTGGTGCTGAACGTTTTGGACGAGTATATGACTTAGCAGACGAACATGGCGATCGGACAGTTATGTGCAGTGGTGCTGAACGTTGTGGACGAGTGAGCATGTGACTTGGATTTACCGCACATTAGTTCTTTTTTGACACTAATCTGGGTAGATCTCTCGCATGTTTGGGATTTTCTGACGATGATGGAGGCTTCGACGCCTCGCTGAGTTACGACTCCACCCAAATGCGGATCGGGCGCCTAGATGAACCTGCCGCAAGGGTATGGTAGCCCAAATTAACCGAAACACGACGGAGAAGAAAATCATTCATTCGGCTACAAGCAGATGAACATAACGATCGGACAACTATGTGGCGCCTTCAAGACCGTACAATTTTCTGAACCTGACTGGCCCAAGACTTGCAACCACTCAACTTTTACACGTGCGTGACTTCTTGACGCAATTCTCGCTCAACAGTGTTTTGTCCCTCTTCTCACTCGGTTCTCTCTAAGGAGTGGGATATGGTATGACATGGCATGACTATTATACTGCGGTATCTAACCGTATGAAACCGGTGCGACCCCAGGTGCGCGGTCCTTGCCGAGGAAGTGAGCCATGTGCTTACACCATTTGAGAAAATCCCTCTGATTTCCGTTGCATTTCGCCGAAAAAGGACTTATCGATGTAGAGTCTTGGTGCTGCGGAGCATTGTTTTTATTGTGGGTCCTATCGCTTTTACCGTTGAGCTCCGCTAAGTCAACCACCTCGTTATCGATAAGCGCCATGCGCAAGAATCGAACTAATACGTACCAGCTCTCCCTCGTCGCTTTCGCCACATTTTGACTCGCCGTATCTGACAGGTGTCCGGGTAGTGGCGGCCAACCGTCACATGCAGTGGGGCGCTTAAGGTTCCCCCAACATTAGCGCTCTGTGAAAAGTACTATGCCCATTGCCCAACATCAAAATAATCAGGCTCACATCTTTCTTGCCTCAGGATGCTCAGTTTATCGATCACTGCTCTTGTCAAAAGCCAAATGTGTGCTCCGGAGGATCGTCTCTATTGTGGGTCCTATCACTTTTACCGTTGAGCTCCGTTAAGTCACTACCTCGTTATCGATAAGCACCATGCGCAAGAATCAAAGTAATACCTACCACCTCTCCCTCGCCGCTTTCGCCACATTCCGACTCGCCGCATCTGACAGGTGTCCGGGCAGTGGCGGCCAACCGTCACATGCAGTGGGGCGCTTAAGGTTCTTCCGACATTAGCGCTCTGTGAAAAATATGCCCATTGATTGCCCTATGGTGACACATTAAAATGATTAAGCTCACGTATTTCTTGGTTCAGGATTCCCAGCTATAGGGAAGCGGTCCAGCAAGGAAATGAGATGTTCTAGCAATTTGCGGGATCCGTTGGAATACGAATACCCTAAAGAACTACACGCGAAAAAATAGCCGCCAAGAGGAGGAGACGGGAACAAGCCCAGAAAGGGTATAGTGGCGGGAGCTGAGTTACGAGCGCTAGGTTGTGAGAACACGTTTGACGTTCGTCGCGGTGGCATGGGCATTGCGTGGGAGCGACGCGGCTGTGTTTGATGAGAATCCAGTGCTCCTTCCTCAAGTCCTCATTGTCCTTCTCAACGTTTAACATTGAAAGAAGGAGGGTTGTTGCCAACAAGCGATAAATGATGGGTGCAATGGCGGGGAATATGCAACGAAGGCGATGGTGGTTCGCTATGACCACATCAAGGAGAATGATAGGGGTATGCCGCATCGCGTCCCTGACGCCGAATTGGGACGTCAATGATCTCCGTCATGACAGTCATGTTGACTCGAGCTGTATTCTGGATATTTTGGTATACTTGGGTTTCGAAGTCTGTGCTTTCCGACAAGTAGGATATAAATGGCCACGGCGCGGTCAGCATTCCTCTTCGAAACCAATACGCAACTGACAGCCCATTGTCCTTTCCCTTCTTGCCTTCTAGATCCCTCAATGTTGAGCCTTCCCAGCTGAGGAAGGCTTTTTTGCGTTTGCAGTCCGGAGTGTCCTTGACCCTCCCCAGGCTTCTTTTCTTCACAATCGTTTTCATTGACAGATTGTCCACCTCTTTCCATTCTTTCGGCTAGTCCCTCATACCGTATGTCTTCCCGTCGCACCATACGATCCGTTCGCTTTGCGGAAGTAGATGAAGCGATTCCTGATGTCGACACTCCTTCACCCACGCTTTCCTCCTCCCCGCTATCCTCACCCGGTCTTGAAACGCCTTCCTCAAGTCCAATTGACCCGCTATTTGCTCCGACTTCCTCCCATTATCTTCCATGCATCCCCTTGCCCCTCCAAGCAGATCCATTAGTCGATGGATTCTTGACCATCCACCAAATCCTGGCCCTCCCTTTGACGGGAACACTACCATTCAAGTTTGACGTTACACGCGACCCCGCTCGCACTCTAGAGTTCGATTCATCGAGCATTCTGACGCCGGCGGTCCTCGCTGAGCCGGCAACCACACCACCACTAGATGTGATGGTGCTCAACTGCGAAGACTTTCCTTGGCAGTTCGTCATCCGCCCACAGAACTCAAAGGAGTTTGTGACGGTTTCCGATGTTTTGAGCGGCATCTATGCCTCTCTGCGAATACCCGTCAATTATGGGGACTTTTATGGACTGTCTGAGGAGAAGCATAGTATGATCACGCAAACCTTCTTTCACCGGTATGACAGGCACGGGGAGACGGAGGCGAAAGAAAAAGAGAAGGCGAAAGGTGTCAAACGTGCTGACTTTTTGGTCGGGAGGAACGCTTTCGCTGGACTCTGCCCCACTCGCTCACCGCTCGCCTGGGAGCTTACTCTTTCCCCAGTTTGATGGCTATCTTTCTTCTCCATCCATCCCAATTATGCATCTCTCTTGTACTATCCTTATGGCCCTTTCACGACACGCATGGCACACCTCACCTCACGGACACACTTGCATTGTATATCATTTCCATATCGTCGGATTGTACCCCTACTCATCTATGGCAACTGCTAATCTATGGTCTGTAATGCTACCGTTTCTTTCGTTTATGGTTATCTGGACTCTGCCAATTACTTTCGATATCTTTATACGTTAGAGACTTCGATAACCAATCGATAACGACGCTTGTATACATAGAATGGTTTCGACTATCTTCATTTTAGTCTTCCGCAAGCAACAATCCGCGTCCGCTGCTTTCATTAGACTCGACGATCTTGATCGACGTCTCTTAGTAGCGTGGCCGATGATGACAAGGAAGTCCAATCTGAGTTTGACAATGGGAGATTAACGGACGATATAAACCCCTGTCTTTGTTCTCTGCACCCATGACCGCGCACAATAAACTTCTAGGTGATCTTGATTCTTGATCCTCGTTCCTCATCTAAATGACGGGGAGAAGAAGTTGCTGATAAGCGATCATGATCGAGCCATGTGTTGGCCATGTGCGAGAAGACTTTTTGCTCCGATATCGACGGCGGGCGGAGCTTTTGCAAGGCACGTCTAGTGTAAACAAAGGAAGTCAAGAAAAAGTTTCTCCTTCCACAAGACTCTCTTCGGGGTACCTATGGCTTCAATTTTCCAGAAAATTCAAATTAGCATAATAAATGTTCTTCATCTTAATGACTTTCGACTCAAGAACTAGAGGCTACCTCGGAATAAAACTAGCCTTTCTATTCGCCAAAATAATGAAATTCGGGAGGAAACGTTCTTCCGCGACGAGCGGGCAATAAATCACACAAGGGACCGCGCCCGTAGTCACCTTGGGACAACTCTCCGTCGGAAAGCACAAGAATGCCCACATGTAGTCCAACTTACATAAGTAGCGCCCTCCACCTCGCACCAGCGTCTAAACACTGCCTCACCACAAGGGATTCCTTGGATGCAATGTGCATTATGCGCCGCCCGAAAACCAAGGGCTTCTCATATCTTATTTTAGCCTAGTTCACACCGAGATAATTTTGAATTCGCAAGTCGCTTGCCTACGTTTACATTGTATTCTGGCTGTCAGTTACCAACCATTTGTTGGGAATCGACCTACCTAAAGCACACCATCACGCCATTATCACCTCAGTTCGGGTAACCACTAGACGCATATGTATTGACATTTCCATTCTGCGTCCTGGGATTTCAGCGGGCGGTCGACTCGGAGTGCTGGGAACAAGGGGGGAGCACAATTTTAATTTAATATATCACATTGATTTTTTTGATAAAGCCAATATGGCCGGACTAACCAACCAGGCGTGGGAACAACCTTCCATATATAGGTAAATCTATAAATAGGTAATGTGTTTTGGGATGTCAGCAGCTGTCTTATCCTTCGTTTGCTGCCCCTTCCTCTACTTTTCTTCATGCTCTTACATGGGTCACAAACCCAGTCATTGATACCAAGACCCACTGGCAGTCCAACCCATGAAAAGTGGTACTGCATAGTCAGTGGTCAGGCTGAAATGACAAAAAAAGAAAATGACCTACCCACAATGTCTCACAGCCTTTTTGCCCACAGATAATTACTCTGCTTTTGTCCTCTGCCTCAACTGCATCACTCTCACCTCAATTACAATGTGGACAGAAAACAGTTTTATCATCTCAAATATTGTCCTCAATCTATATCATATACCAGGCTTCTTAGATCACAAGTGTGAATAGCATAGTAAGTACTGCACTTGGTAAGTGAGGACAGCTTGCGGAACGCCTGAGAGAGCGCACTGAGCTCATCTGACCCATAGATTACCCAAAATTGGTACTTTAAATAAAAAAATTTAACGGCCTGCCGGCCAGACTAACCAACCAACCCCATATGGCAGATTCAAATCCTGCTCCCCCCTTGGCTGGGAACCCACATATTTTCCGAGCAAGTATGTCTTGGAGCTTCACGAAGAGATGACAATGCAAGGTGAGCGCTAAGCGTCAAGCGCTCGGTGTCGAGCGATGGGAAATTTTTTATTTTATTTAATTCATTCGTAGTAGCAGCCGCGGGAGGGATCTATCCTGTTCCTCAACCTTTTGGGACGACTGTTTTGCCCATCAAATTTCAGGATCCCTGATCATGCGTGTTAAAGCCTATTTTCTAGATCGGGCTTGCAGCTTGACGAACAACTCACGCGGAAGTAAGAATCTATCGCGACAACCATATTTGAAGCTCTATGTCCGCGCTGATGGGTTTTCCGTCTTTATACATAGAATCTGGAAACCAATTCGCTTCCCAAGATTGAATTTTGACTTCACGTTCACATCGTAAATGAAGCCCGCATCATGACGCCTGTGATGTTTTGGTTTGTAACGGCGGGGAAGTATGCCCGATGGTAAAATGGTACCACATCTACATTCACTCGTAGTGCTGTGGGGGGCTGAGAGGTATTCTATGACAAGGATCTTCGCTCCCACCCCGCGTCCGAGATTTAGGAATTGTTCGGCTCTCTGGGGTTGGTGTATTCTGTAGAAGTACTTCTTCAGCAAGTACAATCGGTGCGTGTGAACGTCGAAGGGCGAAGGGCACCATAATTGCATCATGGCGCGCTGTTCAAAGGTCTTGCGTAGTGTAGCACCTGAGGAATACAAAAACGATAAGTCCTGCTAAACGCTGGAAAAAAAACCAGTCCTTCCGAAACAAGAATCATCAAGCCGCCCACCCAATTAATCCAAACTGTATCACTATCACGCGTAGTTAACACATGTACGCGGACTGACGGCTTCCGCTGTATAATTAAATTACGTAGACGGAATGAAATTCCGGGTGCGGAGAACGCGTGAAGATGAGACGTTGAACTGAGGGGTGCTGGTCCGTGTATCCGATGAAAGCGTTAGTAGAGGTAAAAACCCAATTTCTTCTATGACCGTTCGTAATTTTTTGCTCATAGAAAAGCTTTGTGTCGGGGTTTTTCCAACTTTGTTGGAAAATTCTGTATGCGTATGTATCAGCCACAACATACTCACTTTCCATCTACGATGCCTTTCACGGAAATTTACATCCGTTAGTATGTAGACTAATACCTCGGTGAAGATTTTTCAACTCCGAGTCGGTCTACAGTGACACTTAATTAAATAGACGCGGGAAATGTCGGTGCGGGCGACGTGGGGTACGGTTGGCGAGCAGGGCCAGGTCTGTTTTGACGTCTAGAAGTTATAAGAAGCGATATTTTTATCTCTGGGGTCCATGTATCGAAGGCTGTGACATTCATCGTCACAATTAATATAGTTCTTTTTAATATAAACGATTTATTCCCGGACATCGCTGAGCGCTGCGAGCAGTAGATGTAGTTTTCGGTGTTCGCATATGTACGGTGCGCCAGGATTCACATTTCTCATGTGGGGATCCTGGTGAATTTGCCGTGCCGTCCACGTCGACATATTTTATTAATTTCTGTATCTCCTTATGTTTTTTCTGAAATACATGTTTTGCGCTTCCACATGGAAGTGGTGTTTTGATCTTTCTCACGGAGACAAACAAGAGACAAACCTAGTACCCGCTGTTGGAGCACATCCACGAACTGGCAGCCTTGCATTTTCCGTTGCTTTTCCTCGCTGTGTTCAACGCGAGAGGGTACTAGGACTTGCGGGTTAGGACCATCTCTACCTCTTGCTTGCGTTGCCTTTTCCATATGTGCTTCCTAGTGACACGTTTCACGATGGTGCGTTTCACTAAAGCTTACCCATCTTCTCACCTTGCGCTGAGCTGGGGCGGGGAGGGAAGGTATACCTTGCGCTCTATGTACACTGCATATCTTACACGCAATCCAGATGTACGCTACAGACTCAGATGACATGGACGCGCTCACCTTCAACGCTCCCACTGGCATCTTGTTCCGATATTTAACTTTCTCAGAGGCGAAGAAGCAGCCTATCAGCGAGATAAATCTTAAGGAGGCCTTTGAAGTGCTTGTCATGAACATGAGTCAAGTAGCTGCCTTTCTCTTCGTTTTCCTCCATACGCTAACCATCATTGCAAGTTGTTTGATCAACGTATCCCCCTTGGACGCGACTACCTCGAGCCCATCAAAGACGTCGGTCCGAAATTCGCACTCAAGCTGATACGTGAGTATGGAGCGTCGTGAAGCGCTTGAGAGAAAAGTGAGTTCTCGTTACCACGCACATGCCGTTACTGATTCTCTTCCAGATCCACCATACAAAAAGCAGCTCAGGCTACCGTCGACTCGGACGAAGAGTCCGAGCATGAAGAGGAAGACGAACCAGCGCCAACGAGCGTGGAAGCTCAAAGTCCTACACCCGATGACTCCAACGGGGGTAAAGTACAGAGGCCTTAAAGTCGAGGGTATTGAATGGATGCAGGAGAAACAGAGGATAGTCGAAGAGGCGCCAAGTGCACTCGTCGTTGGGGGTGGTGCTTTGGGTATTCGTGAGTTTCCGCCATTCAACGCATGGACTATGGATGACGATGAAACAGCTGAAAACGAGAAATGCGGCCTATAAGCTCTACTCAACCCCTAGCTGCGCCCTTCCCACCGCCATGCCATCTCTCCCTCTCCACCACGAACATCGCACCGCGTATCGTCACCAGCGTCCACGTGTCTTCCTCCACAGGCGTCGACGCAGCATCCGCTTTCTTCGTCGGGACATACGGCCGTGCCCACTGCGAACTCCCCGTCGCTGGCACTAGGAACACACAGGACTAGCGAAGGCTACTGCTGCTGGGGAAGGGATGATGGGAGCAGCGGGGGCAGGCTTGGGTTTAGGCATACCGTTGGCAGCTGCTGCGTTTGCTGCGTTCATCCATGCATACTTTCCACCTAGGCCTGCTACTTGTGTTGCTACGGCATTGTACATTTTCTTGCACATATTATATTTCTAGGGATTACTTACGCTTTACTGCTACATACTAATGCTACCTGAAAAGTGTGACACATATGGTACATATATTCATTGTGAATACGTTGGAAGCGGTGACAAGGACCCCAGGCTCCTGTCAAATTTTTTCGGATCAGGCTCTATCAGGCTTCAAACAGACCTGACCCTGCTCGCCAACCGTAGTGGGGAGATCAGACGTATGTATATTTTGCGTTTGACAGAAGTAATTCAAACAGTGAAAATAATTTGGTTTTTAAATTATGAGTCTTCTGGAGGCCTGACGTCTGAAAAAAGCTTTCGACATTTACCCCACATGCTACCTGTAACTCGATAAAACTAAAAGGAAGGTAATTATTTTATCTCTATGTATTTACCTCCATTCTTCTGTAAGCCTCGTGTCCGTGACGCGATTCGATCACATGCTGAAAATATCAGATCACGTGTAGTTTAATTGACGCAATTGACCACGTTTTTGTCTGACACTCTCAGAGTCGTTGAAGCCTCGAGGCATTACTTTCACCGCAGAATCATGATAAAAGATCCACGGTACTCTCCTGAACAACAACCACCACCACTCCCCAACTACCGTAGCATGCAAAGTCTCCTGCGGCCTTGTCCTCCCCCGCTTACAACTTTAATTAACATTCAAACAAAGGTAACAACACGCGTCGTCAGGGGTGCTTGATGAATGGAGTATGTAGTGCAAGGTGATTGTTGTGGGCCGACTTTTGTTTATCGGCAGAAACGGTGCGTTTCGGCGATGGATACGTGAAAGGTATGTCCTGTTATGTCCTATCTACGCATTCTCGTAAATTCTTCACGTCCTTCAGAGATTCTTAAACTCGAAGTGGAGGGCGCTGTCGATCCATTGGAGCGAACCTGGGAGAGCGCTCAGCGGAGGGATTTGGCCTTGTGAGATTGGGCTAAAGAAGGGCGTTTCCCAAGCGTTTCCCTGAGTCGATCAGGCTCAGAAATAGGTGTGCCAGGGTTATCACTGATATCGCCTGCACGTGATGCCCTTACAATGGTGCAAACGTGTCTGAAATTTTCGCTGTCCAGTCCTTCCCTTGCCAAACGGAAATCTTTGCAATGGCCATCTCGCATTTCTCAGAGGCAGTTCAGCCGGGCGGTGACGAGAGAATTGCGGCCATTCGATGCTGTGCCGCGCATCACGCGCGACAACTCCATTCGGACTGTCAGCTTACCCACAGATGTATTGTCACGCTTGTCAGACTTATATACGGCTCTCACCCACCCCGCTTCAACCAATCTCACAATCCTCCTCCTCCCCACCATGATCAACAAACGCGTACAATTTGCTCCTACCAACATCGTCTATTCTCCTATCCCATCTACCCCTTCGCCATGTCGCTCCACATCATCCTTGCCTTCAAGCCCAGACATCCCCACACCGCCTCCCGAGTTAGAGTACTCAATGGGCGGCGGCTACCCGCGTTCTCCATACCCACGACAGAACGACGAGATCTACCCCGACCAAATTGATCCCAAAAGCATGCAGATCCACTTCCTGCTTGCCTACGCTCCTTACGCGGAGCCCGCTCTCGCCTACGACCTCACCCTTCACCCAGATTCGCTTAACGACCAGGTAGAATTCGCCACCTTCTACGAGCCTGCCACGCAGCCTCCAATGAGGAGCATCCTCATTATCTGCCCACAACTCAAGCAGTGGGACCCCATTGAGGTTACCGCTGCGCGCTCGAACGGCGAGTACGTTACGGTTGTCGACGTCCTCACTGCGATATACGACCACCTCCGCAGCGCAGTCAGCCATTCCGAATACGCGACCTGCACGGAGAGGCAAGCGGTAGACGCTGCGTGGCTCGCGCGGTGGATTAGGATCCAAGATGCTGAGCTTAGAGCGGCGGAGAAGATGAAGGGCGTGAAGCGGGTCGATTTTTTGTTAGGCCAGAATCGGTTCTTGGGTCTGTCGGGGACTTTGAGGGGCCCCGATATCTGGGAGCTCAATGTTTCGCGGTGAGGCGGATGCTTGAGCTGCCCGGTAACCGTCCTCGTGGTGTTGTTCGATCATGATCGTACTTCTTCCCCCCTTCGTCCCATGTTTTCGCCACCCAGCCAGCATTCCGGAGCCTTCATTATCATAACCCACCACGATCCTCTTCCTCGTGGCGTCATTTACTTTCTAACAGCACCGCCCTGACCACTTCTTGGAGGACACCTTCGGACCTCCCCCCGACGACTCCCGCATCTCGTGTCAATGGCGTTATTTATTTCGCAAAAGCAGAACCCTGACAAGACCTCGAAGGATGCCTTTCAATCTCACCCCCCTAGCACCACTTCTCATCATTGCGGCGTCGCTTTCTTCTCGGCAGCATCACCATGACAAGACCTCGAAGCACCACCTTCGAATCGCACGGTTTGAGCAAATCTTCAAACCGCACTCTGCGCCAGGCCACCCACACGGCGCAGCGTGTAATAAATATTGTCAGCAGCGCGATTAGCAGCCACTTCGTGGATGCTGTTTTTCCCTGCTCGTCGACACACTCAAAAGAACGGATACATTATTGGTTAATTTACCCCTCGCTTTCGGCCGATTTCCCTATAGACCATCTAGCCCTTCTAGCATAATTGTAATTGTAGTAGGATCGTAGAGTAGTGTAGTGTAAGTACCCAAATACCCTTTGCCCAACCTTTTGCCGATACCCTGTGACGTCTTGTGACGTCTCAAATCTCACTCAGTGCGGAAACCCTGTGCCGATAGATTGGTGAGCCTGGGAAAAACACCCTGTGAGATCTTCTTTCGTGGGATGAGATTTACTTAGATAAGCTTGTTGAACAGTAGAATTCAAGAGCGTCAACGTGTCGACTACTTTTTTTTAAAAAAGGTCAACCCGTCTTGTCCGAGTCCGTGTACTATTGAAGTGCCTGGCTCGGCGGAAGTACGCAATGGGAAATGCCGCAAAATGCTGTTGGGACTTAATTGGGACCACAAGGATACGTCGTTCTTCCTTCGCCTTGGGAACATGTGAACAAATCGAGATGGAAACGGTGGACTTGTTGGTTAAACCATGTGGATGGGCGCGTTCCTTGCCCGGTTCGTGAGTTATTGTTAGGCCCAGTAACGCCCACCCTCTCTCTATCATTATTTGGGCGCTACAATTCCGCGACCTTGGCTACGCAAACCCCATCTCTTTCAAGTAGTCTTTTTTTTTGTGGGGGAAAAATATCGGCTCCCCGGAGATTATTCTCGATTCCTCAAGCCATGATCCGCCAAGCCATTCTCATGGTTCAACTGGACCACGCGCTCACAAGGAAAGTTAAAAGAACTTGCTCAGCACCTGATCCCAACTGATCACGGGGGAACTTTGGTCATCACAACTGAGGATTCACCTCAGTTCAACTGTATTCTTATTTTAATGTAAGTGGAGTGCGGTGTGACCCGTAATTCGACCTCACGCGCACTCTCAGAAGTATGATGCGTGGAGAACCTCTGTGTTGGTTACGCGAGGGTGCCCCGTTTTCGGCCCCGCGTGGTTCTTATGCTCTTGTAGTCTACAGTTCGTTTGCTTACCCTCCTACGCGATCGTCTAATTTCCTGTTACATGTACAGTGAATGAGGATCTACCCCATTGAATCTCTCAACCCCGACATTTAAACTATGGGATACTTTGGGGTGCGCTGTCACGGTGTCAACTAACTCTTGAATAGTAAGCATATACAAGCACTCAGTGGGATCGATCTAAAACGTACACGCCGTAGTGTTATCTAGCACCACGCAGCGTTATCTTCGACTTACGCAGCTATCTACTAGCGTCCCACCGAGCGGTTTCTACAACACTCACTATCACGCGCATTCGTAAAGAGCATCGCCTGGCTGAGAAAGTGACACCTCTCGTAATAGTCGGGGCAGGTGATTGTGATTATGCTTGATTAGCGCTTGGACTCGGATTTACTATCAATGGCAAGTCGGGATATTAGTCTCCAAGCAACTGGCGACGCTGGTTTATTTCACAAACTGTTCTTGGAGCGGAGGTATCTACGAGCCCCAGAACGTTTATGGACTGGTCAACAAAAATTGGGGTATGAACTGGAGGTAACTTTATTACGAGTGAAAAAGACAGTTCAGTCCAGCTGCAATTATCTCTTGGCTGGATGAATTTTACTTCCACTGTACAGTACTTATTAAATACAGCCCGCACGGTGACCTTGACTTCTTCATTGGACCTTGATTTCCTGACAACCTTCATTAGAGATAAATGTTCATTGGAGGTAAATTAAAAGAGGAATTAGAAACTCGTCAAAGCCGTACCCGTATACAGGGTACGGGGATGTCGGCGGGATTTTTTAATAGAAGCTGCTAGATGTTGTACAGGTGCGACTATTTTGAGAACGGGAGAAAATCCCCGTCTGATTAGTTTGCAATGCCTTTTAGTAATTCACCCGAATCACCCCACTAAGGGCCAGGAAGTAAAAAAAGTTAATCAACTCCTGATTGATTGAGCCGGACGAGATGTCCGTGTACTAGGCACGAGTCATCGCCTCTTTCCCCACAATCATATCAATCCTGACTCCTATATCATTGACTGTTCTGTAAATTTTGATAACCAGAGCTAGATTTTTAGAGGTCAGTGAGTGCTATTGCCGCATTTGTCGTTGGCGAATTACAAGTTAGTATCTGACTACTAGAAGGGTTTAAGAAAATTGAAAAGAGGTAGTGGCCAGACACCACAGAACTTTCATATTTAATTTTTTCGTCCCCAAGCCAGTAGCGCGAGTTTGAAGAGACTTTGGAGCTGAGTTGACACGCAATCGACACGACGCCAAGCACTCTTTTTGACATGTGATTTGGTGTGACATCATGCCGTCGGAAAATTGGCGCTTACTTGTTTACACCTTTACACCACTTTTCATAAACAAAATTGGAGTTGCCCTCTTTGGTCCGAAAGGTGTGCGTGGACAAACTGACTAACTAACACACTCCAATCCCGCTCTCCGTCCACTTTCCGAACTGGGGAGGTGAATCATGTGGTCTCAGAGAAACGTTGCCAATTTGCTCTTTCTGTGAGTCTTATCTCTCTTATCCCTAGTACCACCCCGTCCATTCATAATTTCATTAAAGTGTTCCGCCTCCGAGCGACGAGTCAACCTGAGACACGAGGCTACGCACCTCAATTAAGGACGCGCAGCACCGCCCAGAATGAAGATAAGCGCTAAAATTTTTAAACCTGGAAAGCTGTGGCTTTTATCGGCAAGGCTGCGCCCGTGGCACGGCTTCTGAACAATCCTCTTAGGATGATGGTCTTCACCTTTCCCAGATCGCATTAAAAACTCTCACATTACAAACGTCCCAGCGTCTAGATCCCGTCTTTCCATCCGTTTCTTTCCGAAAATGCTGTTGAGCCCCTCTTGATGCTGTTAAGCAAGTTCTGGGCGTCTTTCTTATGGCGTTATCGCGCCTGAGAAGGCCGCTGAGTGTAAACGACACTTGCAAGGTCTTGTATTTGCAGTGCTTTTGGGAAACATCAGCACACTCACCAAGCGCAGCCGTCTCCATTCCGGAGTGCTGAACATCGTTTCTCCCTTCCTCTGCTCTTGTGCTACTGATGTATTCGCCATGAAGGTCGCATGGGCTCCACGTTCACAGCATTTCGGCTTGGGGTTTCCAGGTAATAGAAAAATTCGACAGGACGGTGACATAGTTACCTTCTTATCACATCCCGAAAAAGAAGACGGATTTAGGCTCCTCAGGGGTTTGTTTTTGCTAGGTGGGGCCGTACAGCCCACGTGAGTCATTTCCTTGACGCGATGTCTATATAACGCGTACAGTGGACGTGGAAACGATACTTCCCTACCTTCTTTCGAGCTTATTTATCGACATCCCAACTCTCTTGATAACACAATCTGTCTGACCCACCGCCATGCCAGGAAAACACGTCCGCTTCTCTCGAACCAACACGGTTCACTCCCCTCCCACACCTGCATTATCCTTCAACGAACTCTCTCCCGCCTCTACAGCGGCGGTATTAACGCCTCCCAACCCCTACCAATCCCTTCCGGGTCCGTCGCCATACATCGTCTCTTACTCCAACTCCAACAAACGAGCCTTGGCACCATATCCCTCCAAGTCGCCGGCCCGGGTGCACATCCATCAGTACCTTGAATTATCATCCGCTCCGGCCATCAATTATGATATCATGGATCACCCATCCTTTATTCATGATCGTCACCACCATCACATCTCCAGCCGCGTTTTCGCGGAACCAGCTTCAACTCCTCCGCTCAGGAAACTGAGGATCATCTCTGAACATTTGCCCTGGACTATCGGTGTCGCCGCGTCCAATGGCTCTTATGTGACTTTTGGAGATGTAATGGACAGCCTGTACCGTGCACTGCAGAAGAACATTACATCTGCGGAGTTTAGCTCGCTCAGTTCACATGATGGGCGCAGAGCTACTCAGGCATACGAGCAGCGATACCGCAGGCACCGCAGCAACCAAGCATACGATCAGGAGAAACGCGGAGGGATGAAGCGCGTTGATTTCCTCATGGGAAAGACGAAGTTCTGGGGATTGGCTACGACAAGCCATGGGTCAGACGTGTGGCGGCTCAGCGTTACATGACCTGCGAACCTCCCCTCGAGTTCTGGTTATCTTTACGATTCGAGGCACCTTGTTAGCACCGGTGAACGATCTCAAGTTTATGCACCTCCGGCTCCTCCTCCCTTCGCTCCGGCAATCTATCCCCAACCGTCCATCGGCGGTGGCGATCATTACCCATATGTATCGAAGGCTTCTTCTCGCTCTCGTCCATCTATGAAGAATCTTTTCTCTTCGCTTTTCTGCTGGATTCGACCCTGACCCAATGGATTTGACCTTGCGCGACGAATGTACCCCCCCGGGGACCTATACCCGCTAAGAGGCGCGCTATGTACCGCACATACGTGTCCTCTTTGGCATCTGACCTTGTTGTCTTTGGAAACGGTGCTGTTACGAGCACCGTCCCGTTACCATACCGCCAAATGTGTTATCATGCATTGTCGTGGTATGGACTTTTCGTTATTCTTATCATCTTATTCCTCTTCTTCCCCTTCGTCTTCCTCCACCTAGTCTTGTACAGTTAATACTGATCTGACATAGACAATTTCTATACGACTTACGACTCACGGCACCCTTATGAACAGTGTACAGTACACAGATACGACTCGATAGTACGTCGTGAGACTAGCCTCCCGCAGAATGCATAATTGAATAGGCTTTTTATAACCTCCTTGCAATCTTGAAGACCTTAAATTGTTACAAGTTCATGACTGGCATGAGTTTGCAATGAGTTTGCCTTCATTTTTTCGAGAGCTACGCTTAGTCGAGCTTACGCAACAAGTAAAAATCAGTGAAATACATAGTATTACTAGTAGAGGGCCAGGTTTTGCGAAAAAGGCTTTTTCATGTATTCTAAAGGCAAAACGTGATGTGACATCACACAATGCACAGACCAAGCGTGACACCACTGAACTATACTTGACCAATTTCCAACATCTTCCTCTCAACATGCCCACTCTTGCAGCCGCAAAGACCTCGAATGCTGGCTACTGTCCTTCGTATCTCCCAGTGGCCGTGATATTTGGAGGGACCTCAGGGATCGGCCAAGCTATAACTCAGACACTAGCCGAGTACCTCAAAGGCCGCGTTCACATCGTCATCGTTGCCCGCAACAAGGTAGCAGCAGACAACATCATCGCCAGTCTTCCCAAACCCGCTGATTCCGAAGCTGCTGGGTCCAAATACGAGTTCATGGCGTGTGACGTGACGCTGATGAAGGGTGTTCACGCCGCGTGCAGAGAGCTCTCGGAGAGACTGCCCAAGATCAACTTTCTTGTGCTATCTGCTGGTGTGTTTGCCTTCACTGGAAGGGAGGAAACGGAGGAAGGGATTGATAAGAAGATGGCTTCGAGGTATTATTCTCGGTGGGCCATAATCAATGGTCTTCTACCTTCCTTGCGCAAGGCGAAGGAGGCAGGAGAGGATGCTAGCGTCCTCTCCATTTTGGGCGCCGGTATGGGCCCGGAGGTCGATTTGAAGGATTTGGGTTTGAAGAAGGGGTATTTGAGGGGTATAGCGGGTTGAAGGCAATGACGCAGATGATCAGTTACAACGATCCTATGATTGCCGTCTGTTATTCCGTCTCTTTCCATCATATTTCACTGACAAAAAAGCTCTCAGGAATATGCCAAACGGGAACCAGAGATTGCCTTTACGCATATCTATCCTGGTACCGTAGATACTCCCGCCTTTCGTCCATCAAGCTGGCTCTTGACTATCCTGATGCTGCCTCTGCGCCCTATTCTCTGGCTTATCTCTACGAAGCCTGAAGACTGCGCTGAGTACATGCTATTTGCCCTGTTCAATGCCGAGAAGGGTATGAACCGTAGGAACGCGAAGGGTGACGATATCGGAAGCGAAGGCTTCCCTCAAGCAGCGGATGGCCAACAGCGCCTTTGGGATCACTCTGTACAGCTGACGACTGTATAAGAACGTGTTAGCCGCTACCTTCGTTTTATAAAGGTATGTTTCACGCATCAAATTGTCGTGGCGTTAACTTGCTTTTGCTTGTTGCAGATTTGTTTCGGGTTCTTTTGCGGCCTTATGAGAACTTGCTTACCACTATATCCTACTGCCTCTTTCGACTCTGTCTTTCTTTCTTTTCGTTTGCACCCATGTAATGTGTCGTATCCCTCAAGTGGACATGCTGTTGATTGATTTGCTGCAGATTTTTTGTGCTTCTATTGCGGGCTGGGACACAGAATGTCACTCCAAACTTTATTACCCGTATTTTTGGCGACAAAGTTTGTCATCTTATACTGACCTTTTTTCTATCGAGTTCTTTCGATCATTATACCCCAAAGGGAGTACCTATCCCAGGTATTTCCCAACCCCTCACACGTAGGCCTGAAAACTGAAACGTTTGGAAACCGCCCTCACAGGGGATGTCGGCAATCTGACGATTTTCCAAATCTCAGAGACATCCCAAGAGCAAATCTAACTCTGGCCGTTATTTCGATCGAACTGCTTCTCTTAGAATCACACATTGTTCCTAGGAATATCTCGCCGCCCGACATCAACGTGTAGAGACGCCAATACAGACACCTCGGCTGTATCCGCTATTGCTCTTCGCAGGTTTGAAATCGGACTGTTCCAGCGTCAAAGCTCGAGTGAAGGGCTGTCTATTGTCCTCATAGGATATTTCTTCATTCAGGTTCGGGCTATTCTTTTTTCAGCGTCATTTCTCAGAGAGTTCATTGAGAGTTGATTGAGAGTTCATACTTCTTGGGCTAGTAGACTTGGCCCAGTAAGCATTGTAAAAATCTATGAGGAATTTACTGGCCTAACACTTGACACTTGACATCTATGGTGCTTTTTTACATCGCTGGTGTTCTCAGGTTTCAACGGCGCGTCTAACTCAAGAACGCGTCAGTTCTATCGTCACGTGACAGTGCCTGACTCGCCGTGTGACGCGTCGCGGAAGGACGCGGCACATCAATAATTCTTTAAATTCATCATGCGACGTGCAGATTCTTTTCTCTGCATCCCTCAAAATGCCCACTCTTGCAGCCGCAAAGACCTCGAATGCTGGCTATTGTCCATCGTATCTCCCAGTGGCCGTGATATTCGGAGGAACCTCAGGGATCGGCCAAGCTATAACTGAGACACTAGCCGAGTACCTCAAAGGCCGCGTTCACATCGTCATTGTTGCCCGCAACAAGGCAGCGGCAGACGCCATCATTGGCAGTCTTCCTATACCCATAGCCTCTGACGCTGCTGGGTCCAGGTATGAGTTCATAGCGTGCGATGTGACGTTGATGAAGAACGTTCACGCCGCGTGCAGAGAGCTCTCGGAGAGATTGCCGAAGATCAACTTTCTAGTATTATCTGCCGGGGTGTTTGCTTTGACCGGAAGGGAGGAGACGCAAGAAGGGATCGATAAGAAGATGGCGTCGAGGTATTACTCGAGGTGGGCTATCATTCATGACCTTCTACCTTCTTTGCGCAAGGCCAAGGAGGCAGGAGAGGATGCTAGTGTCCTCTCCATTTTGGGCGCTGGCGTGGGCTGGGAAGTTGATGTGGAGGATTTGGGGTTGAAGAAGCGGTATACCGCGCTGAAGGCGATGATGCAGACGATCAGCTACAACGACTACATGATCGCCGTTCGTCGCTCTTTTTTTCTTTATCTCCAACTCGACTGAGAAATTACCTATAGGAATACGCTAAACGGGAACCAGAGATTGCATTTACGCATATATCTCCTGGTACTGTCGATACACCTGGCCTTTACCCCTCAAGCTGGCTTTTGACGATTTTGATGCTACCTTTGCGCCCATTGCTCTGGCTTATCTCGGCAAAGCCTCAAGATTGCGCAGAATATATGTTGTTTGCCCTTCTGAATGCCGAGAAGGGTATAAACCGTAGGAATGCAAAGGGCGACGACATTGGATCTTGGGGTTTTCCTCAGGCAGTGGATGGGCAACAACGTGTTTGGGACCATTCTGCGCAGTTGACGGGTGTATGAAAACCTACGTTGTGCGCTTAATTTTTACGCTCTCAGTCAACACGTTGTTGATAGCTTTTCACAGATGTTTTATATATATATATTTAGGTTGTCTGTAATGACTGTTACACACATTTTTCATGACCTCGTTTGTCCATTCTACATTGTCATCATGGCCAATTGCGTTCTCCTGACTGACCCCTTCCTGCTTAGTGCTGTCCTTTGTATTAGTATGGATTCCATTTTTATTGATGTTCTATCCACTGGCTTGGTACCCTCAAGGGAGTATCCGGGTCATCGCGCTGTATGAAAACGTCAACCCCGAAAAATCTCATCAAAATACATGTATACCCGATAATAGGGCAACTTATCTCCCTGGTCCCGATTCCCAACATGCCTGATTCCGAAGCTCGATGATCGAGCTGCTTGCACAGACGGATCACACCATCACATCTTCGGTTTCGGAAGAACGAACTCTCCGACACCGGCATGGGATAAGATTCAATTGAAAAGTCGTTGCTGCCTCACTCCAGGTCACTCCTGTGCGCAGCTCAACGCGAGACTTGGGCGTCAATTCGAACTAAGCGCCTTCACACGGCCGTCTGATGTTTTCCCCGGTTCTCCATCAAGGGTTGGTACTCGAACTGAGAGGGCTGAATAAGGTGCTTTTTTGCTCTCAATCTCACATCATATTACCATCATGACACCTCTACCAAGGCATCGGAACCCCACTCAAAAAACGACCATTCGACGTGGAGAACACTGCGTAATTATGCTTGTCGTGTTGTCACCCTTTGACATCACGACAGACTGAAAGCCAGCCACTGCCCTCTTGTCTCCATAATGCAACTAAGTACATACCCTCAACCCATGCCACCATAGATACCGACTTGTCGACAATGCCGATCCTCCTTGTACCCATTACTCAAGCGGCAGGTGGCAGTGTAGCGACTTACGACCATGGCAGGAAATGCCTGTGCTCCCGTCCCGTCCTGTGCTAGCGCTGGCTGTGGTGAGCAGAATACGCGTCATTGATTTGCAGGGTTAATAGGCTAATTAAGCTGAGTATATATAGCGGGAGACAAGAAGGCGGAGAAGACCATCCACAAGCTCTCCTAGTCCATCGTAAGTCACTTGCCAGTCAATTGAAGTCTACTTCAGCTTGCTCACCTTTCGGCAACAGAATCAGAATCAGAAACCGGAGATCAAAAACCGAAATCAGAAATTATGCGTATGTCAACGCCAGCGTCAGGGACGGACGCGAGAGCTGAACAGATGCGCGTTTCAGGTTCATACTGTGATGATTTTCAACAAAATTCTCGGTCTTTCCATCCTTATTCAAGCTCACAACGCGCGACACCCTCATCATCTACCAACCCAAATCCCTGGGCCTCTTCCATCCCACAACCTAACGCATTCAGGCCTCCGTCTCACACCCACAGACTTGCATTTGGCAGACCCCGCTGCAGCTCAGATACTCCTGTCCCTACCGAAAGCCTAATCGTGCCACCTCCCCTTCCACGATCACGATCCATCCCACTGCCGCCTCTCTCTGCTATTGAGGCGGAGATCAACCCGATACTCGTCACTGGGATCGAGTATAACATCAGAGCACCTACCTCCTTTGCCGAATGTCCTTCGCGACGACACAGTTCGCGAGGACGGGACGCGTGGAGGTATGAGGCTGCCGCTCATCCGCCCGTTGCGTCGTTGACTATATTCCTCGACTTCGACCCGCACCGACCTATCGTCGTCTTCCCCGCGAACAGGCATGATACCGTCATCACGGTATCTCATGTTCTGGATGCTGTGAATCAGAGGGTGAGTATGGTGGCGGAGGAGCTGAGGGAGGCGTATAATGCGGGATACGCGGTGCAGCTTTTGAGGAGGGAGGTGTGGTGGGTTGGACTGATGCCGAGTTCCGGTGAGAGGGATGTTTGGGTTTTGAGGACGATGTGATTGAGGGTTGGTGGGCGGTCTCGTGTGTTCGAGGCTGCTGCGTTCTCCAAGATGGCTGCGCCGTCTCTGGTATAATTTATTCAGACTATTTATTTTAGGGAATTTTGGGGAATTGGGGGCGCTAGTCGCCTAAAGGTTTTTCTTTGCATTGCATTCGGCATATATACCACTCACACCCACTGCATCCATATTTATCTATAATTTATTCTTGACGACGCTGATGACAATGAACGTTTTGACATGAAAAAAAATGATTCTTGTGATACACCTAAGCGTCTTATTTTAGGAGGGGGAAAATGTTGCATTGAGAGGAGAACACATCAAGCCTCGGTTTGATGCACACTTCATCCTAGAATCACTTCCTGGCTCGCCGCGTGCAGACTACGGTTGAAGTCAACAACGGATACCCTCTCTTGACCGATACTATGTATGTTATAAGTGATTTTACAGGCGAGCTCAGGCTCTCCGAGTCCTGAGCTGTCGCATCACGGTGACATCCGAGTATTCCCTCAGCAAGGCCTCACGCGCAACAACATGAAGTATGACTCATGAGTAGCAGGCCGCAGGTCCGAGGTGACGCTGTCCCTGACGCGAGGTGCGAGAAGCCCGAGGGCAAGTGCTTCGCGAGCCTATCTAACACGGATCTTGATATCACGTATAGCTGCACCGCCACCAGTGGGAAGACTTGGGGAAAACCCTCCTCTCCGGCGAATTAAGTACCTCCAGAGAAAGAATCGGTTTCTAAGGGCCGAGAAGCACCCTCTACGTGCTAGGTCTAAGATGCGCGATTTGCTGAGCAAATATAAACGTAGGGTCTTGCCAGTGGAGTGAATTGGGAGTGAAGAGATGCGAAGCGCGAGACGCAAAAAAAGGTGTATTTTTGGTACGTGGTACAATGGGGAATTCCCAAAGGATAGTGCGCGAGTCTCGATTTCGCTCAACGTGCGGGGCGCGAGCAAGGCGCGAGACGGATCTTGATCTCACGGGGGATATAAATAGCTGGCACCGCAATTTGCTTCCGTCCCGCGTCCTGTCCTGTGCACACGCTGGCTGTGGTGAACAGGGTAAGCGTAACTGATTTGCGGGGTTAATACATAGGTTAATTAAGCTGGGTTTTTGGAAGTATATATAGTGGAAGACAGAATGACGGATAGGACCATCCGCGAGCTCCTCCATCGTAAGTCATTTGCCAGTCAACCAATTGAAGTCTATTCCTTGCTCACCTTTCTGCAACAGAATCAGGATCAGAATCAGAAACCAAAATCAGAAATCAGAAATCGGGAATCAAAAATTATGCGTATGTCAATGCCAGCCAGTGTCAGGGACGGACGCGAGAGCTGAAAGGATGCGCGTTTCAGGTTCATACTACCGTGACGAGTCTCAACAAAATTCTCGGTCTTTCCATCCTTACTCGAGCTCACAACGCACGACATCCTCATCCTCACATTCATCTACTCCAAGCTTAATCGTGCCACCTCCCCTTCCACGATCACAATGCATCCCACTGCCGCCCCTTTCCACTATCGAGGTGGAAATTAACCCGATACTCGTCGCTGGGATCGAGTATAACATTAGAGAACCCACCTCCTTCGCCGAATGTCCTTCGCGACGACACAGTTCGCGAGGGATGGACGCGTGGAGGTATGAAGCTGCCGTTCATCCGCCCGTTGCGTCGTTGACTATATTCCTCGACTTTGACCCGCACCGACCTATCGTCGTCTTTCCCGCGAACAGGTATGATTCCGTCATCGCGGTATCCCATGTTTTGGATGCTGTGAATCGGAGGGTGGGTATGATTGCAGAGGAGCTGGGGGAGGCGTATAATGCGGGATATACGGTGCAGCGTTTGAGAAGGGAGGTGTGGTGGGTTGGGTTGGTGCCGAGTTTGGG